CGCAGCGACAGGGGCGCGTCCGGGCGCTCACGGCCCAAGCAGCAGCATCAGCTGGAGGACATTCAGTGCGGGCGGGACGGTCCCCTGGCCAGCGTCATCCGTAAGCTGCCGCGCAGGTGGCGCATCGCGCTGGCGGCGACGTCGTCGGCGATGATGGCGGCGGTGCTGGAGAGCTGCGACGGCGCGAGGTGGTGGTCGGGGGACGCACGCAGCCCTTGTGCGGAGCGGCGGGTGGGGCGGACGGTGGCGCGGCGGCTGGAGGGGCGGGTGTCGGAGGGGACGAGGTCGGAGGTCGGGTGGGCGACGGGGCGCGGGGAGTGGGTGGTGTATCACCACGCAGGCACGTGCGTCGATGTGGGCGTGCCGTCCGCGGTGGTGCGCGTGGAGGCGGGAGATCGGAATCTGCTGCGGTCCCTGGTCCGGACGGATGCCGGCCGGCGTGAGCTGGCGTCAGCGCCGGCGGTGACGGCGGAGATGACGGGCCTGCGGTGCGTGGACGTGGGAGTGTACGAGCTGGACGTGGAGGGCGTGTGGGGGCGGGAGTGGCTGCCTGCGGACGTGGCGGCGGGCATCACGGAGCTGAGGGTGGGCGGGACGATGCTGGAGCGCGTGCCGGAGGGCATGGTCTCGCTCGAGGTCCTGGACGTCAGCGATTGCGCACATCTGGACGATGACTCGTTCCTGCCGGCGTCGAGCGCGGGGCGGGTGCGGGTGCTGAGGGCCGAGTTCACCAGCCTGCGGAGGGTGCCCGAGGGGATGTGCGCGCTGGAGGAGCTCAGTGTGCACGGGTGCGCGCACTTGGACGAGGCGTGCCTGCCGGCGTCGTCTGCGGCGGGGCTGCGTGTGCTGCGCGCCGGCTACAGCACCCTGCGCAGGCTGCCCGCGGGGATACGGGCGCTGCGGGAGCTGCACGTGGACTTCTGCGAGAATCTGCAGCCTGAGCTTGTGCTGACGGACGCTGTGGAGCTGCGGATGCTGAGTGCTCCGAGAACGGCGATGCGGGTGGTGCCGGAGGGGCTGACGGCGCTGGAGAAGCTCGACGTACGGGACTGCGAGTCGCTGGACGTCGGCTCGCTGCGCAACGCTCCGACGGTGCGCGTGCTGAGGGTGAACAGCGCTGGGCTGCGGAGGGTGCCGGAGGAGCTGACAGCGCTGGAGGAGCTGGACCTGAGGGGCTTCCCGGGAGAGATCACGGAGGGCCTCTTCCCGGCGCGGATCTGTGCGAGGCTGCGTGGGCTGAGGGTCAGAGACTGCCCTGAAATCAGGAGGGTGCCGGAGGGGCTGACGGCGCTGGAGGAGGTCGACGTGAGCCGGTGCGAGCAGCTGGACGGCGAGGCGTTCCTGCCCGCGTCGTATGCTGCGGGGCTGCGAGTGCTGATTGCCTCAGGCAGCAACGTGCGGAAGCTGCCGAGGGGCATGGACGCGCTGGAGGTGCTGGACGTGGATGAGTGCGACGAGCTGGACTGGGAGGACGCGGCGGAGGTGCTGGGCGGTGCTGCGAGGCTGCGGGTGCTGAGTGCGTGCCACAGCGCCATGCGGAGGCTGCCGGAGGGACTGTGCGCGCTTGAGGAGCTGTACGTTGATGAGTGCGAGGATCTGACGGGGACGCTGGAGCAGAGCGTCGCGGACCGTCTGCGTCGGTGGGACGTTGAGGGGAGCGGGCTGGTGCTGCCGTTGGGGATGGGGAAGACACATGACGGGTGAGGTGGATGCGGATCTGCTCAGGGGTGCCGACGGCCCGTGTGAAGCCCAGCGTCATGGTCGCCCGAGGGGTGTCTCGCGGCTCTGTACCGTTCCCGGCTGGGCAGGTTGCTCCAGCTGTTGAGCGGACATGGCGATGTCTCCGAGGCTGCGTGTGCTGATACGTCGAGCAGCACCGTGCTCGGCGCACATGTAGTCGCGCGTGCTGATGCGCGGGCGAGTGAGCGAGCGAGCGCCTGCTGCGTCCTTCACACCACTGTCGCAAACTGCTTGTGCACTGCTCCACACTGCTTGGTCACTTAGCGACGTGGGCGTTCCGTCCGCGGTGGTGCGCGTGCAGCCGGGACCGGAGCGCGTGGTGGAGTCCCTGGCAACAGCGGCCGTACAGCCCGCGCAACGTGAGGCATCCCTTGCTGTCAGGGGGAGGTGTCTCGATTCGGTGAGCGCGAGTGCCGACATGGGCGCCTCGCCGTGCCGGTTGCGTGCACACACACGCGAGGTCCAGTCACGGCGACCGCGCGGGTCCGCTGCCCACCGCACTCGCGTCTGGCAGCACGCTTTCAGGCAGTGAGGAGCAGCGGGGTCGTCTCTCCGCGCGTTTGCGGGCAACGGGTGTATCGGTGCGCAGGTGCGTGACGTGTGTGTCGCTGGCAGTGCGGCGCTGCGCATGCGTGTCCGGAACGCGCCTGTATGCCGCACCGCTGGCGATGCAGCGCAGCCTGGGTGCTTGGCGCGCTGCCGCGTGCGGTTGCCGCGCTCGAGGCGGATGTCAAGCATGGCGATACGACGTTCAGTATCAGCAGAGCACGGCTCGATGTCGCTCGCGCGTCGCTGTCGTCGCGCAACGTGGCCGCGGCCTCAGTGGATGTGACCCCTGACCTTTCTCCGTGGGCGCGCAGGAGGCGGCGCAAGGGCGCGGGAACGCGACACGGCGATCTGAGGCTGTCGCAGCGCGATGGTGCCGCGCCGGCGCAGCGACATGGGCGCGTCTGGGCGCTCGGAACCCGGTCGGCCCCATCAGCTGGAGGACATTCAATGCGGGCGGGACGGTCCCCTGGCCAGCGTCATCCGTACGCTGCCGCGCAGATCGCGCATCGCGCTGGCGGCGACGTCGTCGGCGATGATGGCAGCGGTGCTGGAGAGCTGCGACGGCGCGAGGTGGCGGTCAGAGGACGCACGCAGCCAGTGTGCGGAGGAGCGGGTGGGGCAGACGGTGGCGCGGCGGCTGGAGGGGCGGGTGTCGGAGAAGACGAGGTCGCTGGTCGGGTGGGCGACGGGGCGCGGGGAGTGGGTGGTGTATCACCACGCGGGCAGTTGCGACGTGGGCGTGCAGTCCGCGGTGGTGCGCGTGGAGGCGGGAGATCGGCGTCTGCTGCAGGCCCTGAACCGGACGGCCGAGGGCCGGCGTGAGCTGGCGTCGGCGCCGGCGGTGACGGCGGAGATGACGGGCCTGCGGTGCGTTGGCATGCATGCCATGCACTGGTATATGGCAGTGTACGGGCTGGACATTGAGCGCGTGTGGGGGCGGGAGTGGCTGCCTGCGGGCGTGGCGGCGGGCATCAGGGAGCTGCGGGTGCGCGGGACGATGCTGGAGCGCGTGCCGGGGGGCATGGTCTCGCTCGAAGTCCTGGACGTCAGCCGGTGCTCGGAGCTGGAGGGCGAGACGTTCCTGCCGGCGTCGAGCGCGGGGCGGGTGCGCGTGCTGAAAGCCGAGAGCAGCAGCCTGCGGAGGGTGCCTGAGGGGATGTGCGCGCTGGAGGAGCTCAGTGTGTGCGAGTGCGGGCGCCTGGACGAGGCGTGCCTGCCGGCGTCGTCCGCGGCGGCGCTGCGGGTGCTGCGCGCCGAATTCAGCGATCTGCGCAGGCTGCCCGCGGGGATGCGGGCGCTGCGGGAGCTCCACGTGTACGGGTGCAAGAATCTGCAGCCTGAGCTTGTGCTGACGGGCGCTGCGGAGCTGCGGGTGCTGAATGCTGGGTTCACGGGGATGCGGGTGGTGCCGGAGGGGCTGACGGCGCTAGAGGAGCTCGGCGTGAGCGGCTGCACGTCGCTGGACGTCGGCTCGCTGCGCAACGCTCCCACAGTGCGTGTGCTGCGGGTGAACAGCGCTGAGCTGCGGAGGGTGCCGGAGGAGCTGACGGCGCTGGAGGAGCTGGACCTGGAGGGCTTCCCGGGAGACATCACGGAGGGCCTCTTCCCGGCGCGGATCTGTGCAAGGCTGCGCAGGCTGAGTGTCAGAGACTGCCCTGGAATCAGGAGGGTGCCGGAGGGGCTGACGGCGCTGGAGGAGGTCAACGTGAGCCGGTGCAAGCAGCTGGACGGCGAGACGTTCCTGCCCGCGTCGTATGCTGCGAGGCTGCGAGTGCTGAGAGCCTCGCACAGCAACGTGCGGAATCTGCCGAGGGGCATGGACGCGCTGGAGAAGCTGGACGTGGATGAGTGCAACGAGCTGGACTGGGAGGACGCGGCGGAGGTGCTGGGCGGCGCTGCGAGGCTGCGGGTGCTGAGTGCGTGCCGAAGCAACATGTGGAGGCTGCCGGGGGGACTGCACGCGCTGGAGGCGCTGTATGTGGATTGGTGTACAGAGCTGGACTGGGAGGACGCGGCGGAGGTGCTGGGCGGCGCTGCGAGGCTGCGGGTGCTGTATGCACGCAATAGCAACATGTGGAGGCTGCCGGAGGGACTGCACGCGCTGGAGGAGCTGGACGTTGAAGGGTGCGAGGATCTGACGGGGACGCTGGAGCAGAGCGTCGCGGATCGTCTGCGTGGGTGGAGCGTTAAGTGGAGCGGGCTGGTGCTGCCAGAGGGGATGAAAGAGAGCTGTTGGTAACGCCTCTTGTGCACCTCTAGAGGCGTTACCAGTAAGGTGGACGCTGATCTGCTCAGGGATGCCGACGGCCCGTGTGAAGCCCCGCGTCATGGTCGCCCGCGACGTGTCTCGCCGCGCTCTCCCGTGCGGGCGCCGCTCAAGCATCCTTGCGGCGAGGGTTCCTGTAGGTGAGCAAAACCACTGCTGCAGCCAAGCTCCGTTGCAGGTGCCTTCGATGTTGCGTCCGCTGAGATGTCGATCATCGCTGGGGTCTGTGCGCACGTGTCTGTGCGCATGCTGATGCGCGAATAGAGCGGCACACACACGACGCAACATCCACCCTCGCACGCGCCTATCACGTGGACGGTACCCGGGCACGCGTACCAGGCGCGGTGCGCTGCGGCTGCGAGCGCGGCGTGCGCGTGCATGTGTGCCCCGGTTCACAACGGCCGCTCGGGGGCGGGTCGTGGCCGACGTGGGGCGGCGCGCGGCTCTACATCGTCAGTTCCATGATCGCCGACACGATATCCCCGTCCGTCTTCCGCAGCGCCCCGACCGCCTTGGCGCGCGACACGCCCGCCTGCTGCACGATGAGGTCCACGTCCTTGGGGTCCAGCCCGGACTCGTCCACCGCCTCGCCGTCGTCCTCCTCGCCAGCCGCGGCGTCCGTCGACGGCTGGACGGCCTGCGCGGCCTGCGACAGGGGGGAGCGGGGGCGCGGGGGTCGTTGTCGCGAAGGGGGGGTGACGAGGGTCGGGTCGTGCGAAGTGCGCGCTGGCAGCTGCAGCCGGCCGGCTCGGGTTCAAAGTTTCCGCAATGCCACTCCACGAAGCGCATTTACGACAACGTGGCTGGCGGCGTTCGCCGCCAGGCGCACGTGTGGCTTGGAAGAGAGTGAGTACAGATTGTGGATCGTCATGGCCGGGGCGCAGCTGCCGAGGGGCGCGTGGGGGCGCAGGGGCGCGTGCGTGCGTGCGTGCGTGCGTGCGTGCGCGCGTGCGTGCGTGCGCCCGCTGCGGGGCCGGGGCTCAGGCAAGTCTGGTGTAAATCGTCGTCACCACGCCACCGTCGTTGCGGGGTCGCGTCAGAAACGGCGGAAGGTTGTCGTCACCGCCCGGGTGCCCCGCGGGGCCAGCACGCACGCAGCGAGTCGCGCGCAGGACGCAGAGCACGCAGCACGCAGCACGCGGCGGGGAGAGGGGGCCGTCGCGGTCGCGGTCGCCTCACCTGCGCCTGGGCCTGCTTGAACTGCTCCAGCTGGGCCTGCGCCTGCAGCGCCGACATGTCCTCGATCTTGGCCTCGCCGAAGATGACGTACGTGTCGCTGCCCGGCGCGCGGTACACGTCGGGCTTCCGGATGTTGAAGATGATGTTCTTGCTCTTGCGGATGGCCACGCGGTCCACGTCCGGGACCAGCTGCGGGCGCGTAGGGGGGGGGGGCGCCGGTGGGGCGCGGCGCGTGGAGCGGGGCGGCGGCTGGGCTGGGCGCGCGGAGGGTGTTGGGGGTCGGGAGGCATGGGGGCGGCCGCGGGGGAGGTGCGGGCGTGTGGGGAGTGCGGGCGCGCGCACCTTCATGCCGAGCTTCTGCACCGCCTTCCTAGCCTTCTTCTCGGATCGGCTCTGGCGCCCGCGCCCGGACCCGTCTCCTGCGCGGCACAGCAGGTGGGGGCTGCCGGGTGGGACGGCCTCGAGGACGCGCAAGCAGCGCGGGGCGCCGCGGAGAGGCGTGAGCTCGAACATGCGCGCGCGGAGGTGCTTCGGGCGGGCTCTGCGTCTGCGCAACGCCGGCAGCGCTGCCTGGCGGCAGCGTGCGCTGGGCAGCCGAGCGGTCGCCTGGCGAGCGCCACCGAGCACGCGTGCGTGGGCGGGGCGCGGTCTCGCCGCCACACCAGCGCGGCCGCGCCGAGCGACGGGCGCGCAGCTGACGGTGGGTCGCAGGGCGCGCACGCAGCAGCACAAGTCGACTGCGTGTGGGCTGCAGGCGCGAGGCTGACTCGAAACCAATGTGGAGAACGATCGCTCTGATAATGAGCGGGCGCGTGCGGGCGCTGCGTGGCCGGCTGGAGCGCCCAGCGGCCGGAACGGGCGTGTGCTTTTCCATGCTCGCGGGCGACGCACCCTTGTCCTCCTGCTCGCCCTCCGAATCCGAAGAGGAGACATCCTCGACGTCCTGCGATGAAAATCCAGGGGGCGGCGCGGTGAGGCGACCGGAGGATACCGGACGCGCCCTCTGACGGTCCGCGAGCCGCAGGCGCCAAAACCGCAAGCGGCCCGCCATGGGCGGGGGCCGCTTCGCAGCGCGGAACACCAATCAAGCGCCCCATGCATTTCGAACGAATCGACGTCACCGCCGCGCATCGCCCCCCGAGCGCGCGGGGAGCCCCTCAGGCGGCTGAACGCTCTCTGGTGTCGCACCTCCGACTCCTTCGCCTTGATCTCCTCCGCCGTCATGGTTGCTCGCTCAGTGTACGCCCGAGAGGCCGGTGGCGCGCGCGCCGCCCCCACATGTAGCCGTGGAGGCGACAAACTGACACCCCGCCTCGCGTCTTGCACAGTCACGTCGCTCCCCCCACCGCCTCCGAGCACGAGCACGGCGGCGACGCGCGCGCACGCCACACTGCCTCGCCGCGGAACACCCGCACCACGTCTGCGCCCCGCGACCCCCTCGGACCGCGGGCTGCGACGACACGGAGCACACGGCGGCGCCGAGAGCTGGAGCGGACAGCGCGGAGCCGCCGCGCGGTGCCGGACGCCCTCCGCTTGGCAGCCCGCGCACTGCCCGCACCCGTCGGAGCGGGCCGGAGCGCCCCCCGCAGGCAGGGTAGCAGGGGGCCGCGATGGGGGGGCGAGGCTCGTCCCCGCCCTCGCCACCACCGCCTCCTGCGGAGCGGGCGCGCCGCGCGAGCCCACCGCACGCTGCGCGCGACACCCCGAACAGGCACCAGAGGACCGCCGTCAACGTGCGTCGCGCCGCCCCGATGTCACGCCCGCGCCACCCACCACCGCGCACATCCTGGTTGGATGAAACCAGGGCCGCGTTTGAAACGCACGGACCCGGAAACAGGGCGGACGGCGCGCACACGACGCGCAGCGGGCCCCGCTCGGCCACGCGCGTGTCCTGGCCGGGGCGCGTGCGGCGTCTGCCCCGGGCTGCGCGCTCTCACTGCTGCACCCCGTGTCGCGCTCGCTTGCCGCGCAGGCTGCGGGAGAGGAGTATATTCGAGCCGCTGTGCCGAAACCGCTGAGTCAGAGCTCTCTGAACGCCTTCGATCGCGAGGAAATGCCGCACCGGGGCGACGACAGGGTGAGCGCGCACCCCGTGCTGCGAGCTGCCAGTGCGGGCGCCGTCCTCGCCCCAGACCGTCGCCGCGCGGGGCACCGGCGTCCGGCCGTCGCACACACACCATGCTGCTCCAGCATGCGGGCGCCAGGCAGCCCTCGCGTGCGCCCTGCACGGCCCACGCCCCGCGCTGCTTTCAAGTCACCGCTCGCTGCACCTCCGCACGCCCGCGCAGGACGGTCACCTCAAAGTGGCGCCGGGCGACAATCTGTCCAGTAGATGTACGCCCCCCTTTCGCCCGCACAGCGCCGCCCGCACCCCGCACAGCGCCGCCCGCAGCCCAGCGCACCATGTGTCGTGCCCCCTGACGGCCCGCGCGCCGCCCCGCCGTGCAGTCAAGGTCCTGAGCCAGATGGGCGAGGGTACGTTCGGGCGCGTGATGGAGTGCTGGGACCGCGAGCGCCGCGCGTACTGCGCCATCAAGATCATCCGCAACGTGGAGAAGTACCGCCACGCCGCGATGATCGAACTCGAAGTGCTCAACACCGTCCGCATCAACGACCCCGCGGGCTCCCACCACTGCGTGCCGCTCCTCGACTGGTGCGCGATCCCCCCGCCCCCGCGCCGCGCCACACCCCCACGCGCCCGCACCCACACGCACGACGTTCACCGACGCGCGTTCGGCCGCCCTGCGCAGGTTCGACTTCCGGGGCCACATCTGCATGGTGTTCGAGCGCCTCGGCCCGTCCCTGTTCGACTTCATCCGCAAGAACGGCTACAAGGGCTTCCCGCTGGCGTACGTGCAGTCCTTCGCGCGGCAGCTGCTCGAGTCGGTGGCGTACCTGCACTCGATCGACCTGTGCCACACGGACCTGAAGCCCGAGAACATCCTCGCGGCGGGCCCGCGGTACGTGAAGGCGGAGGGCGACCCGGGCCCGCTGGGCCGGCGCGTGCCCACCGACCCGACGATCCGCGTGATCGACTTCGGGTCCGCGACGTTCCGCGACCAGTACCACTGCTCGGTGGTGTCCACGCGGCACTACCGCGCGCCGGAGATCATCCTGGGCATCCCGTGGTCGGCCCCGTGCGACGTGTGGTCGGTCGGATGCATCATGGTCGAACTCGTCACGGGCGACGCGCTGTACCAGACGCACGACAACCTCGAGCACCTCGCGATGATGGAGCAGACCCTCGGGCCGATCCCGGCGTCGATGGTCCAGGGCGCGCACCGCGACGCGCTCAAGTACTTTGCGGTGCCGGGGGGGCGCCGCGGGGAGGTCGGCGCGCTGAACTGGCCCACGGGGTGCCGCAGCGCGCGGAGCCTGCGCGCAGTGCAGAAGTTGACGCGCGTGCGCGCGATGATGGTCAAGCACGGCGACCCGCTGCTGGCTCGCGACGCGGCGGTGGCCGACGCGCTCGGGGCGCTCATCGAGGGAATGCTGGAGCACCGCCCGGGGCGACGGATGACCGCGCGGGAGGCCCTCGCGCACCCGTTCTTCTCCATGGAGCTCGAGCTGCCGGGGAGCTTTGGCGCAGCGATGGGGGGCAGCCTGCTGCCGAGGCCGCGGGTGGCCGTGGCGGCGGGGGGTGGCGGGGAGCGGGAGGAGCGGAGGAGAAGTCGCGAGGAGGACGCGCGCGGCGGGGAGGCGGAGGCGGCGAGGGGGTCGGAGCGGGGGGCCGCGCGGCGGGTGAAGCGCGAGCGGTCGGGGGAGCAGGAGGCGGGCGCGGGGCGCGGGGCGAAGCGGAGACCGCCGGACGAGGGGGCGGAGGACGGGTGGGGCGAGCGCCGGAGGGGCGAGAGCGGGGGCGCGAGCGGCGCCGGGATCGGGCACGACGTGCGCGTGGTGGCTGCGTAGGACCGAGGTGTGATGAGACACGGGCGCTGATGCGGCGCGGCGCATCACGCGGAACGGGCGGGTCTCTCGCCTTGGATGCTGACCGCGCGAGAGTCACGACTCGAGGGGGCCGTGCCGCGGACGAGGGGAGGTGGGGGGTGTGCCTTTGTTGTGTCCGACCACGCCTTAATACTCTGTGTCCGACCACGCCTCTGCGGCGCACCGGGCACGTGTGTTTGCGGCCCCGCACGCGACCGACGCACTGGGGACACTGGCGGCGTGCCAGGATACGGCGGCGCCGTGGCGAGAACCGCATCGTCGCGCACATGCTGCGGAGCGCAGCACTGAGGCAAGTGCGCCGACCGGGCCGCGCATCAGGTGGCGCCGCGTCGCCGGCTTGATGATGACCATGTGAGCGCTTTCGCATCTCCTCATCTGCAGGGCAGCGGCAGCCCTTGGAGCGGCGCCGCCGGCGTTCTCGGGCGCCGAGGTGGCTCGTGCGGCGCTTGCGGCCGGCTGCGGGAAGGCGCGAGGGTTTTCGGCGGCCGTGGCGGAGGACATCTGTCAGTGGAATCGCACGAAGCATGCAACGAGCCAGGAGTACATTGACCGGGAGCTGAAGCACGGGGCCTGGAACTACGCTCCCCTGCCCGTCATCGTGGACCGGGGGCTGGGTGCCAAGCTGTGGGACGTCGAGGGGAAGGAGTACCTTGACTTTCTGAGCGGCATCTGCGCCGTGAACCAAGGCCACAGTCACCCCAGGCTCGTGCAGACGATGCAACAGCAGGCAAGCTTCCTCACTGCCCGGTGACCGCCCTGCGCGCTCGGTATAATCAAGCGATGCTGCGCCACGCGGATCTCCCATACGTCGTCGTCCCAACCGGCCCGCAGTGCGCGCGTCTGGCGCTCACCAGCCGCGCCTTCTACAACAGCCAGCTGGGCCCCTACGAGGAGTTCGTGACCAAGATGTTCGGGTACGACAAGGTCCTGCCCATGAACACCGGGGTCGAGGGCGGCGAGACGGCGATCAAGATCGCCCGGCGCTGGGGCTACGCCGCCAAGGGCATCCCCGCCAACCGCGCCGTCGTCCTGTTCCCGCACGGCAACTACTGGGGCCGCACGCTCGCGGGCATCTCCTCGTCCACCAACCCCGTCTTCACCGAGGGCTTCGGTCCGTTCATGCCGGGCTTCGACCTCGTGCCGTTCAACGACCTCCCCGCGCTGGAGAAGGCCTTCGCTGCGGATCCGAACATCGCCGCGTACATGGTGGAGCCCATCCTCGGGGAGGGCGGGGTGGTGGTGCCGGACGACGGGTATCTGAAAGGGGTGCGTGCGCTGTGCACGAAGTACAACGTGTTGATGATTGCCGACGAGGTGCAGGCGGGGCTGGGCCGCGCGGGGGACATGCTCGCGCACCGCCACCAGGACCCGCACGGCGAGGCGCGCGCGGACATCGTCGTGCTCGGGAAGGCACTGTCAGGTGCGGGGGCGACACCGCGCCTGCCTGCCCGACGCACCGGCGTTCCAGCGCGCACGCCGTGCACACGGGCTCGCTCTCGCGACACGCAGCGGCGCGCGGTTCGCCGATGTCCTCTCACGCGGTGTGCGCATCTCGGGATGCTTGCAGGCGGGATGTATCCTGTGTCGGCGGTGCTGGCGGACGATGCCGTGTACCAGCACCTCAAGCCCGGCCAGCACGGGTCCACGTGCGCTCCCCGACTTATACCACGCCCCACTGCAGCCACTCCACCGTGCGAGCCGCGTGTCTCCGTTGCCCCCGCGCCATCGTCCCGTACGGTCGTCTCGCGCTGCAGGTTTGGCGGCAACCCCCTGGGGTGCGCCGTCGCCCGGACGGCGCTCGAGATCCTCGTGGACGAGAACCTGGTCGAGCGGAGCCGCGAGCGCGGCGCGCAGCTGCGGTCCTGCCTCGAGGACCTCCAACGGCAGCACCCGGCCCTGGTGCGCGACGTGCGCGGGCGCGGGCTGCTGCAGTGCATCCAGTTCTCGGACAGCGCGCCCAGCACGACGGCGTGGGACGTGTGCGTGCGGCTGAAGGAGGCGGGCGTCGTGACGCGGCCCGTCAAGACGGACGCGATCCGATTCTCGCCGCCGCTGGTGATCAGCGAGGACGAGATGGCGCGGGCGTGCGACGCGCTGCGGACGGTGCTCGCGGACACGCCGACGGCGTGACACACCGGCCTCTTTGTGAGTCTGGGGGCCTCGACCGCCTGGACGGGGGTTGTGGGTGTGTCGTACGGAAGTCCCCCATGGGGCTGTCTGAGGCGGAGTGCGCCGCGTGACGTGCCTGTTTCGGCGACGGGGCGGGGCATTCTGCGTACAGGAAGGGCTGGGATGCGTGTCGAGGCTTTCTCCCGCACGGCGGCGCAGCCGGCGGCCGCGCAGTGCGGCCCACAACGCTTGCGAGAGGCTGCGCAGGCGCCCCGCGCTCATCGCGGAGTGTTTCGGGCGTCTCGTCGATCCCTGCTGCATGGAGTACATACGTTGCGGGCGAACCATGCGCCACTTCGATTGCGCTGCCCGGCAGCGGCGACGCAGGGCGCACAAGCGTCCTCCGCCGAGGTAATCCAGCTAGAGGGGGCTGCGCCGCTGCGCATATTCGGCGTCGACCACAGAGAGCTTCAGGTACCACTCGTTCATCACCCCTGCAGTTTCGTCACGCGCATTGGTGCGCCCTTCGAGCGGCACCCGATGGTTCGCTTCACCGTCAGTGCGCTCACGACTCCGCTTCGTGCGGGCCCTACGCAGCTCGACATTGCCGAGTCGATCATCAAGGACAAGGTGCAGATGGTCGTGGTCGAGACCGCGATCGGAATGCGGCACGGGTACGAGTGGAACAACGCGTTGAGGGTGGGGAGCATGACGGACGAGGGGCTCCTGGGGGACATGATGCTCGCGGTGCGCGCGCCCCCCGCCCCACCTGGTCGCGAGACAGGACCTCGCACGCGCACCGGCCGAGCGAACGCAGCGGCGCCGCAACACGGCTCCACAGTGCGTGTTGCTATCACTACGTGTTTGTTGCAAGTCACTGGAGACGGCGGACCCGCTCCCGGCCACCACCCCCTTGCCTCGTGCAGATGTTCGCGAACGCGGGTCTCGTGCTGCGGGGGGAGGAGGACAAGCTGACCTCGGAGCTGTGGCAGACCCTGCGCGCCAACCCCGCCGCGGTCACCGAGCACCTCGTCGCCATCGCGGCCATCGCGAACGACGCGGAGATCGTCTTCGCAGACCGCCCAAAGGACCTCACGTACAAGTGCGCGCCCGCACCGCGCGCTGTGCCAACAGTCGCAGCCACATTTACTCGAAGCACTTCGACTGGCAACCCCCGCTTCCCTATCACACCGCTCTCGCAGGCGGATCCTTGCGGACACGTCCGCGAAGGAGCTCGACGCCGCGTACAGCTGGCAGGCCCGCCACAACTACCTGGAGATGGCCGCGGGCCACCCGCTGCCGCGCCAGCCGCGGGGCGTCGTCGACCGGGTCATGATCGAGGAGCGCGACACCATCCTGGCCGCCACCGCCGCAGCGCGCGCGCTGTCGGCGCCGGCGGACGGCGCGCCCGTCGTGTGCGTGGTGGGGGCGTCGCACCTCCCTGGGATGCTCAAGGAGCTCAGGGACCCCGCGCGGGCAGCCTGGACGAGCGCGCAGTGGGAAGAGGTGCGAAGCAGGGGGGGCTCGTCGTGCTCCTCGCCAACGCTCACTGGTCCCCAACCACCCCGGACGGCTTGCGCTGTTTTGCATCATGCGTGAGCGAGCCGCTGGGAGCGACGTGCTGCTCCGAACGAGGCCCTGAACGCCGCATGCGCACGTGTGTGTCCGTGTGCAGATCGCGAGGCCGCTGCTCGATGTGCCCGCGGGCACGTTCCAGGACCTGCTGCGGTCCTCCCCGACGGGGGCGCTGGGCGCGGAGGAGACGGCGGTGAAGCGGGCGCTCCTGGAGGCGACGCTGCGGTTGCAGGTCACCGACGACGTGCTCCAGGACCTGGCGACGTGCCTGGGCGACGCCGGGACGGAGCCAGGTGCGGCGGCGGAGGCGTACGGCATCGCTACCGAGACGTACTACACGAGCCAGATGATGATGGCGTCGGTGGAGCGGGACGTGCTGGACAAGGTGTGCCAGGGCTGGCCGCGCGGGACGGACATGTGGGAGGTGTTGGATGAGGTCAGGCGGGTGAAGCCGAGTCAGGGGGGGAGGGGGTTCGACTTCCAGGTGCTGGACGAGAGCCTGCGGTGCATGCACTACAACATGCCGCCACCGCAGAACCAGGCGTAGGTGACATCCCGTTGCGGGCTCGCAACTGTGCGTGATTCACGGCCCACACCCTGCGATGTCACCTCGTAGTCCTGTTGCAGTTGCGCTAGCGAGGTGCGGCCGCGTCATCGCCGCTTCTTCGTGTCGGGCTCGCTGCCCTGCTCGCACAGCGCGCGCTCGGCCTCCGTCGGCCACGTCAGGCAGAGCGAGTCGCGCACACCAAGTGCACGTACCAGCCTGAGCCCGAGCAGCGGACGCAGCGCCGGCGCGACGATCCGAACGGTCGCCGCGTGCCACACCGTGCCAAACACGACGCCCTGCCCGGCACCGGCGATCACCTGCGCCCACGTGTGGTAGCCCAGCTGCACCCGCGACACACCAACTGCGGACGCCGTGGCGAGCGCCGCGAGCGCCTCCAGCGCCTGCCACGCCCTCGCCAGCCCGAGGTGATCGATCGAAGAGGCCTTCGGGTCGGGGCTGCGTCACGTGGGCGCGCAAATCGACGACCGTGACGCTTTTGGACCCACACACACAGGACACATGAAGTTGTTTGCAGCGGCCGGGGGACCTGCCTGTACTCCTTCGTCCGCAGGATCGAGAGCAGAATGATGGCGACGAGGTAGAAGCTCAAGGAGGTGTGCGACGACGGGAGGCCGTGCTCGCCGCACGTATCTAGCTGCACGCACCGCTCCGCTGGTCTTGGGTCGGACACGAGGGACTTGAGCACCTTCGTGAGGAGCGCGTTGAGCAGCGTGCCTGCGGACGTGCAGCGGGCACGTCACCTCGATCGCCACGCACTCTCTGCGTCGCAGCCTCGCGTTCAAGTGCACACGACGCAGGAAAACGTCCGCACGTCACGACGAAAGCGGCCTGAGCGACAGCCATGCCGCTGGCCGCGCACAGCACGTAGGCGCTCCGCGACGGTCGCCCGGACGCCGGGGCCCGCACCCAGGAAGAGCAGCGCCTGGTGGACCTCCCGCCGAGAGTACACCACTGCCGCTTGCGCTACCAGCGCGGCGTGTGGCAGCAGCGACAGCCACGCCAGGATGTACTCGATGCTGTCATCCTGCCGAAACCGGTTCCCTGCGAAGTCGAGCACGGCGAAGCCCTCGGACGCGAGTGGTGCGGACATGGCCCCTGCGGGGGCCCCGCCTGCGCGCGGGCGGCGCAAACGACGACGCGACGCAACGGGCACTGGAGCTAGTGATGTCGTGCAGTGCTGCGAGGAACGTATCGCTGGCGTCGAATGTGTGGCTGACGCGCTGGGCGCGGTCCCCTTCTAGCAGGCTGTTCTTGGCTGACTCGATCGGGATCTCTCGACTGAAAGTTTTCCTACCGTGAGGTCATCTTTCCGCTGATGAGCTGCGCCCGCGTGCAGCCTGCGCACGTTGTTCAGTGACGCGAGTTGCGGCACCCGGGCAGGCCACACACCGTTGAATCGTTGCGACACCACGGCGTTGCGCGCGCCAGCTTGTGCTCACGTATCCGCGCCCGGAGGTTGGCCCTCTGCAAGTCGCACGCTGCGCACCGCGCGTCCACGTAGCTCCGCCCGCCGTGGCCCGGCCCGACGTATCCGTTGGTAGGCGCTCAGGCTGCTGCGCAAGGAGACGCCCCTGCGCCGGGCGCAGGCAGACGCCGGCGCCTAGGAAGCATCTCAGCGACACAGTGCCGGCGCGATGGCCGACGAGTGGGGTGACGACGACCGCGGGTCGTTCACGAGCTTCGAGTCGGACCCACCGGCGCCCGCTGCCACGGGCACGGGCATCGCGTTCGGCCCGCGCACCCCTCTGCTTGGCAACGCTGCGGTTGCTCCGCCCGGCCGGGCGGCGCGGGTGCGGACCACAGTGGCCGCCACCGGCGCAGGACTGCGCTTCCGGCTGTACCGGGCGTGGCGGCGGCTCGTAGAATCGGCTCTGGATGCGGGCGGCTCGGATTCGAGCGAGCAGAGAGCGCCGGTGCAACCCCTGCGGTTTCGCACGCCCGTGGGGGCGCGCACGGCCGCGGCCGCGAGCGGAAAGGAGATCCAGAGCCTCGACTATCTCCCACAGAACAGCGCCCTGTACCGCGAATGGTGCGCGCCCCGACAGCCGCGGCCCCACGCCCGGTCCCGCGCCACGCGTTGGACGCCTGCGTTCGCGCCGCCTCGCGCGCGGAACCCCAGGCTCTCGCGGCGAAATCCACCCTTGAGATCACACCTCGCAGCTGGCTCGCGCCAGCCACGCGGCGTCGGCACTGTTTGCTCGCCGCAAAAACAACTGCATCCACACCTCCCCACTCCGCGCAGGCTCTCGCAGCACGCGCACCTCCACCACCGCCGGTGGGACCGCTGGGCCGTCGTCGCCTGCATCGGCCTCGCGATGGGCGTCGTCGGCTTCCTCATGTACCTCTGCATCGACGTGCTGTCGAGCATCCGCGTCGTCGGCGCGCGCAGCATCGCGCAGTCCGCGGGGCTCCTCCCGGCGTGGGCGTACTCGGTCGGCGTCAGCGCCGCGATGGCGCTCGTCGCCTCGCACGTGGTCGTGCGCTACGCGCCCGAGTCGGCGGGCCCCGGGGTGCCCGAGATCATGGCCTACCTCAACGGGTGCGCGCTGCCCCGGATCCTCTCCGTGCGGACGTTCGCGGCGAAGTTCCTCAGCGCGACGCTCGCGGTCGGGTCGGGTCTGCCCGTGGGGCCCGAGGGCCCGATGATCCACCTCGGCGCCATCATGGGCGGCGGCATCAGCCAGGTGAGGGGCCACGGCCACCACGGGCCGCCGCCTCGTTGTTCGTCGTTGCGTCGGCGGAGGGCGCCATTCGCGCGTCTGTCCCCTCGTGTGCGCAGGGGTACTCGCGGACGCTGAACTTCGACACGCGGCTGTTTCAGCGGTTTCGGAACAACAGGGACCGGCGGGACTTTGTCACCGCGGGGGTGGCGGTGGGCGTCGCGGCCGCGTTCGGGGCGCCGGTCGGCGGACTGCTCTTCGCGATGGTGCGCCGCCCGTGCGCCGACGACGCCCGTTTCGCGCCTCCTCCTCGTCGTCGTCGTCGCCGTCGCTTGGCATCAGCACCTGACAGCGACCGTTTTCGCCCCGTCGCAGGAGGAGGTGGCGTCGTTCTGGACGGCGACGCTGTCGTGGGAGATCATGCTCGCGTGCACGCTCGCGGTGCTCGCGATGGGTCTGATGGAGTCGATCCAGGAGTCTCTGTTCGAAGAGGGGGGGCACTTCGGGCTGCTGGACCGCTCCTACACCGACCTGTTCGAGGTCAAGCAGGTCATCAACGCGCACGTCGCGGCCGTCGTGCCCGCGGCGGTCATCGGCCTCCTGTGCGGGGCGCTCGCCGCGGCCTTCACGCGCATGATCCTGCGTGCGGCTGCGTGGCGCAAGCGGGCCGTGGCGGCGCTGCAGCAGCCGGACACGTGGCGGAAGCTGGAGCCGGCGGTGCTCGCTGCGGTGTTCGCGACGCTCGCGGCGTGCCTGCCGCTGCTGTTTGCGTGCGTGGAGGCGCCGTGCCGCGTGGACCCCACGCCGACGCCCGCGGGCGCCGCGTCGCGCTTCGACTGTCCCCTGGCGCCGTCGAACGTCACGGAGCCGGACTGGAAGCCGAGCAGGGTGGTCGACGCGTACGTCAGCGCGTACGGCTGCCCCGCGGCAAACGTCACCGGGAATAACGGCACCGCCCCGATCGTGTACAACGAGATGTCGACGCTCATGCGGGGAACCGGCGAGGAGACGATCCTGCGGCTGTTCTCCCGCAACACGCACCGGGAGGTCGGGTGAGAGACCCCCTGTCCACGCGCGACGACACCTGGCACCACTGAAGACTGCGCCGACCGACCCGCCGATTGGCTGACACGACGCTCAAGGCCGCATCCCCCTGCCTCTGCTCGCAGGTACCTCCCGCTGGCGACGATGCTTGCGGTGTACTTGCTAGCCGCGGCGTGGGCCGCCGGCGCCGCCATCTCCACCGGGCTCTTCGTCCCCATGATGCTCATCGGCGCGCTCGTGGGCCGGCTCACCGGCCTCGCGGCGGTCGACCTCATCGCGAGCTTGCACGGCGGCAGCCCCGGCGCGCCCCCCGGGGTGTTTTTGGACCCCTCCCCGTGGTCCTGGATCGACCCGGGCGCCATGGCGCTCGTGGGCGCGGGCGCGTTCATGTCTGGCGTCACGCGGCTGACGGTGTCGCTCGTCGTCATCACCGTCGAGCTCTCGGGGGACCTCCACTTCCTGGTCCCCCTGTTGACGAGCGTCATGGTGGCCAAGGCCGCCGCCGACGCCCTTCAGCCCTCGGCGCTGTACCACGCGCAGCTCGAGGCCCGCAACGTGCCGTTCCTGGGCGATCCCGACGCGTGCGTAAAGGACGCGAGCGCGCTCGGCGGCGGGATGCACTCCCTGGACCTCGTGCCCGTGCGCGCCGCCATGGCGCACCCCGTCGCGACGGTGCCGGAGAAGGCCCCGCCGGCCGCCCTGCGCGCGGTTCTCGCGGCGTGCCCGGCCAGCGGCTTCCCGGTCGTGCGGGCAAACACCCCCACGAGTCAGGTCGCGGGTGGGGGGAGGGTCTTCGTGGGCATCATCCTGCGGAAGCACCTCGAGGTGCTGCTGCGGAGCCACGAGGAGGCGAACGGAGGCCACCTGCAAGCGGAGTCGTACGGCTGGGGCGTGGCGCCGCACCCGCCCGCCCGCGCGGCGACCGGCGCGAGGGAGCTGGCCGTCCTGGACCGCCCGGCGCTGTCCGTGGGCGACCACGCGGGCTCGAGGAGGCAGCGGAGGAAGGAGAGGAAGCGCGGGCGGAAGGCGGGCGCGGACGTGCAGATGATGCCGCTGGAGATGGACGCAGAGAAGGCGGGGCTGCTGCACCACGGCGAGGACGGCAGCGACCGCGGCGGGGGCAGCAGCGGGGGGCGTTCGGCGTCGCCGAAGACGCCGCGAGCGGGCACGGCGCCGAGCGGCGGCGCGGGGGGCGCGAAGGCGGGCGGGAGCGACTCTGCGACGACGGCGGGCGCGGCGGGGTCCGCGGGCGAGGAGGCGGGCGAGGGCCTGGACTGGGAGGACGCGGCGACGGCGGAGGGGCCGGAGGAGATCTGGTCGCGGCGGGACGAGGGGGAGCTGGTGGACCTGCGGCGGTTCGTCGACACCTCCGCGATGAAGGTGCGTGCGTGCGTGTTGTGGGGCCTCACGGGCAGCAGTGGGGACGTGCGCCAAGAGGGTGTGCGGCGCTCGCAGCGCGTGCCCATCGTGTGCTGAGCGCGCGCGTGGTGGTTGCAGGTGAGCGAGGACTTCAGTTTGGAGCGGGCGTACTTGTTGTTCCGCGCGATGGGTCTGCGGCACTTGACGGTGACCGACGTGCAGAACAACGTCATCGGCATCATCACGCGGCACGACCTGCAGCCGGACGTCCTGCAGCGGGCCGTGCAGCACACCGTCACGCAGCTCTTCTGAGAGCAGCGCGGCGCGGATAGCAGGAGGCGCCGCCGGGCTGAGTATGTGTGTGAGGGGTGTGTCGTCCATGGGAGTGCCGCTCCGGCAACCAGCGTGTCGTCCGCCGCCGCGGTCCCCACCAGCGCGTTTCGTGTGCCGCAGAAACAGGCCGAACACTCTGCTTGCCGCAGAGGGGGGGAGTGTTGGTTGAGTGCCCCGAGGTCCCTGGTGTCTGCTCACGCGCGCGCGCGGTTCGCGCCGGGCACATGGGCGGTCAGCGCTGCGGCCCGCGGTACCTCCGCGCCGGTGCGCCGCGCCCCCGGCGCCCGCTGCTCGCCACCGCGGCCGACCAGGTGGTGGTGTGCCATGGCGACGAGCGCGCACGGCACGATGCCCGGCCTAGCTCCGCACCCGACCGCTCCGCAGCGTCGTCCGGTGGCTACCTTGAACGTCGGCGGCACCTTGTGGCCGTCGGGCGCGGGCCTCGGCGGGTGCGCGTGCCCTACCCTCGCTGGGCGGAGTGGGTTGGGCCAGGGGGCTCTTGCGGCGCCGAGGCGCGCCGGACGCCCCGGGATGATATCTCGACCGACTACTGGCTCCTTCGCGACGGCGCCTCTGCCGCGTCGACCCTGCTCGTCGGCGGGGCGCGGCAAAACGCGTCAGCGCACTCGCGCCAAGGAGCACCGGGGGTCCACGGCGCGCGCCGAGGTGGTGAGCGACGGGTGCGTGCGGCGGCCGGTTCTCGAGTGCGTGCGTCGCCGCGGCGGCATTGAGCGCGATCGGTTCGCCGCCCCACGTGCGCGAAAGCGGCGCGGTGTGCTTTTGACCACTTTTGCGCCTTCGCGCGCCTGGCGTGCCGACTGCGCGCCGGCTCGCCCAGCGCGCCGATCCCCGTGCTCGCACCGCCTCCTATGGCCCCGCCCAGCGCTGCAAGGCGTCCGTTTCCCGGCTCTTTCCCAGGGACGGCGAGGACGCGCGCGGCGCGCCACCGAAGCAGGCCCAGCGGGGCGCGGACGCTCCGCCGTCGAACGGCTCCCGCAACGGCAGCTCTTCGAGCGGCAACGGGCGGTCTGACGAGGCGGCGAACGCACCGGCCGGCCGGGCCCGCCCCCCGAGGCCCCCCTCGAAGCAGGCAGTCCAGGCGGCCGCCCGTCCCGCCAAGGGCCGCCCCGAGAGGTCCGTCTCGGGCAGCAGCGACGACTCGGACAGCGGCGGCGGCGGCTCGCCGGGCCCGCGCAAGCGCCGCAGGGTGGGGGCGCGGCGACGGAAGAAGTTGCAGGCCCTCAAGCAGCGGCGCGCGGCCATGTCCTGGCCGGAGCGCGCGGCGGACGTGGCGTGGCACCGCGTGCGCGGCAAGCTGCCGCCGCCGTACAGCTACCTGCCCACGCTGGGCATCGCGCTGAAGAAGTTCCACGCCCGGAACGTGCAGCGCGTGCTGCGCCGGGTGGCGCGCGTCCTGCGCGTCCCCGTCGCGCTCTGGCTCTGCCTGCCGTACCGCCTGCGCACCACGCTCACGCGCGTCGCCGGCTGGGCGCCCGTGCTCCCGCCGCGCCACGTCAGCCCCGGAGTTCGAGAAGTCATCAAACCAGGGGTACGTGTGCGTGTGTGCGTGTGCCCACCCCCCCGCGTCTGCGCGCCGACGCGCACCCCGCACGCCAGCGGTGCCCGCGCAGGCGACCAAGCGCGAGCTGCTGGCCGCCGGGTTCGACGCCGAGGGTCGCAGCCCGCACCCGCTGCGCGACGTGCCGCGGTGGCGGTTCGAGCGGCTGGTCGGGTGCGGCGTGCGCGACGTGCAGCTCTTCCGGCGGGCGTTCACCGCGACGTCGGCGCTGCCGCTGGGCGACGAGCTGCGCAGCTACGAGCGGCTCGAGTACCTGGGCGACGCGGTCATGTCGATCGTGGTGCGGGAGTGGATGCTCGAGAAGTACCCGGAGGAGAAGGAGGGGACGCTGACGATGATCGAGTCCAAGCTCGTGTCTGAACCAGCCCTGTACCGGTGCGCGGGTCGCGAACTCGCCCTCGTGGCTGCTGCCCTCCTCGCGGGCCGTCCGTGACCGCCCGCATCGAGTCGTGTCGTTCGTGCGCGCAGGTGCGCGATGCGTCTGGGCCTGAACCGCTTCGCGGTGGTCAACGCGCACGACATGCGCAACAACTTGTCGCACTACCGGCCCAAGGTGCTCGCGGACTGCTTCGAGGCGCTCCTCGGGGCGCTGCTCACGGACCGCGGGATCGGCGCGTGCCGGTCCTTCGTCCGCCGCGTCGTCGAGGACGCGTGGCCGGACACGAACGAGCTCATGCGCAACACCAACTACAAGCAGCAGCTGGTGCGCATGTGCCGCGACCAGGGGTTCGGGTCGCCGCGTTTCAGGTGCGCGCGGAGGAGGGTGCCTGACCGCGTTGCGCGCTGGGCGGGCGAGAGAGCGCCTTCCCCCCCCCCCGCCTCCCCGTCTGACGCCGTCGCTGTGTTGCGTGCAGGACGGTGCGCAAGCTGCCGCAGCGGGGGAAGAAGCCGCCGCAGGTGTCGGTGGAGGTGTCTGCGGGGGGCACCGTGTACGGCAAGGGCACGGCGCTGACCCCGTCGCTGGCCGAGAACGAGGCTGCGGAGGTTGCGCTGGCCACGTTGTCCGACTCGGGGTCCTCGAGCGACGAGGACGAGGGCGCGGGGCGCAGCGACCCGAGCAGCCCCTCCTCCGGCACGACGGACGAGGAGTACCGCCCCATCTGAGACACGCGGTGTGGCGATATGTGTTGACTTTTGTGTTTCGACTGTGGTGCTTTGGCGTGAACTGACGCTCGTGACGGTGTGACTTGCTTGGCGAGCGACTAGGCGGGATAGGGACCCGCGCTTCCTGAACGACCCCCGCATTGTCTCACCGTCGTGCACGACTGCTCACACTGTCTGGGTGCCTGTGGGTCGGCGAAGAACTACAACAGAAACAGGACACTCGCTCAGGCCCTCGCCCACCTCACTCGCTCAGGCCCTCGCCCACCTCACTCGCTCAGGCCCTCGCCCACCTCACTCGCTCAGGCCCTCGCCCACCTCACTCGCTCAGGCCCTCGCCCACCTCACTCGCTCAGGCCCTCGCCCACCTCGGCCCGCACGACGCGCGCCACCCGCGCGCCCTTCCCCAGCGCGCCCACCACGTCCCGCACGCTCCGTCCCTCCTCGAGCACGTACTCCTGCTCGACCAGGCAGCACTCGGCCAGCCACTTGCGCCACTGCCCGTCGGCCACGCGCTCCGCGATGTCCGCCGGCTTCCCCGCGGCCACCGCCGCCTCGACGTGCTTCTTCCGCTCCGCCTCGCGCACCTCCGCCGGCACGTCCTCCGCCGTCACGTACCGCGGACGCATCGCCGCCACGTGCATCGCCAGCCCCTGCGCGACCCGCTCCGCCCCCGCGGCGTCCCCGGCGCCCTCCAGCGCCACCACGCCGGCGATCCGGCCCACGCCGTCGCCCACCTGCCCGTGCACGTACGTCCCGATCACCCCCCCGGGGGAGTCGACCAGGAACCCCCGCCGCAGCGACACCTTCTCGCGGACCGACGCGGAGACGCTCGTGGCCGCCTCCTCGGCCGTCATGCCCGCGTGCGGGGCGCCCTCGGGCACCTTGGCGCCGCCGACCACGTCCCCCGCGATCTCGGCCTCGCCCGGCGCCGCCTCGAGCGACAGCATGCTCTGCAGGGACGCGGGCGGCGGCGGTGTCTGCGCGCGGGTGGTCGCGGCGTGCGCGGGCAGGCGCGGGGCGCTGGCGCGTGTGCGCTGGCGCGTGTGCGCTGGCGCGGCACCTGGGACACGCTGCGCAGGAGTGCCTGGAAGGTCTCGTTGCGCGCCACGAAGTCCGTCTCGCTGTTGACCTCGACGACGGCCACGCGGCCCGGAGCCGTCGCCAGCGCGACCTGCGGCGCGGGGTCGGGGCGGGTGTCGAGAGGTCGTGGCGGCACCGCCTCGTTCTCTGATGGTGAGGAGCGCCGCCACCACCACCCTAACAGCGCGCAGGGCTCCGAACGTCAGGAGGGTTTTGCAAGGATTCAGCGCGAACTGCATCGTTCTGCAACTGATGTTTCAGTTCGCTCCGCACGGGACTCACCAGGCCGTCTGCCGCGTGCCGGGAGGCCGCCTTCTTGGCTGCGGCCGCGAGCCCCTTGCGCCTGAGCCACTCCATCGCCTCGTCCATGCTGCCGTTGCTCTCCTTGAGGGCCTTCTGCGCGTCTCCGATGGGAGCGCCGGTCCTCTGCCGCAGCTCCTTGACCATCGCCACCGACACCTGCGCCATCCCGCGCGAGGTGGTGGTGGCGCTGGGGCCCACGCCCAGGCCCAGGCCCAGGCCCAGGCCGGCGCCCACGCGCGGCACCGCGGCCGCGCACAGCGCACGGATCATATCTCCTCCCCTGAGCGCGGTGCGCGAACCCAGAGCCTGGCCCAGCCGCCTCGGAGTCGCCACTCGAGGAGGAACCCTAGTTCCCGATTCCGCGCCAAACGTGGAGTCAGCTGTGCGCGCCGCCGCGGCCACTGGTGCCTCTCGTCGGCTCCCACGTCTATCGGCCCGCGCGCTCCGCCACAGCGACTCCCCCGCGCCGTCCCGCCCAGGTCAGACCAGAGAGTCTCTCGTTTCACAACAGGCAGGCAGGCAGGCAGGCTCACTGCGAGTGGTGCCCCGCCGCGACCTCCGGCATGCCCGGCGCCGCGACCGTGTGCACCGCGACGTCCTGCGTGTCGCCCTCCTCCACCGAGTGCGCGGCCTCGGGCGGGTGCACCTCTGGCAGGCACGGCAGGGGCAGCATGGGCGGCAGCACCGGCGGGCCGAGCTTCGGCGGCGGGAGGTGCTGCGGCAGCTTCGGCGGCGGGAGGTGCTGCGGCAGCTCCGGCAGCTCCGGCACCGGCAGCTCCGGCGGCAGCTCCGGCGGCAGCTCCGCGTCCCCCGCCGCGGGGGCGCTGGCCTGCCGCTGCCGCTGGAGCTCGAGCTTCCGGCGCTTGATCGCGAGCCCGCGGCCCTTGCCGGCGGTCCCGGCGACCGACGGGTGCCCGAGGTGCTCGGGCCGGTTGCAGTCGGTGTGGTCGACGCCCATGCGCTTGGGCAGGCCGCACCACATGCACGACTTGGGCGTGCCCTTGCGCGCGCCGCGCTTGCGGCCGCGCGGGGCCGGCGCGCCGGGCGGGGGCATCACGGGCAGCGTGTTGGGCGCGCCGGGGGTGTCGAGGGGCGCGGTGGGGGGCGCGGGCGTGGTGGGGTGAGGCCCCCGCGCGGGGCGGCTGCGGGGCCGGGCTGCGCGGGCTGGCCGTCGCGGTCACCTCCGCGAGGAGGTCCAGGCCGCACACCGACGCGTCCTGGCCCGCGGCGGGCTGCGCCGCGCCGGACGCGCCGCCCACGGTGCCCGGCGCGCCTGGGGCGTGGCGCGCCGGCTGGAGCGCCGCACGGGCGTCGGAGCGCCCGGCTTGGCGTCCGGCTTGTCCGTTGGTGGGTCCTCGGGCGCCTCGGCCGGCGCGTCGGCCGCTGCGGCGGCGCGGGGCGACGGGCGCGCGCGGGTGAGCGAACGCTGTTGCCCAGGTCAAGGGGGCGCGCGATGGTCGCGGGCGGCGGGCGCGCGGGGCCGAGGGCGCGGCTCCGGGATCGAGGACGCGCGGAAACGCCGGCGCGCGGCCGCTGGCATCGTCCCCACGGCGCGAACGGGCGTCGCGCGCCGTGCGTGGGTGCCAGGCCCGTCGCTGTGCGGTGCGCGGAGGGCCGCGCGCGGCGCGGGAGCGGGGCGATTCCTATGCGCTTCGCGCGCGTGGCGCGCCGCTGGCGACGGCGGAGCGCAATGGGCCGCCGTCGCGCCGCCGGGCGCGCCCGCCCCGCGTCCACCCCACCGTGCGCTGGGGACCCATCCGGCCTCGCGCGCCGCGCGGGGGGCGCGCACGCGCCGATGACGGCCCGCACGGGACCACGCACCTGGGTTCGTCCCCTCCCGACCCGCCTGGTCATCCCCCCGCGCCGGGGCCGGGCCCCCGGGCTCGTCCTCGCCTGCGGGTGCAATCCTCTCCCCTGGCGCGCAACCCGAGCGATGCCGCCCGCTCCCTCCCGCCCGAGACCCCTCCGCGCCCTTGTCCCGCCCTAACGCCTGCGCGGGCGCCCCGTCGGCCCCGTCTCGCGCGCCAGCGGCGGGCGACGATCACGACGACGACGACGGGACGTGCGTGTGTGGGCCGCGGTGACGGTGCGGATCGTGGCGTGTCCGTGCGGCGTGTGTGTGGGTCGTGCTTCACACGGACGAACAGCTAGGACCCCTCGGAACGGCCGGGTCTCGAGCGCGAACGAGGACCCTTTCTCCCCGACGGAGGATCGATCAAAGCCCCCTTTTTGCTTCTGTCAGCTGCACCGACGTCGCGGCCGTGATGATTCGCCGACCTTTTTCGGCGGGCCTGGCCCCACGGAGGTTTCCTCGTGCCCGATGCGGATGGCAGCGCGCGGGCGATGCAGCGCGCGTGTGGACCCACGGGCATGTGTCCATGGGGGAGGCATGGCAGGGGCCGCCGGGCGTGGGGAGGGCGGTGTTGCGGGAGGCGGGCGGCGTGTTCGAGCCGGTGCTGCAGTACGCGTCATCGCGGGGCGCTGCAGAGGGAGGGAGCGCCGGCGCGCGCTCCTGGGGAACCCTCGTGGGGCATCCTCACCAGCCCCAGAGTGAGCATGGCCGGCGGTTTCTCGCGCTCGGGGGCACGGCAGGGATGTGAGGCTCGCTTCCCGGCAGCTCGACAGCGCGTAGGGGACACGACGGGGCTCCGTGGCCACGCAGGGGCGTCGTGCACCTGCTGCCCAGCTGGCGGCTGCTGTGGGATGGCAGGCATTTGTTGGTTGCGGGGGGTGGTCGTCCGTCCTGCGGCGTCGTGTGCGGCAGGCGTGCGTCGCGCCCGGTAGATGCCGCCGGCGCCGGGGGCGAGACGTGTCGGGCAGAGAGGGGGAGAGCCTTGTCCCCCGCTCTGTCTGTCGTGGGGGCCTGTTTTGGGCCTCTTGTGTTTGTTTCCAGGCGGTTTTACGTGCTCCAGTGCTCGCCGACGCCGCCGCAAAGGCGTGTTAGTCTGCCGGAGGGGTTGCGCTGTGCGTTGCGCCCAGGGGTCACACTAGAGCCGTTGTTTCCCGCAGCGGCTACCAAGGTGCTCGACCGGCTGCTTTGCTGATTGTTTTGGTCAGCTGATGTGGATTCTCCTGCGAGGATGTCGAGTGCGAAGCTGTTCATGTGCGCTGAAGGGCTGTTGCCTCCAACGATGACCTGTATCGCGTGTATGGAAACACACATGTGATTTTGCAATCTTGCTAATTGCGCCACTTACACGCAGCGATTCAGAGTGGATTCGCACGGCCGCGTGGCCAAATGGATAAGGCGTCGGCCTACGAAGTGTCCGGGATGGCGGCGGGGGCTCCCGGTGTACGCACGGCAGCGTGCACTGGGCAGCACCCCCCGGCTTCTCCGGGAGTAGAATAGCCGAAGATTGTAGGTTCGACCCCTACCGTGGTCAAGGCAATCATTTATTGCACGTCCCTGCGCGCTCGGGAAGCGGTTGCGCGTCCAGGGACGCGACGGGAGCCCGAAACGTGGCCAGACAGACCCAGCAGCCCTCGGCCCCGGTTTTCCCCGATATTCGCCCTGCTGCACTCGTCGCTTGCCTCCGACGAAGCCATGCGATCCTTCTCCGCGCCGTAAACTCGCTGAAAAGGCCGTACATGGCACGGCGTCGCCGGCTCCTTGCAGCCCAACAGCTGTCTGGCGGCCTGCTTGGCTCCGAATTCACGCCCGCGAATGCGGCTTCAGCTCCACGAGCCGTCATCATCTCGAAGTCATCGCCGACAACCAAAAGCGGACCTGCAGCGACGCACCTGCGCAGGGATACAAACTTCCTTCCGACAGACATACTCACACCGCTCCCGAACGCAAGAGCAGGCTGCACCGCTCCCCCGTGTGAGGCGCAGCGGGCCCTGGCCCGTGTGAGGACTCGCAGCTCGGCGCGCCCTCGCCGCCCCTCGAGCCGCGCCGCACCGGGCCGGGAGGTTGGATGTCTGCCCCCCGAAACTCCACCCGCTCGCGCCGCTGTCTCTTCGGCCGCGCTCGCGCGCATGCGACGCGGTTTCTGGACGCACCGCGTCTCTCACACCGCGCCATGCACCCTGACGCAGGGTGCGGGGCAGCTTCGCCGCTGCTCCGCGCCCGCGCCGGCTTGTTGGGTCCACGGGGCGACTGGCTGCGCCTCTGCGGCCGCCCACCCCGCACCGCGTGCACCTCATCATGCCCCCGTCGACGCGCCGCCGCGGTCGCTCCGTCGGCGCGCGCGACCGGACCGGGAGGCTGAGGTTTGGCTCCCCCAGGCACTCGACGCGCTTGCGCCGCTCTTCGGCCCCGGTCGCACGCGCCTGCTGCGGTTTCTGGACGCACCGCGTCTCTCACATCGCGCCCGCGCGCAGCACACGCACGCTGACGCAGGGTGCGGGGCAGCTTCGCCGCTGCTCTGCGCCCACGCCCGCGCGGGCTTGTTGGGTCCCCGGGGCGACTGGCTGCGCCTCTGCGGCCGCCCACCCCGCGCCGCGCGTGCACTTGACCATATCTGTGTCGACGGTCAGCCGCGGTCGCTCCGTCGGCGCGCGCGACCGGGCCGGGAGGTTGAATTCCCCCCCCCACTTCCAGGCACTCCACGCGCTGGCGCCGCCCTCTCTTCGGCCGCGCTCGCGCGCACGCCGTACGCGATGTGGTTCCCGCCCGCCCGGAGGGCCCCAGGCCCGTGAAGCTCCTCCGGCGCCCCGTCCCGCGGCGCACGACACTCGCGCCGCACACACACGAGTCGGAGACGGCCGCCGGCGCGCTCGCGAAGAGCGGAGCTCGCGGAGCTGCAAGCGCCGGCGCCCTCCCCCCCGCGCGCGCCCCGCCGCACCCGCGGCTCGCGTCGGGCCCCGCTCCTGCGACGCAAGTCCTGCTCCGCGCGCACCCGCACCTCGCGGGCCCGGAGTGGACGTCCCTGCCCGCCTCGTCGTGCAGCACCAGCTCCCGGCCCCTCGCGACGCGCGAGCACCGCACGGACGATGCGCGGCGCCGCCACGCCTGAGTGCAGCATGCACTGCGCGCGCATCACGCATCGTGCCAGCGCAGATGGGACATAGAAGGGGATGCCGAGTCTCGGGGGCCGCGGTCACGCCCACCGAGGACAGGAGCCTCCTCCGGGGCGTCGAATGAGGCCGTCGTGTACCTGTGAGCGCGCGCAGCAAGAGACCCAGTGGGGAAAAACGAAGCCCGGGGCCGGTCAAGAGCGCCGGCAGGTGTGTGGAACGCACGGGGACCGGGCTTGAGCCCAGCCGCCCCACCCTGACCACACGCGCGCAAGGGCAGCCAGTGCCCGCGTGACGGTTGGAGGGGGGGGCGTACGCTGCGAACGGGCATGCGCTGCGGGGCGGTGGTCGCGCCGTCGGCCGTGGCTCCGCGCGTCTCCCGCCCCCGCGTCGGAAAGCCGTGCCCGCACTCCTCGCTCCGCTTCCGCGCCACGACGCGAGCCAGATCCCCACCGCCTGCCCCTCGACGACGCGTTCTGGTGTGCGGAGGCGCCCTCGCGCGAGCGCGGCCGGGGCCGGTCGTTGGTCTGACTCAGCGGTCGTGCCCTGCGCTCGGAAGCGCGCCCGGGGAGCGGGGGCGGGTGACACCGCTCGGGGGCAGCGTTCCACGTGGTTGCGCTGCCGCGTTGTTGTCCTTCGCATCGAGCAGGGCGAGCAGACGCGCCACGGCGCGATAGAAGTCCGCGTCGAGGAAGAGCAGGCGCGTGCGGGCATGCGGGTGTCCGGCCAGCGCCTGCGCCTCGATCGTCGTCTGGGCCTGAGGAGTTTGATTAATTAATCAATCAATCACTCCACTCGAGGTGGAGTCATAAGTCCAACTCATCGTTGTGAGACTTGAGCCGCGCCGTCTCGGTACCACCCGCGATCGAGCGGGCCCGCGGCTTCGCCTGCAGCACGCCCCCCCGCAGGCCGCCTCCGCGTGCGGCGACGACCTCCGGAGCGTCGCACTCGAGCAAGAGATGGCGCTGGTCCTCCGGCGACGCGCTGCCGCAGGAACGGCACGCGAGGGCGCCCGGACGGGGGCGGGATCGCGCGGCGAGACACGACGCGGGCGACCACGGTGCGGGGCCTCACACGGGCCGTCGGCATCCCTGAGCAGGACCGCAAGCTTGCAGTGCTTAAGCTCACCCGTAATGCGTCTCCTTCATCCCCGCCGGCAGCACCAGCCCGCTCCCCGCAACGCTCCACCGACGCAGACGGTACGCGACGCTCTGCTCCAGCGGCCCCGTCAGATTCATGCACTCTCGCACGTACAGCTCCTCCAGCGCGTGCAGTCCCTCCGGCAGGCTCAGCATGTTGCTATTGCTTGCCTTCAGCACCCGCAGCCTCGCAGCGCCGCCCAGCACCTCCGCCGCGTCCTCCCAGTCCAGCTGCTTGCAATGGCTCACGTCCAGCTCCTCCAGCGCGCACAGTCCCTCCGGCAGCCTCCGCATGTTGCTATTGCGTGCATGCAGCACCCGCAGCCTCGCAGCACCGCCAAGCACCTCCACCGCGTCCTCCCAGTCCAGCTCTTTGCAACAGCTCACGTCCAGCTTCTCCAGCGCGTCCATGCCCCTCGGCAGCTTCCGCACGTTGCTCAACGAGGCTCTCAGCACTCGCAGCCTCGCAGCATACGACGCGGGCAGGAACGCCTCCCCGTCCAGCTGCTCGCAATCACTCACGATGAGCTCCTCCAGCGCGGTCAGCCCCTCCGGCACCCTCCTCACTGCAGGGCACAAGAAGACTTTCAGCCCACGCAGCCTCGCAGAGATCCGCGCCGGGAAGAAGCCCTCCGTGATTTCTCCCGGGAAGCCGCTCAGGTCCAGCTCCTCCAGCGCCGTCAGCTCCTCCGGCACCCTCCGCAGCCCAGCGCTGTTCACCCTCAGCACGCGCACCGTGGCAGCGTTGCGTAGCGAGCCGACGTCCAGCGACCCGCAGCTCCTCACGTCGAGCACCTCCAGCGCCGTCAGCCCCTCCGGCACCACCCGCATCCCCGTGCCCCAAGCATCCAGCACCCGCAGCTCCACAGCGCCCGCCAGCGCAAGCTCGGGCTGCAGATTCTCGCACCAACGCACATGGAGCTCCCGCAGCGCCCGCATGCCCGCGGGCAGCTTGCGCAGAGCGCTGTAGTCGGCGCGCAGCACACGCAGCCCCGCCGCGGACGACGCCGGCAGGCACGCCTCGTCCAGGCGGCAGTACTCCGGTGCTCCTGTAGCTCCCCAGTTGTACCAGTGCCCGCACACACTGAGCTCCTCCAGCGCGCACATCCCCTCGGGCACCCTCCGCAGGTTGCTGTAGTTGGCTTTCAGCACCCGCACCCGCCCAGCGCTCGACGCCGGCAGGAACGTCTCGCCCTCCAGCTGGTTGCAATCGCTGACGTCCAGGACCTCGAGCGAGACCATCCCCTCCGGCACGCGCTCCAGCCTCGTCCCGCCCACCCTCAGCTCCGTGATGCCCGCCGCCACGCCCGCAGGCAGCCACTCCCGCCCCCACACACCCTCCATGTCCAGCCCGGACACTGCCACGTCCAGATACCGCAGGCCCGTCATCTCCGCCGTCACCGCAGGCGCCGACGCCAGCTCACGCCGGCCGGCATCCGTCTGGACCAGCGACTCCAGCAGATCCCGATCTCCCGCCTCCACGCGCACCACCGCGGACGGCACGCCCACGTCGCAACTGCCTGCGCGTTGATACACCACCCACTCCCCGCGCCCCGTAGCCCACCCTACCTCCGAGCTCGTCCCCTCCGACACCCGCCCCTCCAGCCGCCGCGCCACCGTCTGCCCCACATGCCCCGCCTCCGCACAAGACCTGCCTGCGTCCCGAGACCACCACCTCGCGCCGTCGCAGCTCTCCAGCACCGCTGCCATCATCGCCGACGACGTCGCCGCCAAGGCGACGCGCGACATGCGCGGCAGCGTACGTATGACGCTGGCCAGGGGACCGTCCCGCCCGCATTGAATGTCCTCCAGCTGATGCTGCTGGGGCCGTGCGCGAGTTGAGCGCTCGCGGGGCGCGCCCCCACCGCTGCGCCGTCCCTGTGGCATGATGATGTGATCGTCTGAAGCTGCCGTGTCGCGTTCCCGCCCCCGTGCGCCGCCTCCTGCGCCCAAGGAAACAACGAGGGGAGGCAGTTGGGAGGTGGGGCCCGCAACGACGTTGCGCGATGACAGCGACGCGCGGCCGACATCTCGCCGTGCTCCTCTGATACTGAACGTCGTAGCGCCACGCTTGACATGCGCCTCGAACGCGGCATCCGCACGCGGCAGCGCGCCAAGCACCTAGGCTGCATCGCCAGCGGTGCCGCATGCAGGCGCGTTCCGGACACACATGTACAGTGCCGCGCTGCCACTGATGCATACCACGCGTGTACACGCACACACCTGTTCACCGCCCGCAGAATGCGCGTACACGACCCCTGGTGTTCCTCGCTCTGCAGTGGCCGATGCGCGGCTGCGATAAGTTGCAGTTTCGTACGGCCGCGACGCTGGACGCTGCCCGATGTACGCAGCCGGCGCGGCGAGGGGCTCATATCGGCCCTCACGCGCTCAGTCGAGGACACCTTCCCCTGACTGCAGTCGCCCAACGTGGCAGACCGCGCGGGGCGAGGCGCGCGGGAGAAGGGGCCGAACATCGTCCGCCGGGCTCTAGTGTGCCCGAGGGTGAGGTCCCACCGCTGCGACAGCGCGTTGTGAGCGCGCGCAGCATGACATGACGAACAGCCTCACTTCATTGGCGAGCAAAAGCTCTGCCTCCGCTCCACCAGACGGGCGCGGACGATCCATCAGGCCGGGCTCCAACCTGACCGCGGCGGGTGCGTCGCGACCCCGCAGCTAAGTCGAGACGAAAGCACCGGCGAAACGCTGCCGCTGGTTCGGATCTGTGCAGGATCTGGCCCAGCCGATGCGGGTCGGCGGGCACGTCATTGGCGGCATGCCGCTGGTGCTGATGCGGGCCGGGGTCCTCGGCCCGGCCGGAAGCTACTCGTACGGCGAGTTGTTCCGGGCGAGTGGCGACGCGGTGGACCCGCGTCGCTGCCACCTGCAGGATGGCGACCAGGAGTGGGACGGCGAGGCCGAGACCGGCGGCCCAAGGTTCGCCGGGTGGGCCGCCGGTCTCGGCCTCGCCGTCCCACTCCTGGTCACCGTCTTGAAGATGGCAGAGACGCGGGTCCACCGCGTCGCCGCTCGCCCGGAAGAACTCGCCGTACGAGTATCTTCCGGGCGGGCCGAGGACCCCGGCCCGCATCAGCACCAGCGGCATGCCGTCAAGGACGTGCCCGCCGACCCGCATCAGCTGGGCCTGCAGGGCGTCGATGTCCGACGTCCGCGGGCCCCGAGGCTGGAGGCCAACCCACGCAGCGAGCGCTTCGGCGCCCTCGGGCCTGGGGCGGTTGGAGAGGACGTGCGCGCTCGGAGCATCACGCCGGTCAACGTGCTTCCCAGCCGCCGTTCGGCACTCGCGGAGCCACCACCTGTGCAACCTGCGAGCACCCGACGAATGTACAACCAAACAGAGAGGGGCGACCCTGTTTCGACGCGTCGGGCGACAACAGGCAAGTTTGAATCACCGCGTCGTGCCATGTGCTTCGACCCTTCCCCCCCCAGCCCCCCTCGAAGATAAAACGCACCTGATGGCGTCATCAGCTGATCCTGCAGGTAAACCTCGTTCTCCTCCACCAGGCGCGCGTACGCGCTCGGCTTGGCAGTCAGCGCCGCACTGATTGCGGGCTGTCTGCCAGAACATCTCCACTAGGGCGGAGAGGTATGTAGGTCCTGGTACATGTAATGTCTTGCCACTTCAGCCGCAGCGGCGGCCGCTGCAAGCGCCGGCGCCCCCCCGCGGAGCCCGGCGCCCCCTACCACGCGCGGCTCGCGTCGGGCCCCGAACCTGCGACCCAAGTCTCCCTCCCTCCGAGCGAACCTCGCTGGCCTGGAGTCGAAGCTCCATGTGCAATGCCTGTGCAGCCTGCGAGGCGCGCCCGGGTGCGCGCGGCAGTTGCTGCGGCCCGAAGTACATGCTCGCTTGCTCTCAGCCAGGCCCCGGCGGGTTCAGCGGTCCGTGCAACACCCGTCTCAGCCTGGTACGAATCGTCGTTGATCACACGGCAGTGCGCCCCCGGCTGACAAACCTCGCCCCGAGGGATAGGCGACCGCGCGCCGAAGCCGCTGAGTAGCGCGCGCACCTGGGGGAGTCGCGCGGCGGTCTGAACTAGGTTCGAAGCGACGAGACTGCTTCCTGCTGCTTTTCGTCCGTCTCAAGCACGCCGCCCGGACGTTCCCCCTGCGGCGGCTGCGCTGCGCCCGCGCCTCCCCGCGCAGGCTGTCTGACGCCCCCTTCTCCCCTCGGTGGGATCGGCACCCCGTTGCCTGGGCCTGTTGAACGAGCGTGCACCACCATGCGCTCCCGGAGGAGCAAGAATCGGGTGGTGCGCCCCGGCAACGAGAGTCTCTGTGAGGTCCGAGCACGCTGCTCTGAGCACCCTCGCGCCGCCACTCGATCACCCCGCCGCTCTCTCCACCTCGCTGCCTGAACCTCGCGACGCACGCGACTCGTCCTCATGCGCTTGGATCACAATGTAGTGGACAATCTTTCAACAGCACACGACTGTCGCAATAATCGTGCACGTGGGCCGTGCGACGATGCCAAGCCAAATCAGCCTCGGCGGCCCCCGCACACATCACGCCGCCAGCTCGGCCGACACCCGCTCCATCATCGCCCGCGAGCCGTCCGCGCGCTCGTTCTCGGTCCCGCGGGCCGAGTTCCCGCCCGACGCCCCGCCCAGCACCGCCAGCCGCGGACCGGGCGCCTTCTCCGTCCCGCCCGTCGTCCGCGCCATGAAGCCCAGCACGCCGCCGCCCGCGACCCGCGGCGCCTCCTGCGGCGCGACCCGCGGCGCCTCCTGCGGCGCCTCCTGCGGGTCCACCCAGTCCTCCGGCTCCTGCGCCGCGCTGTAGTCGCCGTCGTCCTCGAAGTCGTCCTCGTCGGGCATGCTCCTGTGGCTCGTGGCCTGCGACACGCGGCTGGCGCGCCCGCCCGAGGGCTTGCCGCCCGCGACGCTCGACTCCACCCGCGAGGGCCCGCGGTGCGTCGGCACCGCGTCCTTCGGCCGCGTCTTGTCCTTGAAGATGAACCCGTCGACGCCGCCCTTGAGCGTCTGGTGCAGGTCCGCGAGCGCCTCCACCGCCTCCATCATCCGCCGGTTGGCCCGCCGCTGCGCCAGCAGGTGCTTCAGGTGCACCTGCAGGTTCGGCCGCGCGAGCGCCACCTGGAAGAGCTCGTCCGACGGCAGGCAGATCGCCTCGACGTCCCCGACCGCCTGGATCGTCGCGCTGCGGATCCCGGACTTGGATAGCAGCGCCATCTCGCCCGCAAAGCACCGCGGGCCCATGCGCGCGAGGTGCGACTGGTTCGTGCCCTCCTTGCGCCACATGTCCACCGTCGGCATCAGGCTGTTGACCGTGTCCATCACCATGCGGTCCAGCGCCTCCCCGCGCCCGCCCCCGCGCATCTGCGCCTTCGCCATCGAGTCGACCGAGTCGAACTGCCGCGCGCGCGAGATGAGCGAGTCCGGCTGCACCGCCCCCACCGCCGGCGGCGCCGCGTGCGGCACCTCCGACACCGACTCCAGCGGCCCGCGCCCCGCCGGGGCCCCCGCGCTCGGCCCGGCCTCGCCCTTGTCCTTGCCCTTGCTGCTCGCCGCGTCGTCGTCGTCGTCATCGTCGTCGTCGTCGTCGTCGTCCTCGCTGCTGTGGTCGCTCTCCGGCACCACGTCCTCGATGTCCCACGCCTTCCCGGACTCGTACCGCTTCAGCTTCGGCGCGGGCGGCTTCTTCTTCGGCACCTTCTTCGGCACCATGCTGACCTTGTACGCGCCAAACATGCTCTTGCCCTTGGGCTTGGCCGCCGCCGGGGCGGTCGCCTTGGCCGCCGGGGCGCCCTTGATCGGCGGGAGCTTCGCGGGCGGCTTGGCGGGCGCGGCCGCGGCGTCGGGCGCGTCGAGGAACGCGTTCCCTCCCGCGCCGCTGCCGTCCTCCTGCGTCGCCTCCGCCGCGGCCTTCTCCTCGAGCTCGTGCGAGAGCTGGTCGAGCTCGCCCGCGAGCCCCGCGACCTGCGCGGCGACCAGGCTGCTCCGCCGCCGCGACCGCCGGCTGTCCGCGGACTTCCGCGCGGGCTGCGCCGCCGCGCTCGCCTCGAGGTTCTCGCTCACGTTCATCGACTGGTGCCGCCGTCCGGGCAGGAACCGCGGGCTCCCGACGGGCACCGCGTCGTCGATGCGCTCGCTCTGGATCGCGCGCCCCTCGCTGATGAGCCGCCCCAGCTGCTTGGCGTCGATGGCGTGCGGCGGCGGGAGCTCCGGCGCTGACGACCGCGCCGACAGCGCCGACCCCGCCTGGCTCGACCCGTCCGGCGGCACCTCCTCCGCGACCCGCAGCTTGAACACGTCGACCTGCCCCTGAATGATGAAGAAGCACGTCCCCGCCTCCTCGCCCTCGCAGCACAGGTACTCCCCGGGTTGGTACCGCTTGGTCATCCCGCGGAACTTCTCGCTCTCGGTCAAGAAGACCACGTCGTCGTCGCGCAGCTCCGCCTCGATCTCGGACTCCACCGACATCAGCTCGTCGCTGTCGGCCTCGCTGTCGTCCATCCAGTCGTCCTTGCCCAGGAGCCCGAACTCGCGCGAGACCAGCGCGCCGTACACGCGGTCGTCCCCGAGGTCGTCGCCCTCGACCACCTCGACCCGCCCGCGCTCGACGGCCTCCATCACGAGCGTGCGCATCGGCAGCTTGCCGTCGTCCGTCACCCACGGGTGGTCGACCACCGCGCCAAACGTCAGCCGCTCCTTGGGGTCCTTGGCCAGCATGCCGCGCAGGAGGCTCAGCGCGCCCTCGCTCAGCCCGAACTCCTCGGGCGGCTCGCGCATCTCGTCGTCGATGATCGCGTCGTAGATGGCGAACACCGTGCCGCTCTTGCGCCCGAACGGCAGGTCGCCGACCAGCAGGTGGTAGAGCGTCACCGCCGACGCCCACAGGTCCGCGCTGCGGCCCGACGTGGGGTCGCCCCAGCACATCTCCGGCGACAAAAACGCCGGCGTGCCCTGCGCCTTCTGGAGCGTGTCCTTGTAGTACCAGAACGCGTTGCCGTTCAGCGGGTCGGGCAGGCCCTCGCCGCCCTTGGCCAGGCGCGCCTTCTCGCCGTCCTCGTCGCCGTCGAGCGTCTCGTCCGTCACGGGGAAGAACGTCGCGGACCCGAAGTCGATCAGCTTGACCGTCCCCTTGGTGTCGTAGGCCAGGTTGGCCGGCTTGATGTCGCCGTGGATGACGCCGCTCCCGTGGATGTACGCGAGCCCGAGCAGCAGCTGCCGGAACACCCCGCGCGCCACGGGCTCGCTCAGCCGCTCGCACGACCCGTCGGGCAAGTCCTCCTGCACGGGCCCGCCCTGGATGAACTCCATCACCACCAGCAGCAGCTTCGAGTCCGGGTCGTCGATCACCTCGTACACCCGCACCACGTTCGGGTGCGTGAGCTGCTCCATCACCTCGATCTCGTGCCGCAGGACCTTCTCCGGGTCCTGCTGCCCGCCCATGGCCTTGGAGGCCGCCTTGGAGCGCTTCTCGCGCTCGACGCGCTTCACGGCGACCATGCGCGACTCGGAGAGGTCGAAACACAGGTACACCGCGCCGAACGAGCCCTGCCCGAGCGTCTTGAGGAGCGCGTACTGGTTCAGGAAGACCTGGCTGCCGATGGCGCCGACGTTGAGGTTCTTCTCGCGCCGGACCTGCCGCGACACGCCCGTGCGCGCCGACCGCGCGTCGGCCGGCAGCGGCTTCTTCTCGAAGCCGGGCAGGCCGACCGGGCGCTCCGTCGCGTCGATCATCGCCAGGTTGCCCTCGGTGAGCGCGCCGCCCGGCCCCGCCGCCGCCGTGAACGACTCGCCCTGCCGCGACGACGCCGACGGCGACTCCTCCACCACGTTGTTGAACATCACCCCGCGGCGCTTCTTCGCCCCGCCGCCCGCGTCCCTCCCGCTCCCCGACGCGCTCGGCCCGCGCGCCGTCGGCGACAGCGCGCCGTCGCCCGCGTTGCTGTGCCACCGCAGCAGCCCGCTCGGTACCGCCACCGGCGCGAATCTCGAGTTCGGGCGCATGATCGCGTCGACGTTCCCGTTGCCCGACACGCTGCTCCGCAGCGCAGGGTCCAGCGCGTCGGCAGTCCCACGCGGCGAAAGGCCCCCCCCCGCGCGGTCCCAGTGCTCCGAGTGCACGCTCTCGCGCCCGCTCTCGCGCCCGAAGCCCGCCAGGTCCTGGCTGCCGTCGGACGCGTGGCTCTTCGCGTCCTCATCGTCCTCGTCGTCGTCGTCGCGCTCGACGCGCGACTTGCCTCCGCGCCGCCGCACCGACCGCGTGGACTTGAACGACTTGGCCGTCTTGGCCGACTTGAAACTCATGGCGTCGAAGTCGCGGCGCTTGGCCGCGCGGATCGACTTGGCGACGTCCTCGTACGTGGTCACCCCGCCCTCGTCGTCGTCCGCCGCGCTGCGCCCGTGGATCGAGAGCGCGCGCGCGACGGTGCGCGGGCTGAACAGCTCCGCCGCGCCGCCCACGCCGGGGCCGTCGTCGTCGTCGTCCGCCGCGAACGCCACGCCGCGCCGCTTCGGCCCGCTGGCCGACTTGCTCGTCCCGCCGTCCGTCGCGGCGAACCCCACGCGCCGCGACCCCTCCGCGGCCTCGCTGTCCGACGGCGGGCCCGCGAACGCCACGCCCTTCCGCCGCGCGCCGCCGCCCGTCACGCGCGGCGACTCCGTCTCGCTGTCCCCGCCCGCGAACTTGACGCCGCGCACCGGCGTCGACGGCGCTGGCTCGAGGACGTCCCCCGCGGACGAGAACCCGACGCGGCGCGCGGGCGCGCTCGCCTCCTCCGCGACGCCCGCGGTCGCGTTCATCTTGCTGTTGCTCAGCGCCGACTTGAGCACCGGCGCCGTGGCCTTCTTCTGCGCCTGCGGGGGCAGGCGGCCCAGGCGGGACTGCTGCCGCGGCGTGACCTCCTCCGCGGAGTTCCGCTTGTCCTTCCTGCCCTTGCCCGAGAACGAGCTCTCGCTCTGGCTCGCGCGGGACTTGCGCCAGCTGTTGATTCGCGCGGCCCCGCCCATCATCGACAGGTTGCTGCGCTCGGGTCCGGAGCCCTCCGAGGAAATGCGGTCCTCGCGGTCGCGCCTCCGCTGCTCCCGGCGGTCCCTCGCGGCCTGCGCGAGCGCGCGCGGCGAGAAGAGCGCCAGGCGCGACGGCGTGCGCGGCTTCGTGGCCCCTCCGCCGGCCGAGGGCGAGGCGCCGTCCTGCTCCGGCTCGATGCGCCGCGGGGAGAACGCCGGACGAAGGTGGTTGTTCCACACCGCGGAGAGGCTGGAGCCGCACCCGCACTGCGCCGTCGCCACGGGCTCCGCCGCAGGACTGTACGGGGCATCCTCGCCCCCGTTCGCCAGCTCCGCGCCATCTGCGTCGCGCAGACCGCACGGCGTGTCCCCTGAGCGACTGTACGATGTGCGAGGATGCCGCGGGGCGCGGCCGCACGTGCCGCGTGGGGCGTCGGGGCCGGCGCCGGGCCCGCAGTGCAGCGGTGAGTGTGCACGTCCAGGGCTGGGGGAGCGGTGGCCGCGGGCAAGGCGCGGGCGGCGGGTGGAAGACGGGCGGAGCAGCGGGCGGCGTGGTGCGTCGCGGGCAGGGTTCGCACCTGGGACGTCCCGCGCTGCCGCGTCGTGGGAGCCTCGAGGCCCTTGCTGCGGCGTCGCGTACGGGCTGACGGTGCCGCTCTTGCTCTTCCACCCCTTGGGCTTTCCGGGCCGTGAGCCTCCCTTTCCCCCGCCGTTTTGGGGAGTCAGGCACACCGTGGTGTCGGTGTGGGCCTGGAGATGGTGATCATAGCTGCCGTTCGCGCCTTCGACGCCGTTCAGGGCTCCCGCGTCCCGCACGGCCTCCGGCGCGGCAGCGACCCGCCCGACGCTCGCGCCCTGCCCCATCGCGGACGCAAGTCAGCACCAGAGAGGCGCCGGGCCTGCTGCCCACTGTGGCCCGGCAGGGCGTGCGTGCCCGCGCGGTGGTCTCAACGCGCCCGCGGGGTGCCTGCGTCGAGCCTGGCGATAGCCACCATGCTAGGGAGCTGAAAGCGCGACGAGAAGCGCCACCTCCCTGGAGAAAGTCTGCGGGAAGGACGCACAGGGTTGCCAAACATATCGTGGCCATGCCGGCCCTCACAAGAGCTCGTGTTCGATGATGCCGCGTCGGAGACGGCGGTGGAATTATTCGAGAATCAAAACTTCGACGCAGGGCCCGCCGCGCATGCGTTCTGTGCGCGGCGGCGAGCACGCGACAGCGAGGTCTGGGCGCTAGCAGGCGCCGTGGGCAACGCTGCTCCGCGCCAGGCCCTTGCGTGTAGCAGACAACGCGAGTTCTCGATGCTGGCGGCTCGGGCGCGCGAGCATGGCGCGGGGGCGGCTCATTCCAGCTGTTGTTTGCATGCAGAGCATCCGCGCACGCAGCGTTTCAAGCCGGCTCACCTCGTGGGCCCCGCTATGCCGCCACAGAATATCTAAACGGACGCAGCGGTGCCGGCTTTGCGTCCCCACGCCCTCTCGACGGGCGGGCAACCTGCGCTACAGGAGGCCTGGCAGCACGTTTCGGAGCTCGGCACACACCCCGCAGCTCGAACTTGGTTCGCTACTGCCACCGAGCGCCCTGTCGCCGCACCATGTAGCGCCAGCGCCCCCCCCGCGGCGCAGGGCTCCGCCCGACGAGGCACATCCTGCGCCCAGCTCGCCCCCCCCCCAACTGCTCCCGCTCGGTCGGCGCGCAGCCCGCTTTGCGTCCGCCGGCCGGCGGGGCCACCCACTGCCCGGGCTCGTCGAGGCCTTCCGGCTTGCCGACGCTGCGGGCGAACGGTGCCGGGTGGAGGGTGCAGCCTATTCGCTAGGCGGTCGGGTACCTGACGCCGCCCTGCGTTGCGCGGCGGTGGGCGCGCTGGCCGTCGCGCCCGCAGACTGCTCGAGGGCAGTGCTCTCGTCTGTGGCGTTCGGCGGCCGCAGGTCCGTGGGCCGCAGCCTCACGGGGGAGCGCTGGCGGGGAGCGTGCTACTCGGTGCCACAGCGCGATGTATAAGCTGAGCTACGACGTCGAGGAAGCGCGGGGCGGGGCCGGCGGAGTGGCTTCGTCGGAGGCGCCGGCTCCCGCGCGCGACGCGGGCGGCGTGGACGCTGCGTGTGCAGAGGCTGCAGGCCAAGCGCTGCGCCGGCGCGCCGTGCTGGCTTCCGCGATGGAGCTGGCCTCCGTGCCGCGAGTGAACAGCAGGGAGGAGCTCGCCGCGTTGTGCTGGCACTTCACCAGCGAGGTAGTGGCCCGCAGACGCCGGCCCCGCTCACCGCCTGTTGCATGCGCACTCACCGCCCGCGCTCGCCGCGCCCGAGGCCGCTCCGCCCCGCGCGCCGCACGCAGGAGTTCTACAACCTCGCGGAGGACCGGGCCGCGGGCGGGAAATGCGGCTGGCCGCTCTGCAGCGCCCCCTGCCAGGGTCCCCGCAAGCCCACGCTGCACGTCTCCGTCGCGCAGCAAAAGTTCTACGCGACGGGCGGCGAGAGCGGGCCCCATGAGTTCTTCTGCGGCACGCAATGCCACGTCGACGCCGCGGCCTTCGCGGCCAGCCTCGGAGACGCCGTCAGCACAAAGACGGCATACGCGCACAGGCTCGCACAGGCCGCGGCCGCCCGCCGGGACGGCGCGCGCAACGCCGCCGACACGCCTCCACGCGCCCCGCAGGCCGGCGGCTTCGCGCTGCCTTACGTCAGCGCATCCGCAGCGCAGGGCGGCGCAGTCAGCATGGTGGTGCGAGAGCGACAACCGGCGCCGCGGGAGCCCGCGAAGCCCGCGCCGGACCCGCCCGCGACGGACGGAAAGGCGCGGGGCGACGCGGTGCTCGTGCTCGACATCGAGGCGGGCCAGGACGAGCCGGGCGGGAGCGGCGGGGCGGACGGTGACGAAGTGGCGGGCAAGATGGCAACACTGCGCGTGGAGCGCGGCGGCGCGGCGGCGCCGGGCGACGGCGCGGAGGAGCGGAGGAGCGCGGACGCGCCGCCGCCGCTGCGGTCGCCGCTGCTGCCGGCGTGGCTGCCGGGGGGGGGTGTGGACCCGCGCGTAGTGCTGCTGCGGAAACAGCGTGACGTGAGCGACACGGTGCGCGGGCAGATGAGCGGGGGGGACTCCGGGGACGAGGTGTGGGAGACGGACGACGAGGAGGGCTGGGAGTCGTCGCAGGACGGGCGGAGCAGCGACGGCGGGGGGGGCGGCTCTGACGGGTGCGCCGCCCGACCTGAGTCCGTCCGAACGCGTGCTGAGCATGTCGCTCGCAGCGGCCGTGCGGCCGCAGCGCACGTGCAGGGCGCTGACGTGCCTTGACACCCCCCCTGTGTGGCCGTCCTTGCAAGCGCAGCGGGGGGGGGTCGGAATCCGACGACGACCTGTTCGGGATCCCGAAGGAGTTCGAGCTGCCGCCTTCCTGCTTCACCGCGCGCTACCTGGCCCTCTCGCGGTGCCGCACGGACCGCACCCGCGTCTTCCTTGGCGCCATAGACCCCCCCCCTCCGCGGCCCAGCGGCGGCCCAACGGACCCCGGCGCCGCCCCGGTGGCCCCGCGCCCGCCGGGCGCGCACCACGAGGCCGCGCTGGCCTTCGCACGGTCCGTCACGCCGCTCGCCCAGAAGCTCGCGCTGCGTGCCAAGTCCCCGGTGCCGCTGGCGACCGTCAACGCGGACGTGTTGGAGCTGATCTCGACGCTGGACATGCGCGTGCCGCCGCCGTCGCTCGCGCTGTCGGAGCGCACGCTGTACGCCGCGGTGCTGCTGCGCGCGCTGGCGTTCCGGCGGCAGCCCGCGCTGGCGGGGATGTTTGCCTTCGAGGGCGGCGCGGAGAGCTGCGCGGGCGGCAGCGCAGAGGAGATGCGGGAGGCGCTGCGCGAGGTGGACGTCCCCGCGGACGAGCTCGAGGGCCTGGCTGCGGCGCTGTTCCAATGAAGGGGGGGGCGTCAGACAGCACCCTCGCGTCACCGTGCGAGGGCCCGGCACGTGGCGTCTCGCGCGGGGCCGTGGCGCCCCGGCCGACGGTGGTGGGCGTTTGGCGTCGGCCGCGGCGGCGCTCATGCGCACCGTTCGGGCGCATGATACCGCAGCGCGAGGTTTCCGTGGCCCCTGCGGGCGCTCCGAGGCCCCGGGAGAGACGCGAGGCGCGTCGCTTCAAGCGGGTAGTATTACACTATGTTTAGACACTTAGTTAGGGACACATGGCGGTCCGACGTCGTGCTGTCGTATCAAAAAATGTGCAGCGCTTCTGTTTCTCGCCGCCGCCCGCGCCTCACTGCATCGCGGCGTCCTGCGCCGGCGCAGCCTGCCCTGGCCGGTAGTCGTAGTCCGGGGTGTCGAAGTCCGGCTCGTCCCAGCACCGCGGCGCCACGCCCGTCCGGTCATACACGGCCTTCTCCAGGTTGCGGAAGAACCCGTCCGGCGCGCCGCCCTTGTCGAGGTACTTGTTCCAGAAGCCTGACACGATGCAGTAGTGGCCCTCGAACGGCGCGCGGTGGTGCTGGCCGTGCTCGCGGCGCGACACGAGCAGCCCCGTCTCTTGCGCCCACAGCACCGGCGCGGGGAGCTCCGAGGCCTTCATGTGCGACCACGCGTGGAACTGCTGGCTCATGGCGCACAGGAACATGAACGTCGACGCCCAGATGTTCCACGAGTCGGGCGTCCAGTGCGCCGAAGCGGCAAACACTGCCGCAAACGGCAGCATCGGCTTGAACACGAGGTGGACGTTGTTGCAGAACTCGCGCTCCACGATCGTCCAGGGGTGCTTGTGGTGCGACGTGAACGCCTCGATCTGCCGCCCCACCACGGGCGTCTCGGCGCTGCCGTAGTTGTCCACGCCCCAGTGGTACAGGCCCGTCGCGAGGTCTGCGCGCCGAACCCAGGGGTCTCAGGTGCGCGTGAGCCTCGCGCGGTGCAAGGAGAACGCATCCGCGCCGGACACGCATCCGACCAGCCCGCCGATGCGGCGCCAGCGCGCGGCATCACGTCGCGCTGGGGGAGGCAGCGCGCGGGGCGGGCGGGGGGACTCACCGGCCATGAAGTACGCCGCGCCGAAGGACCCGAGCGCGATGGCCGCGGAGGCGCCGTCGTGCACGTTGGCAAAGCCCTGCGAAGCGACGCGGAGGGGCGCACCGATGTGTGCGTGGTGCCTAGGGGTCCCCGGGCGGACCGCGCGATCGCACGCCCTCGGGACCGCGCCGCGCGCCCGCTGGGGCCCACGTGGTGCGCGGAACGAGGTGGCGCGGCGGATGCAGACAACACAGCGCTCACGCGTCGCGGCTGCACCACGTGCATTGCTGGCCGCACGACTCCCGGCAGCTGCGGCGCGCAGAGCCGCCGCTGGGGGCAGAAGGCCAGACCGTAACGCGCAGTTCGAGGTACGAGCGACGCAATGGGGTGCAGTGTGGCGCGTCTGAGTGCTCGTGCGGGGCGTGGCGGGCCGAGAGGCGTTTGAGCCACCAGCGCTGCCGTGCGCCTGGAGCGGCAGCGCGGGCGCGGCCGGCGCATACCTGGAGGCCCTGCGCGCCCATGAGCGCCATCGTGCCGCCCACGATGGCCCTGTGCTCCCAGGTCGACGTCAGAGAGTCCCCCTCGATCAGGACGATCTTCTTTTTGCTGCCTCCCTTGCGGGGAGCAGGGGGGGCGCTGGTGCTAGGGACAGAGGTGGTCTGGACGGCCGCGGTGGTGACGCAGCGGCGGCCGCGGACCGCACTAGGCGCACGCGCCGCGTTGGCGCCGCAGAGGGCGGCGGGAGCGTGCATGGCCGCACGCACAAGTGCTGTGGTAGGGAAGGCGGGAGACGGCGGGGTGGGGGCCACGGACGAGTGCGATGGGCAACGTGTTCCGGTCGATGGATATCAAACGGCCGGGCGGAGGTGCGAATGGCGGTCCACGTCGTTCGACGAGGCAATGGGGGCCGGCCCGGGGCCGGCCGACGAGTATGAGCGGGCGTTGGCGCCGTCGCACGCCGAAATTCCCCGCTCGCCTATCGCATCTCACTTTCATCGACGAAGGCGGAGGCCCTGGGCGCGCAGACCCTCCCCGGCGGCGCCGGCCCGCGCGCAGCCACGTCCTGGGCCACCTCCCCATGTGTGCACCTCCCCGGAGCCGCGCGGGCCGGCGCGCCCCCCTCGGCGCCGGAACCCCCTCCCGAGCCAGCGCGCATCGCCGCCGCGGACCGCTCCCGCACGCCGCGACGCAGCAAGCCCCTCGCACACACTTTATGCCATGCCGCCCTGCGCCCCCCCCCTGCATCGGATGGTGGCGCGCGTCAAGCCGGAGCCGGAGACGCCCCGGACCCGGCCCACCGCCGAGCGCACCCCGGCCTGTCCGGACCAGCTCGGCGCAGCGCTGCGCGTGGCCCCTCGCCGCGGTGGGCGCATTGCGTGACACGGCGCCAGGGCCCGCTCTGCTGAGGCTGGTGCCGCGCAGCCGCCGCGGCGGGGGAGCCGGTTGCGCGCACGCGGCGCTCAATACCACGCTTGGACGCCGCCCGGGTGGACGGGCGCGCCGGAACCGCGCCCGGCGCGTCGCTGCGCGCGGGTGAAAACGTCTTCAACGGTTCGACGGGACTCGCTGTCCCTTGAGCGCTCGTGTGGGCGTCTGGCGGGATATTCCGGCGACGAGATCGGCGTTTTGGGGTAACCTGGCGTCAAGCTCGCCGCGGGGCAGCGCCGGGGCGGGTCAGCGGGGCGCGCGGCGGCGCGCGCGGAGCCTCATGGAGGCAGGGGGGGAGGTGAAAAGAGGAGGGCGTGTGCGGCGTCGCAGGCGGTCAGTAGGCGGTGGTGACGCTCCGTGCGGGCATAAGGCGTGCTGGGCGGTCGCCTTGCGCGTGTGGGTGCGAGCTGCGAGTCGCGCGTCGAGTGATCGGGGCGCTGGCTGTTCCGCCCTGCGGTGGAGCCTAGACGGCGCTGTGGCCGGCTGTGCGCCTTGGCGGGCCGCGGGGAGCGCGCGTCACGATGAACGTGCTCGCCGGCCTGTGGATGGGCGGCATGGGGAGCCGGACGGGCTCCCTCGCGCACATCGCCGAGTACCGGAAGGCAGAGAGCACCAACTCACTCCAGAACGCTTCCAGCGCCGTGGACTGCAACACCGGGTCGCTCCTGGAGTACGAGACGCTCGAGCTGAGGTGCGGGCGCGCGCACGCCCGCAAATACGCGCCGGAGCGCGCGCGCGCGCGCCGACAGTGCGTTTGGAGGCCCGAGCGCTCGAGCCGGCATTCCTCACCGCCCACGCGCCCGCGCGCCCCGGAATCGCAGAATCTCGCCGCCTAACGTTTCTATCGACACGGAAACGGACCCCTGCTCGACGGTCATCACCGTGGACTCGGCCAACCGGCCGGGCACCTTGATCGAGGTGAGCTTGCTGCGAGGGCCGCCCCCGGGCCGGCCGGCCCGCCGCCCGGGGCGCAGACGAGCGCCTGGCGGCCCCCGCCGCGGCTGCAGGGCCCCGCGCCGCGGACGGGCCGTTTCAGCGGGCGCCTGGATTTGACGCGCGCCAGAAGTCTCGGTGGTGCTGGCCCCTTGCCGAGGGAGCGCCGCGGCGCGGAGTTGTCGGGCCGATGCGCCGCCCGTGCGCCTCGTCGCGCGTTTTCGGCGCCTGGGAGCCGCGCTGCCGGCGTCTCCCTGGCCCGCGTCGCGCGGCGCCGATGCTCTGCGGTCCGGACTCGGGCCGCTCCGCGCGCCGTCGCTCACGGCGGCACAGCGCCAGCAGCCTTTCAATTACACGCATTTGCGCGTATGCTGCGCGTATCGCGGGTCCCCTGATCGGCCCGCGCAGCCCAGCGCACGCTCCCGTATGGCACTGCCCTCAGCAGCACCACAGCCCGGTCTCCCGCGCCCCCTGCAGCTCGTCCAGCACTTTACGATGCTCGGACTCAACGTCAAGTCCGCCAAGATCTCCTCCGACGGCGGATGGTTCGTCGACGGTGCGCCCCCGACTCCAACGCGCGTGCTGACGGCTGGACCCACTGTGGCGATCGCGCACGCCGCGCGCAGCCGCCACATTGCCGCGCGCGGCCCCGTGACCGCCCGCGGCAGTCCCCGGCCCCGCGCCGCGCGCCCGCCCGCCCGGTGCCGCGGACGATCCGCGCCGCCCGGCCCCCTTGATGCCAGCGCAACCCTACACGGCGGTTCGCGCCCCGCACGCGACGCGCCCGACCCCTCCCGCCCCGCGCACGCAGTGTTCCACCTGACCGACGCCGAGGGCAACAAGGTCACCGACGAGCGCAAGCTCTCGAGCATCAGTCGCATGCTGAACATCCGCGCCGCTGCGGCGGAGGCTGCCGAGGCCAAGGGCAGCCCCGGCGCGACCGCCACGGTCTTCGAGGCCGCGGGGCCGGACGTCCCCGGCATGCTCTCGGACCTCGTCCAGCTCCTGACCTCCAACGGCTGCGACGTGCGCTCCGTGGCCCTGTGGACGTACCACGGGCGCTGCGCCATGGTGATCTCGGTCACCGAGGGCAGCCAGCCGATCCTGGACCCGTACCGGCAGGAGAAGCTCCAGCAGTACATGACGGACCTCATCGCGAGGAAGGGCCTCAGCGCGGGGGGCAACTCGCGCCCGCCGGTCGTGCGCTGCGCCAACGTGCACGGCGAGATCTCCCACGAGCGCCGCCTCCACCAGCTCATGCTCCTCGAGGAGGGCTTCGAGTGGCAGCGCGGCGGCGGCGCCGACTCCGCCGCGGAGGCCAGCTCGGCCCACGGCGCGCCGCCGCCCGAGGCCGAGGACTGCACGCCCGTCGACGTCAAGCCCGACGTGCAGATCACCTTCTCGGACCGCCAGAACTACTGGGAGGTCCTCGTGCAGTGCGCGGACCGCCCGAAGCTCCTCTTCGACGCCACGTGCACCCTCGCCGACCTGCAGATGGACATTTTCCACGCCACGGTCGACACGGACGGCAACGACGCGTGCCTCGAGTACTACGTCCGGCCGCGCATGGGCGACGCCGGGTTCGACCGCGCGCAGGCCGACCGCCTCGCGGCGCAGCTCGAGCGCGCCATCACGCGCCGCTTCCCCAAGGGGCTGAAGCTCGACGTGCAGGCGTGCGACCGCAAGGAGCTGCTCCCGGAGCTGCTGCAGCAGCTGAAGCGCGCGGGGCTGTCGGTGACGCGCGCGAAGGTGGTCGAGGGCCCCGGGGGCAGCGGCGCGATGCTGCACCGCTTCTACCTGATGCGGGACGACGGGGGGTTCCCGTCGCGGCAGCGGATCAAGGAGGCGTGCATGGGCGTGGGCGGGCGGATGTGCTCGGGCGAGGCGGAGACGCCGACGGGGTCGATGACCGTCGGGAGGCGCAGCGGCGGCGCCGAGTCGGTCGGCGCGCACAGCGAGGCGGGGAGCGACGCGATCGCCTCGCGGCTGAGCGCGGACCACGTCGGGGGCACGCCGGCGTCGGCGAGCGGCGGGCACCAATTCAGCTTCCAGTTCGGGCGGCGCGGGTCGGGCGTCCACCGGCGCATGCAGTCGGGCGCGTCCACGGCGGACGGCACGGGCCACGGCCGGGACGCGTGGTCGTCCGCGCTGTACTCGCGCTCCCCCGCGGAGGGCATGGCGCAGCTGAGCCTCGACGGCGCGGCGGCGTCCGGCAGCGTGAGCAGGCGCGGCACGCGCAAAGTGGGCGGGTCGTGCCTGCGCAACGCCAGCGCGATCGAGGCGCAGGACGCCGGCAGCCAGGAGCTGGCGGCGGCTGCGTCTATGGAGCTGCCGCGCGTGAGGGTGGTGACGCCCGCGGGCGCGCCGCTGCGCGCACCGGAGACGGTGACGGAGGAGGGGGCGGCCAAGGAGGGGGGGGAGTCGTGACGCTGACGTCGCCGCGCCTCTCGCGCGGCCCCGTGCCCCCCGTCCCCGTGCGGACCTCCCAGCCCTGCATGGCTCCGCCGAGCTCACGTGGTACCTGCCGAGGCGCGCGCAGCCCGGGTCGCCCGCGGCTTGCGCGCACTCTCGACGGCCAGCTGCACGCGCCGCAGCGGGAAACCGCGCCCCCGCGGCGACTGCGAGCATTGACCACACAAATCAACCACCCTCCTCGAACCAACCCCCCTCCCCCCCCCCATCATGGGGGTTGCCGCTCCCACGCCCTCACCCCAAGCCACTGCGACGACCTTCCGAACCAGCGCGCAACGGCCCGCTCCGCCGCGTGCGTTCCCGCGGGCAGGGTTGCGCCGTCCCTATCGGCCTGCCCGACCCCCGCCAGCTCGCTCTACGTTGGACCCCCACCCCACCCCCGTTTGTGTCCACTAGTCGACACCCAATTCAAGTCAGCTGCTGGCCGGCACTGCGACGCGTTTCCGTGCGCACACGAGCGCGCGCCGGCGCCCCGCCCCGTCCCCGTTGGTGCAGCAGCGGGGATGCTGGTGCCGAGGAGCCTCAGTGCCGGCCGGCGTTCTCTGCGCCGCGGCAAATTAGATCACGTGTACATTATATCGCTGCAGTATCTGCCAGCAGACACACAAACGGCGACTGACCCGTCCTCCTGGCGACATGACGGCCCTCGTTGGTCGCTTTACTCCCCTAACATGGCGGCCACACCAAACACACTGGCAGACACGTGTTTTCTGCTGGCAAACCCCCGCACCGGCGTCGTGTCGGTCGCCGCGGCCGTGTCCCCGGGATGAGTGACCGAGCGAGTGGAGGACACTTACGAATCCAGTCCACACCCATGCAAGGCCCAGCGTGCCACGTGCAAGCCACCCATTAGCACATACCCTCCGAGAGAGCAAAGAAATGTTGAATTCCCGTTGGTTGTAAGTCGGGGCGAACTGCGCCAGCTTCGTCTGCTGCACCGTTCTCAGCCACGTCGAAGCGACTGCTGCAGTGCAAGTTGCGCGCAACCAGCCAGCTCTCGGCCCAGCCTCGGTCGCCGCGAAGACGATGTCACACTGTCAAGCATAGGTCGACGGAGGTCCGCGAGCCGCCACTTCGCCCGCGGGGCGCTGCCACCTCGTCAGACTCTCAGCACACGAATAGAAGCACTGTCCGACACACTTCATTCGTGCCCAGAGGTTTCAGGCGGGGTCAAGCCCGTCATCCCGGTCGAGCTGCCCATACGCCAGCTCAGGCGGATGCTCCGGCGTCGCGATGTCGCCCTCCGGCACCGCGGGGCAGCAGAACGTCCAGCACCTGCCCTGCCCGCCTGCAGACCCTGGGACGGCCCGGAACGCCAGGGGGTCCGCCGTGGGGATCCCCGCGTCCTTGTTGCCGAGGTAGAGGTCGAGGAGGAGGCACGTGCCGTCGAGGGTTGCGAGCAGCGCCTGGCCTGGGTCCGCGCTGGTGCGCACGGAGTCCCGCGTGGAGTCGTCGAGGCGTTTGGATAGCAGGTAGGCTTCGTTCTGCGCGATCCACTCGTCGCTGACGTGCGGCTCGGCGGCGCGCGTGGCGGCCGGCGTGCAAGTCGCCACACGCCTGCAGAGCCAAGACGGGGAGCCCGAAAGGCACGTCAAATCAGATGATAAGAAATCATCAACACGAATCCATATATGATTACCATGGGACAAACAGACTGTTGTGGGGACCGGCGTCGGACCTGGAGCCCCGCATGAAGCCGTCGACGCGGTCCGCGTGGGCGGCGATGATGCTCCACGTGCTGCGGTGCGTGGTCGCGATCGAGTACGGCCCCGGCGCGTCGTGCTGCGCGGGCTCCCACTCCCAGAACAGCGAACCGTGCACCTTGCCCATCGCCATCGACTCCTCGATCTGCTCGTACGCCGCGGCGATGTACGGGTCGCGCACGGCGCGCCGGCCCTCGTCCGTGTTCGTCCACTCCATCTGCGCAGACCTTACTCGTGGAAAGCAGTCCTAGCTTCAGCGCAGTGAACCTCGCATCGATGTGTCTCGTATCAGTGTGTCTCGGCCCGTCATGTCCTCAGGCTCGGCACTCAACAGCTCCACATGACTCAGCAGATGGGCACTCCGAGTCTGCTGAGTCAGCACCACGCACAGCCTCGTCCGCGGACAGGCATCACCTACCTTGCCGTACTCTTCGACCACAAGGGGCTTCCCGAGCGCCGCCGCGTCGTCCGCGTGCCAAGCAATGTAGCGCCGCACGAAGCCCGGCCACAGCATCTTCCAGCTGCACAGCACCGCACACCGCAACGCGCGTCGTCAGACAGCGGAGCGCCCCTTCCGTCTCCCACCGTCTCATTGAGGCGATTCGTCCGGTGACACGCGCAGCGCCTGGCGCAGGACCTGCACACCAACCGAGCCCTCACCCTGGCCGCCGGCACAGCCAGCAGCAGCAGCAGCAACACGCAATGCATCGCAAGCCAGCACCGCATCACGCTGCTGCCCGCCGAGCAACAGGCCCCCGCACTTGTCAGGCCAGACGTGGATCGCCGCGAAGTCCATGTTGCGAATGTTCTGCAAAAAGTCCTGCCCCGTGTTCAGCGCCCAGGTCGCCGGCAGCGGCTCGTCCCGCCCCGTGCCGGCGCGGTAGAAGCCCTCCCCGCCGTACGTCACCATGTGCTGCCCGTCCAGCTGCCTCACGTATGCAGCCATGTCGTCCAGCCAGCGCTGCAGCTTCTCCGCGCCGCCCGGCGCGGGAGCACGCGGCTCGTTCATCAGCTCCCACGCCTGCATCGATCGCGGGACGTCCCATGCCCGAATCAGCAACACTTTGCTCGGAAAACGCGTTGATGCATTCATCATCGCTGCCGTCTCACGTCTCATGTCGTTTCGCGGAGTCACGGGCGGCGGGGTCTTACGAAGATGGTGTCGTCCTGGCGGTACTGCAGGCCGTTGAACTTGTTCCTGCGGTGCAGCATTGCCCGGACGTGGTTGCGGTACAGCTCGCGCGCCTTCTCGTCCGACCAGAAGTCGTCGACGCTGTTCGCGTTCGCCCATGCCGTGTACTGCGCCTTCCCCTCGTAGAACTTCCTGCGTCGCGCTCCGCAACGCTTTATTCCATGATGTGTGTCTGTCAAGTGTTGCGCCACGACACAGGCGCAGGGGCAGCTGCGAGCCGCTGGGCGCCGCATGTCGGTGCGCACCAGTTGTCCGCGAGGCTGAGGATGATTTTAAGTCCGCGCTGGCGGCACTCGTGCAGGATGCGGTCCAGGGCGGTGAACGCGCGCTCGTTGTAGTTCCCGGGGCTCCACTGCAGACGGAAGACGTCCTCCGTGCCGTGGGCTGCAGAAAATCGACAGCGAGACGTCACGCGTGAGGACGTGGCACCGGGCGCGCGGGACGACCCTGCACGAGGGCTCGACTGACACATATATGTACAGTGTGGAGGGGCCTCGCCAAACATCCTGAGAACGGTGAGGCGCGACGCCACGGCGCGGTCGAGAATGAAGCGCAGGTAGTCGCGGTCGCCGAGGAAGCTCGCGTCGTTCGGCAGCGCCCAGTGCACGCCCGCGGATGCCTCTGTGAGCGCCCACAGGTTGGCGCCCGAGAACCGGAACTCCTCGCAGTCCTCGTTCACGAACTTGCCGTCCGTCACGCGAATGAACCCGTGCCGGTTCGCGCTGAGCGCGCGGACGGGGAGCGCGAGGAGCGCACAGAGGACGACGGCCAGCATCAGCGCGGCTGCCGCAACAGCTCGTGCCCGCCTCATCACGGACGTCTCGACCAGATCTGCGCCACGGACGAACAGAGAGTGATGCTGTCCGGCGTTCCGCGTGCGTCTTGAGGGGCGCCAAGCACCGAGGGCCGCGCGAGGGCGGTCGAGTCTTCCTCACTTGAAACTGAGTCAAGCGTGGTGGTCCGCGACGCTCGTGCTCGGGCACGTCAAGGCCGCGGCGGCCTGTCGCGCGCGCACACTGAGTCGATCTCTCCGTCGGAACGGTTTCGTCGACGATCATGCAGAGCGGCGTCGAGAAGGCCCGGGACAAGGCCCGCAAAAAGGGCAAGAGAGCCCATGGCGAGACTGGCGCGCCAGAGCGAGTGAGGACGGGGGAGCAGCAGCTGGCCTACGCCTTGAAGATGATGGAGGGGTGCGTGTTCGTCCGTCCGAAACGCCGCAACACGCGACGCGGAGCACCCACCACTCAAACAAAGATCGCGCCGCGGTCCTGAAACGGGACAGTCTCCGTGGCCCTGAACGTGCGCAGGAGGACCTCGAGGGCCCTGGTGCCGACCCACCTCGCGACGAAGTTCCCGCAGCCGCAGCAACCGGCGCCCAGCCCAGACGCAACGCCGAGCCCATCACCGCCGGTTCGCCACGTGTCCGCCAATGGCAGCAGCCCAGGCGACATCCTGCAGCTCGAACGGCCCCCTAAAGCCACGCTCATGTCCATCGCGGAGGCTGCCAGGCCCCGGCAGCGCGACGACGCCCTCCCAAGCCCACAGCGCGCACCCGCACCTGCTCAACCCGCCGCATTGCGCCGCGTTGGCTTCTCCGCACTCCCGGCAAACCCCCCCAGCCTCGTCAAGCCGTACTCTCCGTCCGGTGCGTCGTCCGAGGAAGCCGGGATCGACCGCGTCCTCCCCGTACGAACGCCGCTCACTGACCTGCAATACTCAAAGCCTGCACTCACCGCCCACCATCCCGGGGGGTCGAACCACGCGCCCGGGAAGCCGCCCGACGCCGCGCCCACGGCCCTCGACGGCGGCCAGGGCTTCCACACGGACGCCGCGAGACGCGGCTGGGACGCCCTGCTGCGCCCGGACGGCGCCGCCCTGCACGGCAACGGGCGCAGGGCCCTGCGCGACTCCCCGCCGCCGGGCGCCCGCGGGCCGCGCTTCCCCTCGCCGGAGGAGCCCTTGCACTGGCGGGAGCCCGAGGGCTGGGACGACGGGCTGCGGGGCACGTACGGCAGGGAGGCTGCCGTTCCAGCGGCGCGTGAGGCGTGGCGGGGCCTCGACCGGGCCGCTGACGAGGCGGATCGCCGCGAGGAGCTCCCTCGCCCGCAGCTGTATGCTTCGGCGCCGCGCTCGCGGCTGCGAGACCGCAGTCCGGCCCTGTCTGGCTGGGAGGGGGGGGTGATGCAGTCTGACACGTTGCGGACGTCAGGGGCGCTCGGGCGGCGGCTCGGAGACCCGGCGAGGCGCTGGCGGGACGGGTCCGGCGTGGATCGGGGGCGTGAGCGCGACAGTGGGCACGGGAGAGGGCGGGTGTGGCATGAGGTGCAAGACGCGCGGCGTGGAGGGTTGCATGCCACGGGTGCGCAGGAACGGTGCGCGTCGGAGGACGACTGGGACCCGTCGCACTACGACGGCGCCGCGGGCTACCTCGACCGGGGGACGGAGTACGAGCCACGTCAGGAGGGGGGGGGTCTCAGGGCACTGTTGGACGATGCGGACGGCGGCGTCGAGGAGGACACGCCGCCGTTCGAGTGGATGGCGCCGGACGCGGCGCGCGGGGGCTGGAGCGACGGCCTCGAGGACCCTGGACCTCGAGGACCCCCCCCCTACAGCGGGGGGCGTTATCCCCGCTGACGTGGGCGAGGCGCACGCGCCGATGTGAGACCCGTCCAGGCGGCCGTCGAGGGCCGTCGAGGGCCGTCGCGGCGGTCGCTGCGTCGGCGGCGCGTGCCTGCGCGACCCCGAGCTCAAACAGTCCATGCAATTACAGCAACGTGGTGGCAACAGGCCTCACCGCGTCGTCGCGGCGCCGCGCAGGGCGTCCGCGCTCGCTCATGCCTTCCACGCGCCGGCGAACGACTTGCGGAACTTGGGCGACGCGACGAACAGCACGGGCCACACCGTGCAGAGCGCTAGCTTGTACGAGTCCGAGTACCTGCGCGCGGCCGTGAGCGAGGCTCGCGATGTGAGGCGGGCGCATCAGTGACGCGGGTCGCGCGTCCTGGGGCCCGGTGCGCGGAGAATGCGGCGGCGTGCGGGCGCGGAAGGAGGGCGCGCACGTCGTCTTGTGGAACCCCTTCGCGAGGCGGAACGCGCCGAACGCCCAGATGATGATGAGGACGGTGGGGTTGAACAGGATGCCTAGGGGCGCGAGAACGCCGCCCGCGCGGGTCGTGGTGTCTCGCGCGTGCGGCTTCCCTGCTGCGCTGTGCCCCCGCCGCTCCGCCCTGCAGTGCCGGACGGAACGATCGGAATCGGCCCGTTATGGGCGCACATGGAGCGCGTGCGACCGATCAGCGCGGCGCTCGCGCGGTCCGTCGCGCGCAGGGGCGGTGGGGGGACCCAGAGGTGACCCTTGGTGGTGGCACGCACCTGCTGAATGGCGACGGTGGCGACGCGGCCCCGCTGTCGACGACGGAGCGAGAGGCTGCGATGCTCTGCAGGGGCGACGCGCGGGAGCGCAAGGCCGCGCCGCCGCACCGGACGGGCCGCGCCGAGAGGCCCGGAGCAACACAGGCGTTCATGGTCGCCACAGCAGGACTCGAGGCACGTTGTATTCAGCCTCCAACCCAAGTCTGTGCCTCCGCGGCTCGTCCCGGCGCCAATGCGCCCCGTGCCACGGCCCCGGCTGCGCGCAAGAAGGGGCGGGATGTATAGGAGGAGACATCCCGACCGCTCCTTGCGGCGAACGCGGCTACTTGGGCTCCGCGGCGCGGAATCGGCGGTCGTCCTTGGCGGCATCCGTTTCGAGTAGGCACAAGATGGCGAGCATGATCGGTCGCGTTGCTCTGCCTGCCCGCTGCTCGGGCAGCAAGGCGGTCTCGCGCAGGGGGCGTCTGTGCGTCACCGCGGCGACGACCATCCCGTCCGAGGTGCGCCCCGGCTTCGTTTGATCTGGTCGTGTGCGGCGGCGGCGCCGCGTGGCGCATGACGCGCTCTGCCGCCGCGCGCGTGGCCGAGACTGCTGGGCCCGACGTCATCCACGCCTGCGCGGAGACGGGGGTCCGCCTCGTCGACGACGGCGGACAGACCGCTCAAATATATTTCGCGGCTCCGGATTCCGTCCTCGGAACCCGCACATCATCTCTCCGACGCACGGCGCGGCCACCAGCACACTAGAAGCAGCGCCGAATGCCGCGAATGCGCCCACTTGCGCACCTGTTTCCGTCCCCCGTGCGGTCATCCAGAGCTCCCTGGCCTGGAGTCCGCCTCACAATGTCGCCAAACGCCCCCCGCGCGACGCCCGCGCGGCTGTCGCAACGAGCTTCCGGCACCGGAGTCTGTTGCTCGCGTCGCCAGGGCGCTCCTGGCCTCGACATCCCCATCCGCGCCCCGTCCCTCTCCCTCCTGATGGCAACGCCCACCCTGGCGGCCCGGAGGACTCGCTTGCTCGAGTAGCGCCGCCTGTCGCGCCCACTCGCCTGCTGCTCGCCCCACAGGCGCCCCCGCCCCCGCGCCCCGCGCAGTTCAAGACCGTCGCCCCCGTCGGCGAGCGCGTGTTCGTCAAGATCGCGGACGTCGAGGACGTCTCGCAGGGCGGCATCCTCCTCCCCGGCAGCGCCCAGAAGCGCCCGACCGCCGGCGAGGTCGTCTCCGCGGCCACGGACTGCCGCAGCGTCAAGGCCGGCGACCGCATCGTCTACAGCAAGTTCGCGGGCACCGAGGTGGAGATGGGCGACGACGAGTACGTCGTGCTCAAGGAGGACGACTGCATCGGGCTGATGGGCGCGGACGACATCCGGGCGCTCAAGCCGCTGGGCGACCGGCTGCTGCTCGAGGTGGCCGAGGCCGAGTCGAAGACGGCCGGCGGCGTGCTCATGGCGGCGGGCGACGGCGACAAGCCGACGATCGGCAAGGTGGTGGCGGCGGGGCCGGGGCGCAAGGGGCCCCCGGGCGAGAAGGGCGAGAGCGAAGTGATCCCGGTGAGGACCGACTTCTCGCGCGCTCGCTGCCTTGGAGCATGATGTCTGCTTGCAGCGCCGGGTCGCTGCGGCGCGGATGACTCAGGGGGGGTGTGTTTTATTTTTTGTGCGCAGATCGGGATCGACGCGGGCGCGTCGGTGCTGTACAGCAAGTACGCGGGCGTGGAGTTCGCTGGCGAGGACGGGCGCGAGTACATCGTCGTGAAGGAGTCGGACATCCTCGCGGTCCTGAGTTAGTCGAGTCAGGCCCGGGGGGGGGCTCTTGAGCCACGTGTGACCTGCGCTGTACAGTGCGCGGTGCGAGCAGGTGGGCGGGGCCGTGTGGTGGTCGGTGGGCCTGTTGCTGCAGCGGGCTTGGTCGTGGTTGCCCACTGCCGTGGCTGGAGCATACCTTGATGCGTGGAAGCGGACTGGCTGCGCAGAACGCGGAGGCGGCTCGCTGTTCGTGCCGCGCGGATCAACGTAGCCTGGGGGCTGTCGCGTGTCCAGCGGAGTCCTAGCAGCTGTGCCTGTCGGGCAGGAAGAGAGGCAGCTATCATGGGGGACCCGTGCGACGAGCGCGCGGCCCTAGGCCTCGGAATGAGTGAGTCACAAGACGGAGGGTTCCACAGGACGCTCGATGTGCGCCTCGTCTGCCGCATTCACTTCTCTTTTCAAGTGCACCCGGCGCCGACGAAACAGCCCTTTGACACACTGCGCGGAGCGCGGTGGACGCAGTTGCGGTGCGCTCGGTTTCACACGGCCCGCGGGCTCGACGGTCCCGGCGCGTTGTGCATGCGAGCTGGCTGTGCGCGGTGCGTGTACGCTGGCACACGCACCGACACACAACGCAGCGTGGTGTGCTGGTCACGGGATTTCCCGGCGCTGCTGCGCGGGGGAGACGATGGAACGACCACGCTCACGATGATGATCAAAACGGTTTCGCGCGTCGCCGCACTGCCACGGCTAGAAGCGGGGGTGTTCAGTTCTGACGCGCGGCGGCAGCCTTTGTCATGGTGGCCTCGGCCTCAGCGACGTTCCCGGGGCGGCGCTTCTCGTCGATCATCGAGCCGCTCTCGATCACGCGCTTCACGTGCTCCAGCTCCTCCTTGGTCGGACCGCACGTGAAGCCACTGCCCGGGGCACACTCGGCCATCAGGCGGTGGCGGTAGGTCCAGTACGACGCGTCCGTGTCCGCCGGCACCGCGTCGACCATGTTGTTCACGTTCCCGTTGTCCGCCAGGGTGGGCTGCGGGGAAGGGGGGGAAGGAAAGCCGAACCTCAGTGCCTGACAGGCGTGCAGCGGGTCGCACACCACGGCGGAAACGACTCCCGTCTCGCACACGAGCCGACGGGCACTCCGGCCACTCGGGCGGTGACGCCGACCACCACCCTGCGCGTCAGAGTCAGAGTCGGCCCAGACACACCACCAGCGCACAGTCGGTCCGCCCCGGTGCAGGCAGGAGCGAGGGCGACGTGCGCAGCGTCACGGGGCGCGCACCGCGTCGCTGCTGTGCGTCCACGTCCCGTCGATGATGTACTTGTACTGGTACGTCCCCGGGGGGAGCTCCCGGTGCACCTCGAAGCGGTGCCGCTCGTCCGACCACTCCAGCGCGATGCGCCCGCTCCACCCGACGTCCAGCCCCGCGATCTGCACCACCGAGCCCTTGCGCGCCCGCACGCTCAGCACGACCCCGACCCGGTGCCCGCCGCTCAGGATGTCGATGGTGGCTTCGCGGATGGCAAACAGCTTCGGGTGGCACTCGCGCTGCAGGAAGAGCTGCTCGTAGGCGTCGCTGAGGGGCACGCCACGCGTCCAGTGGACCAGCGCGAGCGCGACGCCCGGCGCGCGCCCGAGGCCCGCCGTGCAGTGGATGTAGACCGTGGGCTGCTTGCCGAGGCGCGCGACGGAGGTGGCGCAGTGGCGCTGCATCTCGCGGTGCATGACCGAGATTGCCGACGGGAGGCTGCGGGGACGCGGCGGGGCGGGGGCGGGCGCGCGTGTCGGCACAGGTCGGCCCTGGCGAGGGGGATATGGTCTGGGTGCACGCGGGCAGATATGAATCCAGGTCTGTGTGCGCACCCGAGGCGGAGGTCGAAGGGGTCGAAGTCGCGGATGGGCAGGCGGAGGTGCAGCACGTCCCCGCGCTCCTCGCAGCGGTCGCGCAGCTCCTGCACGTCCACGTCGAAGTTCGCGAGGTCCTTGTCCTCCTGCGCGCACACACCAGCGATGGCCGCGTGATGGCAGTCACCTTGCCACGTCGAACGCACCCGACCCCATCGTCAAGCGCAGGTGGTATGACCGTGCGAGACACAGGCGACCTCCACGCAGCGTTCCCACGGCATCCAAACCTGACTGAAGGAGCAAAAGAGCACCCAGGTTTGGATGCCGTGGGCTCGATGCATGGAGGTCGCCTGTATCTCGCATGGCCGTACCAACCGACGACCTGCTCACTGCTGCACCGCAGCGCGATGCTTGCGGAGGACACAGAAACCATTCCGTCCCCGGACAGGGCAGCACACGCAGCAGTGGCGACACACAACCTGCACGTGTGTGTCGCGGGGGGAGCGGGCGACGCCGACGCCGACGGCGCAGCGCACGAGCGCGGAGCGAGCGGTGGTGCGCGCACCTGGAGGCATACGACGATCTTCACGTTCTCCTTGTCCGCGAGCGTGTCGATGTCCTTGGCGGTTTGCGGGCACGAGCCGACGATGATGTCCGGCCAGATCCTGGCGTAGTTCATGCCTGCGATACGAGGCGCCGGGCGCGAGCGTGCCGTCGCGGGCGGTCGCGTGCGGGACCGCGGGCGGACGGGCCGCGGGGGGCGCGTTGAAAGCGCAACTGAATCCCTAGGAAGCGTCGGTTGGTGCGCGGGACGCGGGCGGGGGCGTGCCTTGCTCGTGGCGGTACGTGAGGTCGCCGCCCATCTTCGCTTGCATCTCCTTCGTGTACACCTCGGACAGTTTCTGCGCAAAACGAGCCCCGGGAGCAGGGAGGGTCAGAGGAGCACCAAACCGCGCGTACGGGTCGACCAGGGGCGTAACGGGCCGCTCGACGCTCTAGGAGGGCTCGAATGCTCCCTAGGTACAAGTAAGCGCGTGGCGACGGGGCGCGCGCGCAGCGGCGACGCCTGGCTGAGCGACGCGCTCGCTGCCAGTGGGGAGATGCGGCGCCGACCGCAGGTTTCGGCGGGTTTACGGCCGAAACCGGGCGCGCGAAGGGAGGCTCGAGACGAGTCGGCGGGAGCGAGGTGCGAGCAGGGCGGGGTCCGGCGCCGGCGCCGCGTCCAGGGCGGTCAACTGCCGGAGGCTTCAGGCCCCGCCCGGAGCGGGGCGTGCGGCGCGAGATACGTCCAACACGGGCGCAAAGGCGCGCCGTACGCATGATTGCCGCACGAAACGCGAATTGCGCGCGTACCTTGGTCCCGTTGTCCTTGGTCGCGGCTGCCAGCACCCGCCGGCACGGCCGGGCGGCGCGCGCCCCGGCCACTGCACGCGGCATCGCCGCACTGCCGCCAACGCGGCGCGGACGAAGAGTGCCAGCGTGCGCGCCGGGCGCGCCCGCGATATAGCTCCGGACCGCCATGCTGCCAGCGCCCTCTCTCACAGCAGAGCTTTCGAACCCCCGTCCGCCTCGATCGTGCCACGCAACGCGCTTCTCGCTCGGCGATTCTCTCGTCGGGACAAGTGCGCCTTGCAGCGCGCGCCGCCGCCCCTCGACGTCGGAGCGCACCAGCCACCCCATGTTCAGGCCATGGCCTGAACCCCCCCTCTGTACAACAAAACACGGCCCCAGGGACCCCAGCGACGCAGCACGGACCGACCGGCGCCCGCACACTCGCCCTCACACACAGCGCACCGCCAGGGCGCGCCGCTTTACTCGTCCGTGGGGTTGAGGTCCCACGGCTGTGCTGCCGCGACCGAAAACTCCACGTGGCGGCGTTTCACCGGCCGGACGACGCCGAGCATCTGCAGCGTCCGCTCGGCGCGCGAAAAGCACGCCGCGAGCTCCTCCTGCGTCAGCCCCGACGTGGACATCCCCCCCGCGCCCCGTTTCTTCCCCTTCCTCCCCCCCGGGACTTTCCCCGCACTCCCCCCCACGCGCAGGCCGTGCGCGACGCAGAACTCCTGCAGCCACCGCGCCGTGTTCACGCCCGTCGTCCGCGCCGCCGGGTGCTGCGCCAACAGCCGGTACGCCGTCGTCAGGTCCTCGATACCCCCCCCCCCGCCGTCGTCCCCGCGCAGCGCCGCGAAGACCCGCGCGCGCATGTCCGGCGTGCGGATCTGGTCCAGCATGCGCGTGTCGCGCACGCACAGCGCCGCCGCGGCCCCGCGCGCGTGCGGCGGCTCGCGGCACACGTGCTCGAGCAGCACCTGCAGCAGCCGCGCCACCTTCTCCGGCAGCGACAGCGCGGGCTTCGCGGGGCTGCCGGCGTCCGCCGGCCGCGGGGACGCGCCCTTCGCGTGCGGGGACCCCGCAGTCAGGCTCTTGTGCGCGAGCTGCGAGACACTCTGCACCATCTTCAAACCGCGGCTTAGTCCTCGACTGAAGAACTTCAGGACGGGCGACGCGGGGCCGCGGCCGGACGACGGCGCGGCCTGCGTCAGCGCTGCCGCCGTGACGGCGTCCGCGGGCACCGGGGGCTCTCCGCGTGCCTCCCCCAGCAGCCTGCGCGCGCAGTCCACGAAGGCGTTGTCCGCGGCCGCGTCGGCGCCCAGGACGCTCTCGGCCGTCGCGCTCCACGCGGCGAGGATGCGCTCGACGTGCTCCGGGCCCTGCGAGTCCTGCGACGGCCCCTGCGACCCCTGGGAACCCAGCGCGGAGCCCCCGGCTTCCTGCGGAACAGAGCTCGGGAACTCCCAACCGTTTGCGGCTCGCGCAACAACGACTGCTGCTCGCACGTCCCACCGCCGCAGGCACGCGTCGCGAGGCCGCAGACCCACCACGCCCGGGCTCTCACGCAACCAGCGGCGCGCGGAACACGCTCACCTGTGCGCGCCGCAGTCCCCCGAGGACCAAGGCGGCAGTCGCAGCCGCGCTGTCCGCCCCCGCCGCGCGGTGCGCCGGTCGCGCCGCGGCGAACGACTTGTGGCTCGCGGACAGCACCAGCTGCCGCAGCGTCAGCCCGTGCTTCTCGCCGAGCCCCAGGACCGCCCCCGCGTCCGCCGCCCACCGCAGCGCCAGCGCCCACATCCGGAAGGCCGCGTGCGCCTCCTCCACCGCCTCCGCCGCCGCACCGAGCACGCCCCGCTCCCTCTCCTTGGACGCCGCGCGGTCGTCCAGCTCCTCGCCCACCTCGCCCAGCATGCCCTCGCAGTGCACGGCCAACACGCTGCTGCACGGCGACGACGTGATGTCCGCGAGCGCCGCGTCCCTGCCGTCGAGGAGCACCTGCGCCAGCCGCGCGAGATCGTTGCCCTGGAAGTGGTCCCACACCGCGGCGTCGAGCGCCTTCAGAAGCGCCCCGGGCGCGAATTCGGAGACCATGAACACCGAGTTGAGTTTCGCGGCGACGGCGTGGCCGAGGTGCACGGTGTGGGGGTCGCCGGAGAGGAGGACGTCGCGCAGGAGCGCCTCGACGCGCGCGAGCGGCGGGCTGAGCTGGAACCGCGCGAGCGACAGCAGCGAGAGCGTGCGCGCTGACAGCACTTCTGCGAGCCCGCGCGCCTGCGTGGACATCGACATGACGAGTGCGCACGGCAGCTGCGCGCGGTGGTCCGCGAGCGCGAGGACGAGGTCGCACACCAGGCCCGGCGACGCGCCCTCCACGTCCTCGATGACGATCGCGAGGCACGGCGGGCGCTGGTCGCCGCGGGGGGTGGTCTCTGCGCCGTGGGCAGCGCGGAGGCGCCGCCAGGCGGCGACGACCGACGTGAACGTTGCGTGCTCGTGGTCCGCGAAGGGCGCGCTCGAGCCGGCCTCGGCGGCGGCGGCGGTGGCGAGTTGCAGCGAGATGGCACTCACCGCGGGTTGGAGGCCGGCGGCAGTGCGGGTGGGCGAGAGGTCGTGCGGCCCGATGTGCAGCGGGACGCAGACGTCGGGGCGGGCCCTGAGGCTCTGGACGAGCGCGCGGAAGCACTCGGTGTGGTCGGCGGACCCGACGGCGCCGGTCAGGACGACTGCGCAGGGCACGGTCGGGCTGCGGCGGGCGGCGGCGGCGTCGGCGACGCGCTGGTCCGCGAGCCACTGTGCGAGCTCCCGGAACGACGCCTCGTTGCTCCCCGCCATCGCTGCCTGCGCGAAACAGAAAGGGCATCCCCATGTGATGTGCTGTTGTGCGCATTGTGCGGGGCGCAGCGCGTCGCGGCCCGTCCTTTCGAGACCGCCATGATACGGTCGAGCTCTGCGACCATTCTCGCTGGCGATCGGCGCTGTGCTCCGGCTCCGATCGAACCGACACGGCAGCCGCGGCAAGCACGTCTGCAGCGAAGCCCGCGCACACCGACGCGTTCATCTGGCCGCTCGCCGCGCAAGGGCAGAGCAGTGAGTCTTCTCCGCACCTGCGCGCGCTCCTTGATCGACTTGGACACCCGCCTGTACAGCCGCGTGCGCTGCTCCTGCCACGCGGCCTGCGCCGACGTCTTGCTCGCGCGGGGCGCGGCGGGCCGCGCCGGGGCGCCCCTGCCGCGCGGCCGCTGCCGGTTCGCCGCGCCCGCCGCGGCCGGCCCGTCGGGGGGCGGCACGAACCTCAGCTGCGCGACGTGCGGGTGCGGGTGGCACGACTGGAGCTCGGTGATGTCGTCGTTGCTGTGCGGGATCGGTCCGTCTGCGGCCACGAGGGCGGCGGTGGGGTGGCTGTGGGCGCGGGGATCCCCCGTGGGCGCCGGGGCTTCGGGGCCGAAGGGGGGGGGACGCAGGAGAGGTGGGAGGGGTGTTTTGGCTGCGTGTGGGATCGGGGTCGCGGCGGCGGGTGCGTGGTAGGGACGTAGAGCACGTGCCTGGAACGTAGAGGCCGCGCAGGCCGTCGCCCCAGGTGCCAAAACGGTCGCGGAACCACTTTCTGGTAGCCGCGTCAGGCAGGAGGTCCATGAGGGCCTTTTTGTAGCGCTCTACGCCGCCCGGCACCCACCGCGCGAACGTCGAGGCGTCGCCGGGGCCGTCCGCGTCGCCGCGCGCGTCTGCGACCAGCAGGGAATGCCGTGCATCAGCTGCGTCACGGGAGGGCCCACGCGGCGCCGTTGCGCACCGCCCCGGCCGCGGCCGCATGGAGAGCGGGCAGAGAAGCGCCAGCGATCGCGTCTGGTCGGAATCTCCGTGCAGCCGGGGCGGGGCGAGCATGCAAGCTGCGCTGTGGCGCGCACCGCTGCGAAGGCCGGAGCATTGGTGGAAGACCTCGACGAGCTGCTTGAGCGCGTCGCGCGGCACTCCTAGACGCTCGGCCGCCTCCACGTCGCCCCATTCCATCTGCGCTCCCGCCACCGGCCCCGCACCCTCCCCGCCCTCCCCCTCCGTCGTGTCACGCGAGAATTCGTCGGAGCTGGCGCCCGAATCATCGTCGTCGTAGACCAGCAAGCTACGCATGGCGATGCTCCCGCCGTTCCGCCGCCGCGCGCCGCTGAGCCGCACGCCGCGCCTGCCCGATGCCCTGCTGCGGCGCCCACCGTGGCGGGAACGCCCTCCCGCGACGCCAGCGCTCGATCAGACGGCGCCGAGAACACAGAACGTATGTGCGCCTCCGCTCACGGTGGACCTGCCACCTTCCAGGCGGCGAGGCGCCCCCCCGCGTCCCCGCCCGCGACCAGAGTGCCTCCCAGGGTCACCCACCACGCACGCGGCGCTCCCTGGGGCTTCCGTGACCGCCGGGCGCGCGGGACCTCGACGCCGGTGGATCGGCCCGCGACCCGCGGGCCCGGAAATCGCCGTGTGACGCGCCGAGCGGCGGGGCCGGCTGCGACGGTTGGCCCCCGCGATGCGCAGTGTGGCAACGCCGAGAACGAGGCGCTTCGGCGGGCAGGGTGGGTAGAACGCGCAGGAACTGCGAGGCCAGGACCACGGGCGTGCTGACGTGCCCGCGGGGCGCGCTTCTGTCGACACGGCACGGCTGTGCGTGGGTGACGTCAGTTACAAGCGCGATACCTCACAGGCGGCGCGGCGTCAATGCCCCGCGCCGTTGCGCCATTTCCAGAGTTTTCACGGGTCTGTCTAGGTATAGAGGATCGAGGAATAGGCAGGGTGACCGACGACACGCAACTGGACAGGTGCGAGAGCTCACTTGTGGTGGCCCTCACCACATGCCGCGTCCTCGAACCATAGGGACCGCGTGAGGGCGCGCGGAGCCCCCGCACGCGGTATTGATGGCTCAGGGTGGCAACGAGCCGGTATAGGTTGCTCGCCGTGCGCTGTTGCGGCGCCTAGAGGCGCCGTCAGGTTCCTCATCGCAGCACGCGGGGCCGCTCGGGACGCAATTTCCTGCGCACGGGGCGCAAACATTCGCCTATATCCCATTCGCGCCGTCGCTCTCGGGTCTCGCGGCTTCCCCGGGCCCGCAGAAGCCGCCGTTGCACGCGGCAGCAGGGCTAGGCCGTTGCGTGCCGCATGTTTTGCGCGAACGGCCGAACGGGCCGCGCGACTCCCGCAGACATTTCCAGCCGCCGCGACCTCCGGAGGCACCTCGGGCCCGACACCCCCCCTCCGCCCACGCGCCGTCAATCCCTTTTCCTCACCCAGCGACTTCTCTCCGCAGCCCGCGCCGCGCGACACCGGCGCCGCGCCCGCCCGACCGCCTCGCCGGCACCCCCGCGCACCAAACTCCCTCCCCCGCACCGCCGCCCGCCTCGACACCGCCCCGCCGCCCCGCCAGCGCCGCATCTCCGACGCTCAACTCGCCCGCGACCGTCCCCCCGCAGGGACTCGCATTCCGTCCGCCAAACGGCGTCGAACAGCGCCGCCCGCGGCCTCCAAGGACAGCTCTGGCAGCCGGACTGACCGGCGCCGCGGCTTCCAGCGCGACCGCGTCGCGGCGGCCCCCGGGCCACCTGGACTGCGCGGCCAATGTCGGGCTACACGCAGTTCGGCCCGCTCGGGCCGGTCGGCTGGGCGGAATCCGGCGACTGGATGGCCATGTTCTCGTTCCTGCTCGCCATGCTCCCGTACTGGATCTGCGGCGCCGTCATGGGGATGATGCTCCCGCGGCCCAGGTGCGACGCCCGCGGCGCCTGCGGCCTCGCTCCGCCCCGCCTGCCCCGTCGCCTGCGGCCTCCTGCGTGCCGCCGTGCCAGTCGCGGCCGCGTGCGCGCGTTCGTGCGCGGGTCGCGTCGCGATCCGCGGGGCCCCGTCAGCGGACAGCGCATCCGAAAGCCGAGGTGGCTGCGGCGCGCGCGGTGGTGCGCGCGGCCGCCTTGGACCGCCGCGCTCCGACGCTCGGGGTCCCGTGCTGGCTTCCTGCAGGCGCGCGAGCATGAACGGGGTGCTGCGGCTGCTGCCACAGTCGGGCCTGGTGCGCCGCTTGGCACTCGTGGTGCACGCGCTGGTGATTGTGCGCGAAGTGTGGTGCTACTTCACCTCCCCGGGCACCTTCCGCGCCTACTGCCGCGCCCTGTACAACGGACTCACCGGACGCGGCTGGTCCTGGCCCAAGGTGCCGGCTTTCGGCAGGTGCGCCGCTCACACGCGCGCGCACGCACGCGCACGGGCCGGCCCTCGCCCGCGCAACCGCCCGCCCGCGCCCCCTCTCCTCTGCGCGCACGCGCCGCGACGGAATCACGCCACGTCGCTTCCATCGCCCCAAACACACACGGGGCCCACTCACACCCTCCCCCGCGACTCGCAGCGTGAAGAAGGACCTGTCGGCCATCGCGACGCAGCCCTCGAAGGGCCCCGAGCGCCGCGCGGTGGACCTGAGCCTCGTGGGCCGCGAGCCGCTCGCGATGTACCAGCCCCCCGACGCGCACGTGCTGGCGCAGGGCGGGTGGTACATCGACGACGCGGACCTCGCGTTCTTCAAGTACCGCGCGGAGACTGACGGCGAGGTGCCGGGCGCAGGTGCGAGCCCCTGCCCGCCGCGTTGGCGTGCGTGTCGCGCGTGCCGCTGATGCAGCGGGGTTTGCGGCGGACGCCGAGTCGCGGGTTCTCGAGTGCCGTTGCGCGCAGGCGACTGGGAGGGGATGATGGACAAGGAGCTCGGCGACTACCTCACGTACCGCGCGGTCCGGCGGCGCCTGCCGTCCGGGAAGACGGAGTACCGGTCGGTGACGGTGGTGCGCGACGCCACGGCCGAGGAGATGACCGACTTCTACCTGGACGACCCCGCGCGCGTGCAGTGGGACTCGCTCCTCTCGCACGCCGAGGTCCTCGAGCAGGGCGACATGGCCGACCGCCGCCAGGTCGTCAAGTGGGTCCGCACCTTCCCCTTCTCCTTCATCAAGCAGCGCGAGTACTGCATCGCGCGCCGCGTGTGGAAGGGGCCCGCGGGCACGACCTACACCATCTCCAAGTCGATGGACCACCCGCGCGCCCCGGAGTCCCCCGCGATCGTCCGCTGCGAGACCCTGTACTCGATGTGGCGCTGCCGCACGATCCCGTGCCCGTGGGGCTCGCCGGAGCCCGCGTGCGAGGTCGTGCTGCTCCACCACGAGGACTTCAAGATCCCCGAGCGCCTCGCGCGGTTCGCGGTCAGCCACGGCATGTGGGGGTTCGTCCAGAAGCTCGCCGCGCACTTGGGGGGCTGGCGGGAAGACCGGCGGACGCGCGTGCCGCCGGCGGAGCCCGTGGACCCCGGAGCGTTCGGCGCAGCGTTCCGGAAGAACCCGCTGACCGCGGAGGAGCTCGGGCTGGTCGGGGGCGACCCGGCGCTGGACGCGGCGAGCGACGGCAGCAGCGTGGTGAGCGCGGGGCGCCCGCGCGCGCAGGGGCGGCACGCCGGGCTGCGGCGGCTCGGGGGGCTGCTCGCGGTCGGGGGCGCGGCGGCGGTGATGGCGCCGGCGTCCATCGCGGGGATCTCGGCGCTCGGGGCGGTGGCGATTGCTGCCCGCGCCACCCGGGACCCGCAGGCGGTGGGGAGCAAGCCGAGGCGGCGGCGGTTCCGGCTCCACGCGCAGCCGCACGCGGCCGTCGCTGGCGCGGAGGTGACGGGGAACGGGCCGCTGGACAGCGTCGCGACGTTCGAGGCCAGCAGCGACGCGAGCAGCGTGCGCAACCACTGACGGTGCTGCGTGCGCGCGGTGGTAGGTTGAGTACGATGGGCATGCGCGGGCGCACGCGGTGTACATTGGGCGGAGCGAGAGCTCCGGGACGTGCTGCTCGGGGCGGCACGGAGCGGCAGCGCCAGCGCTGCAGCTGTCCGTGCCGCGTAGACGCCAGAACTTGCCTGGACAGACTGTGTAACACACGAGGTGGCAAACGGACGTCGCGCGCGGCTTGCTTGCGTAGTCCGCGTCCTGCGCGCGCGTACCAGCTGCCTCCTGCGCTGCGGTGGTTGTGTTGTTCCCTTCTCACCGATGACACCATATTGATCATAATATGGCCTGTCGCGTCAGCACGTTGAGCACGACGCCGCACTGCCGCGGACGGTAGCGCACCCCCATGGTGTGCGCTGCGCGGAGGGCGTCGTAGTTTCCTTCACGGGCACGTGGCTGCCCGTCGTGCCCTGCTGTGACACCAGGGCCGTGCGCGCGGTGACGAGCAGACACTCGCGCGCTGAGCGCCTGCCTCGGGTCCACGTGGCATGATGAGGCCAGCGCGGCATCGAAATCCCGGTGGGTGTGGGATCAGGCGGCTGTACATGCGACAGGGGCCTATTGCATGGGCGTCTAGGGCGTCGTCCGCCCCGGGCTCGAGGGCGGAGGACAGGCCGTGCGCGGGCAACAGGCGAGAGCCACCAGGTGGGCATCGAGCGCGTGACGCGAGCTATCTGCAGCGCCGCTCGACCGCGACGGAGACGACCAGGTGGGCGCTCGGCACCGAGGCTCGTGCTGACGTCGCCCGGACGTGATCCCGCGTTTCCGCCGCGGGTCCCGCGTGCTCCATTTCATTCCCGCGCATCCCGGCCCCTCGGATGCCGAAACAACCCCGCGCTTCCGCGCGCTACGCGCCTCCCGTTCACCTGCGTTGAACCCCGCCGGTGCGGGTCGTGCCGGCGCCCGTGCGCCCCGCAACGCGCCCCGCACGAGCCTCTGCACGACACAGCACGCGCTCGACCCCACTGTGCCGCCGCCGCAGCCCCACCGACCCCCGCCAGCCCCTGGCGTTACTAACCGAACCGCAGGGGACGTCCATCCGGGCGCGAACACGAAGAATTCCGCGGCCACGATGCACTGCGAGGCATCTCTAGTCCACCGGGCGCCGGCCGCCGCGGCACCGCGCGCGCGCGGGCTCCGCACGGCCGCAGTTCGGCCCCAGGCCCAGCGGCGCGACCTGCGCTGCCGCTACAAGAAGCCCGAGAAAGACGCGGGCGAGGACGTCGAACTGGCGGTCAACGTCGAGCCCGACGCCGGCTTCTCCGTGATCCGCAGCGAGCAGCAGCTCGCGAACTTGTCCAGCTTGAGTGTCAGCGAGACGGTGCGCCCCAACTGCTCCCGGCACCCTCACCGTGTCCGGTTCCGACCTCCCCCGGCCGCCTCCGCCGCTCCCCCGCCCCCGGCACCCTCCCACTGTACCACACCTCACGCTGCGCCCTCACACAGGGCAGAATCCTCGCCACGCGCAGCACACGCGCGGCCAACGCCCCCCCGCTCCTGCAGCCCGCCCCGGCCTCAACCGCGCACCCCGCGCACCCAACTTGCAGGAGGGCGTTCCGAGCGTTCAGTACACGGTGCTGGAGGTCGACACACACCTGCGCGCGCAGCTGGGCCAGCCGATCGAGAACCCGCTGCTGCGGAACAAGGTGTACACGGGCACCTTCATCCGCAACTCCCTCCGCGACGACACGGATCTGCTCGAGATCAGCTCGATTCACACGCCGGGAGTGGCCAAGGTGCTGCGCCGGCGCGGCGTGAACGTGCCGGCGGGCGGGAAGGTCAACGCGTACGCGCACCGCGCCGGCCCGCGCGCGCAGGTCTACTGGGACCCGACCAAGATCAAGGCCGGCATCCTGACGTCAGGTGCGACCGCTGCGTCCGGCGCGCAGCGACAACACGCCGCGCCGCGCGCGAGCACACACACACACACCTGTTGGTTGCATCCACGTGCGTCCCGCAGACGGCCTCTGCCCGGGCACGAACGTGGTGATCCGCGAGATCGTGCGCTGCCTGGAGGACTACGGCGTCGACGCGGCGGGCGGCAAGATCCTGGGCATTCCGTTTGGCTTCAAGGGCCTGGCGGCGAACAGCGTCGCGACCGAGGGGGACCTCAAGCTGCGCCCGCTGCAGCACCGCGACATGAAGATGCTGTCGGACCAGGGCGGGTCGTACCTCGGCACCAGCCGCACCGCCAAGCTCGACGACAACGACATCAAGCGCATGGTCAAGAACATCGACATCTGGGGGCTCGACCACCTGTACATCATCGCGGGGCGCTCCGGGTGCAAGGTCGCGGAGAAGCTCTCCAAGGAGCTCAAGGCCCGCGACGTGCAGTGCGCGGTCATCACCGTCCCGAAGACCGTCGACAACTGCATGCCGCTGCTCGACCGCACGTTTGGTTTCGACTCGGCCGTCCAGGCGGCGCAGGACGCGCTGCGGGCCGCGGACGTGGAGGCGAGCAGCGGGCTGGACGGGATCGGGATCGTCAAGGTCATGGGCAAGGACTCAGGTGGGCTACGCTGCGCGCACACGCACACTCTGTCCACGCCCGTCGCCGCACCGCACCGCCGCTCCCACACACGCACAGCCCCGCTCCCACTCGCGCTCGCAGGCTTCATCGCCAGTCAGGCGAGCTTGAGTTCGGGCCTCGTGGACCTCTGCCTCATCCCAGAAGTCCCGGTGCGTCGCCGCGCCTCCCCCGCATCGGATCGGGCGCGAGCCGGGCGCGCCCGGGGCGCCGCGGCCGCCGCTAGAGCTCCTGCTCGACGCCGCTGCGCAGTCTCTGCACCACGCCGATGCCCTCGCCCCCGTGTCGCTCGTAGACGCGGGTGCGACCCTGCTGAGACCCCGCCCCCCCTTGCGTGGTTGATGGTTGCAGGCGAACCTCCACGGCCCGAACGGCGTCTTCCAGCACCTCAGGAAGATCCTGCACGACAACGGCCACGCCGTGATCTGCCTGTCCGAGGGCTGCGGCCCCAACTTCACGGACTCGGACTTCGATCCAGAGCGGCGCAACAGCACGGGCGACAAGCCGGACGTCGGCGTGTGGCTGCGCAACCAGATCAAGAAGGAGTTCCCGCAGTCGGACGTCAAGTACATCGGTGCGACCCGCATCGCCTCGGCCGACCTCCTCGCACCGCGCCACGTACAGCAGCGCATGCGCCCACTCACCCTGGCACCCCGCTGCAACTCTGTTTCGCCGCGGTGTTTCCCTTGCTCTCCAGACCCGACCTACATGATCCGGTCCCAGCTGCCGTGCCCGTCGGACCACGGCGTGTGCACCGTCATGGGCACCAACGCCGTGCACGGCGCGTTCGCGGGGTACACCAACCTGGCGGTGGGGCTCGTCAACACGCACTACGCGTTCCTGCCCATCTCGACCATCACGGGCACGACGCGCAAGGTCAGCACGGAGGGCAAGCTCTGGTCGCGCCTGTGCGCGTCGATTCAGCAGCCCAACTTTGCCATCTCGGAGTGATGCGTGCGCGGGGCGCTGCGAGTGACAGCTCCCGGCCGCGGCTGGCTGGGAAAATTTGTGGAGCGCGAGGGCGCGGACGTGGCTCGCCGCGAGGGCCGTGACGTGTCCGGGGAGTGCCGCGCGTTGCGGTGCAGGTGTGTTGCGATACTGTGTGACGTGCATTCTTGCTGCTCTTGCGCTGACGGTGTCCGTGCCGCTCGTGGTCTGCCTCCATGTCTTGCGCATCGACGCGCAGGACTGACGTCCTCTGATGACAGAATACACCCCCAGGGCTGTCTCCTGCTCCTTGGTGCCGTGACGCCTCGCCGTCACTGCGTGCGCCCTGCGCACACCGGGGACACTTCTACGAGCACAAGCGTCGCTGGTATGATCGCCACCTGACTCATTGCGACCATTGATCTTCGACAACAGACCGTTGAAAGCCAGCAGCTCATTGGAGCCGCCCGTCCACGTTCGCGCTACGCTCGTCGGGTAGCCTGTCGTATCGAAGATAGATCTCTGCGTTTGAGCGGACCCGCGACCGAATACGCAGCAGGCGTTCCCCAGGACCGCGAAAGCCTAATTCAGTTGGGGCCCAAACAACGGGCTGCCGCTCAACCCGATGCACGCCTCCGCCAGGCTGTGCGCGCACCTGAGTGGCACGACTCGTGCACGCGCGGCGACGGCCGGACGCGTCGGCAGGAGGACCCCGAGGTGCGCGTCGGAGCCGCGAATGGTCGGTGGCTCTCTCACGAATGCTCAGCGCGCGATTTTCGCGCGATCGAGCACGACGTCGGCTCGCCATGGCCTCGGCGTCGCTGCAGGGAGGTCGCTCAAGCCAAGCGCGGCAGGCCGGTGGCGCGGAAACCGCCGCCCGAGGAGGAGGGCGGACACAATGGGAATGTTGGTGACGCGATCGCTCCAGAGGCCGTCGTCGGAAAGGATATCCGGCTGAACGTGGACGAAGACGCGGGCTTCACCATCATGCGTACCACGACGGACTGTACGATGAACATCGACTGCCTGTCGTCGACTGACCAGGTATGGAAGGCCTAGTCTAGGCCTTTGCCCTTTAAGGCAGCCTAAGGCTGCCTTAATCAGATCACGAATCAGGGCGTCGACTGCGACGCAGCGTGCTTTTCCGCCTCCTCTCCTCCAGCCCTACCTCGTCGCCCCGGGGGCGCGGGTAGCGCGGGTAGCGCGACCGTCTCGACCACCTCGCGCGCCTTGCACGCCAGGTCGAACAATCGAACAGCACGCCCATGTGCTGCGCCTCGGCCCCCGTCCCGCGCAGGAGGCCAACAACGGCCGCGGTCGCTTCACCGTCCTGGAGGTCCCCACCCTGCGCGACCAGCTCGTGAGCCTCAGCAGCGACATCCACGACTCGGAGGTCCCGCGCAGCAACCCGCTTCTCGACGGCAGGGTGTACTCGGGCCACTTCATACGAGAGTGCCTCCGCGACGACTCGGATCTGCTTGAAATCAGCTCGATTCACACGCCGGGCATCGCGCGTGTGCTGCGGCGCCGACGTATCCCCGCCGATCCGCTCCGCGACGCCGTAAACGTGTACGCGCACCGCGCGGGCCCCCGCGAGTGGGTGTACTGGGACCCCCCCCGGGTGAAGGCCGCCGTCCTGACCGCGGACGGGCTGTGCCCCGGAACGAACGTGAGCGCCGCGCTGCGACACCTGCCCGCCCTCGCGTCGCCGCTCACTCCCGATGATTATGAACCATGATTTCATCGCTAATTGTGTGCAGGTGGCGGTGCGGGAGATCGTGAGAACGCTGGCGGACTACGGCGTGCGCGACGGCATGGTCCGCGGGATCCCGTTCGGCTTCAAGGGCCTCGCGACGCGCACGTGCCAGCGGGAGGACCTTTGCCACTTCCCGCTGCGGGTGGAGGATGTGCGGGGCGCGGGGGCGCAGGGCGGGTCCCTCTTGGGGTCCTCGCGGGTGCCGGACGACCCCGACCCGGCTGTCCTGAAGCAGATGGTGAAGAACATCGACATCTGGTGCGCGAACCCGACGCATCATGTGTTCGGTATCTGATGCGGTACATACACGATGCCGCACTGCAAACAGCGTCGTTTTTTAGCCCGTATTATTTATTTATTTTTACTGCGTCTCTCCGTCGGCGCAGGGGTCTGGACCACCTGTACATCATCGCGGGCCGGTCCGGGTGCCGCCTCGCCGCCCGGCTCGCCGAGGAGCTGCACCGCCGCGAGGTCGTGTGCGCGGTCATCACCGTCCCGAAGACCGTCGACAACTGCATGCCGCTTCTCGACCGCACGTTTGGTTTCGACTCGGCCGTCCAGGCGGCGCAGGACGCGCTGCGGGCCGCGGACGTGGAGGCGAGCAGCGGGCTGGACGGGATCGGGATCGTCAAGGTCATGGGCAAGGACTCAGGTGGGCTACGCTGCGCGCACACGCACACTCTGTCCACGCCCGTCGCCGCACCGCACCGCCGCTCCCACACACGCACAGCCGCGCTCCCACACGCGCTCGCAGGCTTCATCGCCAGTCAGGCGAGCTTGAGTTCGGGCCTCGTGGACCTCTGCCTCATCCCAGAAGTCCCGGTGCGTCGCCGCGCCTCCCCCGCATCGGATCGGGCTCGAGCCGGGCGCGCCCGGGGCGCCGCGGCCGCCGCTAGAGCTCCTGCTCGACGCCGCTGCGCAGTCTCTGCACCACGCCGATGCCCTCGCCCCCGTGTCGCTCGTAGACGCGGGTGCGACCCTGCTGAGACCCCGCCCCCCCTTGCGTGGTTGATGGTTGCAGGCGAACCTCCACGGCCCGAACGGCGTCTTCCAGCACCTCAGGAAGATCCTACACGACAACGGCCACGCCGTGATCTGCCTGTCCGAGGGCTGCGGCCCCAACTTCACGGACTCGGACTTCGATCCAGAGCGGCGCAACAGCACGGGCGACAAGCCGGACGTCGGCGTGTGGCTGCGCAACCAGATCAAGAAGGAGTTCCCGCAGTCGGACGTCAAGTACATCGGTGCGACCCGCATCGCCTCGGCCGACCTCCTCGCACCGCGCCACGTACAGCAGCGCATGCGCCCACTCACCCTGGCACCCCGCTGCAACTCTGTTTCGCCGCGGTGTTTCCCTTGCTCTCCAGACCCGACCTACATGATCCGGTCCCAGCTGCCGTGCCCGTCGGACCACGGCGTGTGCACCGTCATGGGCACCAACGCCGTGCACGGCGCGTTCGCGGGGTACACCAACCTGGCGGTGGGGCTCGTCAACACGCACTACGCGTTCCTGCCCATCTCGACCATCACGGGCACGACGCGCAAGGTCAGCACGGAGGGCAAGCTCTGGTCGCGCCTGTGCGCGTCGATTCAGCAGCCCAACTTTGCCATCTCGGAGTGATGCGTGCGCGGGGCGCTGCGAGTGACAGCTCCCGGCCGCGGCTGGCTGGGAAAATTTGTGGAGCGCGAGGGCGCGGACGTGGCTCGCCGCGAGGGCCGTGACGTGTCCGGGGAGTGCCGCGCGTTGCGGTGCAGGTGTGTCGCGATACTGTGTGACGTGCATTCTTGCTGCTCTTGCGCTGACGGTGTCCGTGCCGCTCGTGGTCTGCCTCCATGTCTTGCGCATCGACGCGCAGGACTGACGTCCTCTGATGACAGAATACACCCCCAGGGTGGGTTTCCTGGCCCCCGCGCGCCAATGTGCACGGCTGTGCCCGACGGACCGCCGCGCACGATGCTGCCGGTCCCGAATGCCGCTTGTGAGCGCGGACGGGCATCACCGCCGCAGGCACACGTCCCTGTTGACGCGTTCCCTCACCACCAGGAGCTATGTGCACTATGGCACCGCCCACGCCACGGCAGGGGACGAGACGTTGACAACGTGACGCTGGGGGCTCGAAAGGCCGTCACATGGCCGGACGCGCACGCCAGGGCCAGTTTCCGCTGCATGCAACCGGGATGGGACGCATGCACCTGGCGAGCGCGCTCCACAGCGCTCCTGGGGGGGTGGACGAGTGGGCCGCACCGCCCCTGCACGCAGCCTCGTGATCCGTCCCGATCCCGCGCGATGTCCATCAGGCAGAGTGATCGGGGTGCGGCGCGATAACGACCGCAAGCCTGCTGCACAGCGGCGCGACCCCGCACGCAGACGGCGACACAGGGCCGCTGGAGGGGCTCGTGAGGCGAGTGGATGTGGAAGGAGACGTTGCTACCGGGGCGATGCATTCCGGGCATCTCCGTCGCGTGACCGCGTCGCGGGTCCGCACATCCCGCGTCGCGCTCAGCATGAAGCGCTCCAAGCTTGCCGCACGGGGCCACGCTGCCAGGCTGTCGTCCGCGTCATGCCCCACAATACGCGTGGAGTGCGCGCCGGCCGTCCTTTCCGCCCAGCGACCACAAGGGGGCCCAGTGGCGCGAGAACCCTCCTGCACACCCCCTGCCCTGCCTTCGCATCAGCGAAAACCCGCGACTCTTCCGCACCCAAGAGTCCTCGGGAGAGTATGTTTCGGGCCCCGCACGCGCTTTTCTGTGACATTGCGGTGCCGGCGGCGCACACTATATCGCGCGCAGCCCCCTTGCGCGCTCCTCCGCGTCGCAGAGGCCTCACGGCGGCCGCCACACACAAAGCCGCACCGTGCCGGCCGCGCACGGCCCGGCAGGGCGGCGGCGACGCGCGCCCTGCCATTCAGTGTGCCTGGTTGCGCCACCTGCGGATTTCCAGCAGGTTTCGGGACAGGTGGTTTCCCGGGGTGTTGGGCGTGGAGGGAGGCCTTTGCAAACAGCACCAGCCCGCCATCGGGGTCTGCGCCCGGCTGTGGCGCGTATGTCGCCGCGGCAGCGCCATGGGCGGGTGCAGACTACTCGTCAGGAGGGAGCCTACGTTTCGCGCGGGCCTCCACGCCCACCTGTGCGACGCATCCCGCCACAGGTGTTCTGTAAGATGCCTCCATGGCACAGCGGGCGTTGTTTCCAGGGCAAAAAACCGGGCGCTCTCCAAGTACGCCCTGAACCCCACCACGGGGCAGATGTCGCGCGTCTGTGACGCGACGAAGTGAACGCGCCAGGCACGAGACCGTCTCACACATATTTGCACCTCGCCGCCCGCGGGAGGTTGCCCTTCAGCAACTCCAGGTACTTGCATCGCATGAACCTCTCCTGCGACCACTTCGGGGGTCGGCTCGTGCCCGCGGGGAGGGCGCTCGCCCCCGGCGCGGCTGAGTGAACCCTGATGAATACTTCCTGCGCCACGACGTCCTTCAAGGGCACGATCACGCAGCGGGGCTGCATCTCGCGATTGCCCACGACATCGACATCCCATGCGTACAGCGGCTGGCCCAGACGGTCCTCCGCAGGGCAGCCATCTTCCTCTGGTGGCCAGCTGCCCAGCTCGCCGTTCCCGCCCGCCGCGGCAGACGGGTCGCGCCTTGAGAACAGCTGCACGTACACCAGTGTCTCGTCCTTCGAATTCCCGAACGTGCCGTCGTAATGGACGTCCGCAACTGCCACGAGCCGGCCAAACCGTCCATCCCTCAGCTGCACTTCCGCCTGCCGAAAGCCCGCCGGGGCGACCTCGGCTATGGCCGCGGATGGACCCATCGAGAAGGTCTTCGCTTTGGCCACCCCCACCTCGCCTTTGATCTTCACCCCCGATCGCAGGTCGCACCGCACACCGATGCGGGCGCGGCCTTCGCTGTTCCACGCTGGCACGCGCTCCTGCGCACGGCCCCACAGCGCCCGGGGGAGGCGCCGCAGCTCCGGGCACAGCTGCACCGCGCGCCGCAGGTCGTCCTTCGCCACGTCCGCTGCAGACGACGCGCCGACCTGCACGCCTGCTGCAAGCTCAATGCTGTCCAGATGCACCAACTGCACGTTCTTCATCCATTCGCCGCAAGCCGCGGTCTCCGCATGTACTTTCGGCTCGACGGCGTCGTCGTCGTCGTCCAGGAGCCTGTCGGCCACGTCGTCCCGCGCCGCGCCCGTCACAATCTGCACTAGGTTCCAGGGCCGCCGCAGGTCAGCGCATGGCCCCGCTGCCACCAGGCTCGCGAGGGCGTGCGCGTTGTGAGCCAAGAGGCCTACCTGGCGCTGCACGCTGCTCTCGTTGTGGTTCGTGGCCACCTGCGTCATCTTCTTGTGCCGCCGCTCAGCGGACTGCATGCTGGCAGCCCACGCGCCGCCCAAGTGCCGCAGCATCTCGCCGTAGTGGTGGCCCTCGTGGAACTTCGGCCTCGCCGTGATATCGCGGCCTTTCTCGTCCGGACCCAGAGCACTGGCCGCGGCAATGAACCTGCGCGACGCACGCACAAGGAGCCGCTGCTCGCTGCTTCCTGCGGGCTTGCCCGCCTGCCTCGGATGGGCCCAAGGTGAGCATCGCACCTGGGATAGTTGCGCTCGCAGAATTTCGCGTCGCGCTCCGTCGGGCGGTCCTTGTCGCGGCACAAACACACATCAAGGAACATCGCCCATGCGCGGCCCAGGTCGTCCCGCAGCGTCGCCACTGCCTCCTCGACCCTTGCAGGCTCTTCGAGAGCAGCGAACAGGGCGTACGGATACACCGCCGCCACGCTGAGGAGCTGCGCGGCGGTGCACATGGTTGTCGTGCCGGTGGCCCCCGCCTTGCGCAGATCGACGGTCCAGGCGCGCGATGGCAACCTCAGCGCGCGGGAGGCTCCGACGAGGGACCTCACGACGCTGTTGATCCCCCGGATGGCGTCAGTCCAGTTGAATCCGCCGACATTCTTGAACACCTCCTCAATCTTGAATGCGGAGTGCACCATCATCGTCTTCATGATGCCCAGGCTGCTCTGGTGCAGCGTGTCCGGAAAGCGCGTCTGCAGGCACGGGCCGCAGGTCCGCGTGAGCCTCCGTGCGCCGTCGGACGGCCGGGCAGGAGTCAGTCAGTCCATGACGCGCGCACCTGGTACGGGTCCACGATGTCCCCGAACAAGACCCCCAGCGCGGGCCGCACCGGCCACACTCCCGCGCGGCACAACATCAGCTCGCCGTCGGCCACGTTGCCGCAAGCCTCCGCCTCCTCCATGCGCTGTTGCATGGCGGGCCACGTCCGGGCAGGGCCCGCAGGCGCGGGCAGCCGTCCAGGGAGGCAGCGGCTGCATGACTCCCAGGAGTCGCCGCCAATGCGCACGCCGAGAGCGTGCCCCACCTCCAGGAGGTCGGTCACGGTGATGGCGGGGACGGCCACCGTGCGGCGCTCAACGCCGTCGGGGTACCTCAGCAGGACACCGCCTCGCTGAAGAATCGCACGGAAGCCCTGGAACATGCGTGTCAAAATCGCCTGGAAGGCTTCGCGCGCCGGGCGGCTGGTTGCGCGGCGAAGGTGCGGGAGGTTCGCCAGAAACTCCATGCACCCATCTTGCACCGTTTCCGGCGCATTCGCGATCGTAATGTTCACGGGCCGTATGTCCACGCTGTTCGTGACGGCACAGCCGTCCACCGACCACTTGAGCATGAGCACATGGACCCCCTCCGGGTTCTCCGGCGCCATGCCCTCGGCGCCGCAGCCCAAAACTCGCCGCACGCCTTCCACGACGTCACGGTACAGCTTGCAGCGCTGGGGTGGCGCCCACACGAAGTCGTCATGCACATCTGTCATTTCTTCGGCCGAACGCGCCCGGAAGAGGTCGTCGATGTGCGCGGAATCGCCGGGAAGCTTGCTCACCATGCTCTGCAGGACGTCCTCGGCTTCGCGGACTTGGAGCACCACACGTTCGCCCTGAGTCTGGTCGTCCAGGCGCACGGACGCCCACCTCTGCGCGTCAGGATGCCGCTCCAGGTGGCGGTTGACCGCCTGCTTGGTCTTTGCACGCTGGAGCACCACCTCGCCGAAAACCTCGCCGCCCACATTCTCCAGGAGCCCCCTGAGCGACTGCAAGCCCTTGGCCGGTACGAATCTGTAGAGCCACGCCATGATGGGGTCGACCTCGGTCGACTGCACCTCCTCGTCCGTCGCTGCAGAGCCGGTGAGCGTGACGAAGTGCAAGTCCTCAACCCTCAGCCACTCATCCGTGTCTGCAGTGCAGCCTTCGTCATCCGAGTCGCTCGGGGGGAGCATCGGGAGGCCCTCCCCTTCGTCGCGAACACCGTCGTCTACGATCGCAGGGCTCGGCGCCGGCCTTTGAGGTATGTGACTTGACTTGACTTGTTACATCCCGAAGAACGGGTCGCACCGCCAAGGTAGGTTCTACCCCACCCTATAACGGCACTAGTTTATAGAAACGCCACGGGACCAGGTGCCCATTTTCCTGCCGATGGCACAAAGGGAAGTGGCAGACAGCCCGCGCGGGGGCGCGGCGGGCGCAGCGAGGGCCGCTGCGGGGAAACGTGGCCCCCTCGCGCTGCAGCATCGCGCGCCGCAGTCGCTTCTGCGCCTGTCACCGAGCAGACGTGATGCTCGAGCCCATGCCAGGTCGCGAAGTACTGATAGCACGTCGGACACTTCTCCCCGCCGCGAGATGCACCAGCCAACCTCAATGCGTCGTCCATGTTCACTTCGTTCAGCCTCTGGGTCATAGACTTGCCGCCCTTCGTCTTCTTCTGGCCTGCGACGTCTATCGTGCCGCTCTCGCCCTCCCTACGACGCAGGCGGTCGCCGCTGCGACGCTGAGCACTCTGGTCGAGTGACTGCATCCCGGACGCGGTCGCGCGCGCGCGGAGGACGCGGACAGCCCTTTTTCGGGGGACCGGGAAGGTGACTGGACGACGTGCACCGACGCGCCATCCTTTCTCGCGTACCGACGACGTCCCAGACCAGCAGGCCTGCTGGGGCCTCCGCGACCAAACGCTGGGGCCGCGCTGGCCTGTTCAGGGCCGGAGGGCGGCTCGCGCCGCTACTTTCCGCTCAGACGATTTCGGAAGCTTTCAGGATGTCCAGCCTCGAGGTACGCCGTGCCCACATGCTGTGCATTTGCTGCCGCGTCGCAGGTGCCGCGCTCAGCGCGTCGCGGAGGCGCTGTTGCGAAGCCGCGCCGACACATTTCGGCGTGGGTGGTTGTTTGCAGGAGTTTGACGCCGCGTGGAACCGCGAGTTCGGCGCAGGGAGCGCCGCGTCGCAGTCTATCACCAAAAGCGACTTTGATGCGCTCCGGCGCTCGCATGCGGACACGGCGGAGCAAGTGACGCAGCTCACTGCGATGGTCCGCGCCATTTACGGCATGACGCGCTCGTTCAGCACCGCGCGCGCTGCGCAGCCGGCCGCGCCGGCAAGCGCGCCAGCTGACACTCAGCAGGCTTCGAACGCGCCCGAGGCCATTCAGGAGGTGCTCGCGATCCTGCGCGACATCAAACCGGTCCTGCTGCATCCGAAAGGCGTTCGCGCTCTGAACGCGAGGCGCGGCAAGAGCGCCGACGCCGCCATGAGCGCTCCTGGCGTCGGCAGGCTTGGTCGACTCCTTCTGCTCGTCCACGCCTGCCCGAGCAAGGCCGACTACCTCCCCGCTCTCGTCCTGCACGGGCACAAGCTCAACATCTTCGAGGACACGGACTTCAAGCTCAAGGCGGGGCACGACATCAAGCACGCGGACGGCTTGGCTGTGCCCACCAAGCTGGCGGGCGCGCTGGAGACGGGCGACCTCGAGACTGCGGAGTCTCTGCTGCGGCAGCGCTCGACTGCGGTGCGTCCGCCCGACCTCGCCCTGCCATGATGTCGCTGCTGCCGCCACGCCGCCGCTTGACCTGCTGTGCTGCACCTCAACAACGTTTGCTTCCCTGCGAATGCCCGCCAGTGGACCGTGACTGACTCCGAACGCCTGCGCCACGTGTCCTGCAGGTGTCTCAGCTCGTGAACACCGCGCGGGGCCAGGTCACGGGCGCCATTCGCGTCGGTATCAAGGCGCACATGGCGAAGCGCTCCACGACGGTCGTGCAGGGGCCCGACGGCCCCCTCCACCCGTACGCGGGGCAGTTCTTCCTCAGCGACGCGAGCGGCAACCTGTCGTTCCCGACCAAGGTCATCGACGAGAAGGTCGTGTCGCTGCGCTGGTGTCCTGCGGACGAGCAGCCGCCCATCTTCGACGCCAACGACGCCCTGGACATCGGCGACGGGTCGCTCCTGCGTGCCGTGATGGACCTGCTCCTCCCCTGGAAGTCCGACGATCTGCCGGACGCGCTCTTCAAGTCCAAGATCACGCCGGGGTTCCTTGCGCTGGTGGCGTACGAGGTGAGCCCCGTGGCTGCGCTCCGCGGCGCGCGAATTCGTGTTGTGTGGGATCATTGCTCATGCTTGCGCGCGCCGCCGCTCCCTGTCTGCAGTGGAACGTGGCCATCATGGACCTGCCCCCCAAGTACGCCACCAAGTCGGCGTGGCGTCAGGGCGCGTACAGCCGCTCGTACAAGGAGTACGTGGCCATCTACGCCGACGTCGTGATGCCGCTCGTCGTGCGCGGCGACCCCGCGCTCTTCACCACGTCGGAGGTGATGTCCTTCCCTGGCATGGACGGCATCAACGTGCAGCCGCGGGCGTTGTGGGCGGAGCTGGCGCAGGTCGCCGCGACGGTCGGGGTGCCGGATGGCCCGCCGTCGCCGCCGTCCGGGTCGCGGGGGTCGGCCGGCGGCGGCACTGCGGTGCGCGACGCTGGCGCTGCTTCCGCTGGCGCGCCGGGGGCCGCGACGGCCACGACGACGCCTGTCCACACGGGCTCCGGCAACACGACCGTGGCGGGCGACTCCGGGGCGGGCGCCAGCGCCGGGGGGGGCTCCGCTGGCGGCTCTGCTGCCGGCGACTCGCAGCGCCCGCGCTTCGTTGAGGGCCGCGCGGGCGGCGAGATCGAGGGCGGCCAGCGCATGCGGCGCAAGCGCGGCATCGACGACTGCCACGGCGTGATCTGCACGGAGATGCGCCGGTCGCAGCGCAGGAAGGAGAAGGCCGGCGACGCCGGGCAGGTGTGTGCCGGCTGCCACGCCCGGTTCCACCCCGAGTGCATGAGCACCCTGCGCGACATGCTGCACACAGCCTACGCTGCGCAAGACTGGCGCGTGCGGCCTCAGAGGGGCCTGCGCAAGATCCGCACGCGCGTCTGGCGCAGGCAGGCTGCTCAGGCTGCCGAGCCCGTGTTTGACCTGCGCTGCCCGATTTCCGAGGTGTGGGAGCGCGTGCCCCTCAGGCGCGCTCGTTTGGCGGCGGCGTGTCTAGTGTACGCGCCCGCTTCCACCCCTTGCGCCGACGTGCTTCTCATCTCTCTCTGCCTGCTGTGCCCCCTGTTGCGTGCGCGGACGCCTGACGCGCCTTCTCCCGCCCGCTGGACGCAGGTGCGAAACTAGGCGCGGAGGGGGCGCGGGCCCGTCGTTCATGCGGCTCGAGAACGTCCTCACGGCCGAGGGCCTGCAGGCCGTGACGGCGAAGCGCCGTCGAGAACTCGACGACATGGCGTGGCGCCGCAACGTCGCGCGCGAGGTGGAGATCACAGGCCGCGTGCTGTCGCAGCGGGCGTTGCCCCTGACGGTCGCGCCTGTCGTCCCGCCTCGCCCGCCGGCACCGCTGCGCCCGCCGCCCGTTGTGCGCAAGCCGAGGCGGTCCACCCGGGCCCGCGCCATCTTCTTCCCGCAGGAGGACCTCCGGGGCTTCCGTGTCACCGCCGTGGGGCGCACGGGCCGCCAGGTCCGGTGCCCCCCGCGGTTCGACGCGAGCCTTGGTGAGGTAGTCCTCATGTAGCTGCCTGGCCCGCGGGCAGCCGCTGTTTGCAGTATCATGCGATGTGAAACCAACATATAGTACCGCGACAGCGTCACACGCGTCACGAATGCCCGGAACGAGCGCGCGCGGGCGCGCGGGCGCGCTCGAGGCACTCTGCCGGGTTGCTACACCCCGTCAGACTCTGAGTCGAGTCTGGCAGACTGCCAGGGTTTGGCTGATGCGCCGAAGGGGCCGGCGGCCCATCGGCGGGGCCAAAGCGGGTGCGCAGGAGGTGCGGGGCCTGGCGGTGCAAGCGGGCGAAGCTGCCAGCGCGGTGGGATCGAGCACGCCGTCGCTGATCTCGGCTCGCCCACGACTCGGGAGTCCGCGCTGCCCGGCGTGCCCACGGACGCCCACGCACCTCCACTTCCGGACGACACGTGCATCTTGTCGGCCCCGACGCTCCTTCGGCGTCCAGGGACGCCGCCTGCGGCGTCGCGTGCCCGCACGCGCCGGGTAGCCCGTGCCGCACGTCTCCGGTGAGGAACTGCTGCAGTGACGCGGCCGTCGCAGCCCTCGGCGGCAGAGCCTCGCGTTGTTCGCGCGCCGGCCCGAGAGGCCGGAGCGCGGTGGACCGCAGGACTCGCATGCAACGGCCGCTCGGCGTCCGCATGTGACAACAACCCCCTCTTTATCACCGTCAGACACGCCCATCGCAGCGCAGCAGACAGCCGCTCCTCGCTGCTCCGACGCTCCCTTCCCCCCTCCTTCTCGGCCGCCCGCTACGATTCCTCGTCCTCGGAGCCCGCCGCGTCGTCGCCGTCCACCGACATCGCGGGCGCCCCGCGCAAGTGTCGTCACAGGTAGTCCCGGCACTCCAGCACTACCTCCGCCCGGCCCCCCTCGGCGGCGGCGCCGCAGTGCGCTTCCTCGCGCACGCCCCGTGCGGTCGGCGCTGCAGGCGCGCCTGCTGTCAGGGGGAGGTGTCCTTGATTGAGCGTGTGAGCCGATCAGGGCGCCCCGCCGCGCCAGCGGCGCACATTGCGTATGGTCCGGCGTCACCGCCACGGCCGCGCAGACCGGGCAGTCCGGAGCGCGCCTGAATGCGGCACCGCTGGCGGAGCAGCCCAGCCTGGGTGCTCGCCGCGCTCCCGAGACCACCACAGGCGACCTGGTCTCATCAGGGCGCCGCAAAGTGGTGAGGATACATGCAGCATGTCAGCGGAGGCCGTTGAACGGCGCCGGGCCCTAGGTGGACCGCGGGCGGGGCACTGGGGCCTCTGCCCAGTTCGAGGTCCGGGCGGCGACGCCAGGCCCTGTCGGCGCGCTGCGTGCGCCGTCGCGCATTATCGCCTCAGGGAGAGGGCGCTGGGGATCAAGTTGATCTCGCGCGCGAACTTTCCAGCCGCCTCACGGCCTGGCCCATGTCCTCTCTGGGATGGGCGGCCCGGGCGCCGTCCCGCGGCCAAAGTCGCCGCGGGCGCGAGGTTCGCCGAAGGGAGGTCGAGCTGAGCGCTCGTTTTCGAAGACGCCGCCATGGAGCCCCAAACGCGTGTGCTGCGCGCGTCTGAGAAGAAGGATGGTTCAATCGTTCTCCCGGTGCGCAGACATGCCCTCTCGCTGCGCTGGGAGCCTCCTCTTGCCAGGGGAGACCGCGCGATTCACTTCACTTCTGCGGTCTTCGGTCCGCGAAGCTTGATCGCGTCGCCATGCCCAAGTGCATGCTGGATTGCATGCCCACACGCTCCGTGCGCCAAGCTCCGCCAGCGGCGCCTGAGCGTGAGACTTGTTTTGGGTCTGGTCCGAGACCCCCTCGCGATTCGCGGCAGGACTGAAGCACTCCGCGCCCGCCTGGCACGCAGGCGCCCCACCTGCGGCTCGCGGCTGGTGCTGGCCGGCCGCTCCAGCGCGGTCGGGCCGAAAGTCATGTCGATCGGGCTGGTTTGGCTATGCCCGTGACGTCTTGGAGTCGATCCGGCGTCGGCTGGCGGCGTCGCGGTCGCGGCGGCCACCCACCCACACACGAGGCAGCCAGGTCTAGCAGGTGCGCTCGAAACCACGCGGCCGGCCGAGCGGACACCCCTCCCGCAGCGAAGTGCACGTGCTGGGACATCGCCCTGGCGCACGCGCCTCCTCACTCGACGTGTGTGCGCTTCTCCTGCCTCCGCGTCGTCCTCTGCCATGATTTCACCCCCGCTGCCTCTCCGTCCTCGTTCGTACACAGGGGGCGCGACCATCGCGGCAACCTGGCCCGCGGGGCTCCTCGTACGGTCTTCCCGGCTCGCCGCGCCGTGGCTCCTCGTCTCTGGCGACGCCCGGCTCCGTCGTCATGAGCAGTGGCCGTGGTCCATGGTCCAGGGCGGCGACGCGTTGGTGGTCGTGGGGACGTCGCAGCGAGCCCCCCGACGGCGTGCTGCGGGGCGCGCTGCGCGGGCCTCGACGCGACCCACGGCGGTGCCGTGGACGGGGAGCGAGTCGGTGAGGGCGCGTTAAGGGCGGGTGCAGCGGGGCTGCTGCTTCGCGGCTCGACGGGCTGGCGCGCGGGCGGCATCGGCGTGCGCGGTGGACGTCGCCGCGACGCAGCGGCTGGGGGCCGTGGTCGCGCGGCGGATCTGCGGCCAACTCCCGCGGCGACCGAGGTGCGTACGTGCTGGTTGCGTCATCAGGGGCGCGCGCGGCCATCTCCCGCCCGCCGAGAGCGAGCCTGCCGCTCCGGAGGCTCGTGCACGTCTTGCTCCACCGCCCCGGCTCGACCGCGGGGGCCTGCGCGCGAACGTCGCCGTGCCGCCGTATTTTGTTCTACTTTGATGTGACCTGACACCGCAGCACCTCCGCCACGCCCCCTCGCCCTCGCAGTCTGCGGTGAGAATGGCTCCGCGCACGGATCTGGTGGTCAACAAGCTCGAGGCGGGCCTAAGACCGAGGACAGGGTCGCGCAGGGTCGCGACGTCGAGCGGTTCGAAGGTGCGCGCCACGGTGCCTCTCTGTTCGGCCCGGCATGTCGCCCCCCGCGTGGCGCCCGTCGACAGACGTCGCGCCGCTGTCCCGTGACAGTCTCTGGCGACGGCGGCGCGACACGGCGCCGCCGGAGAAGGCCCCGGCGCACCGCGCGGCCGCACGGCACGCTCGCGGGGGTGCACGCTCTCGCGCGGCGAGCGCCGCGGAGCATCGGTCTTTTCCTTGCTGCCCCTGGACGCTGATTGTCCACGTGGCCGCGCTTGGGGGGGTTACACGCGACACGACCGATTTTCGCCGCCCGTTCTTTTGCTTGAGACTACGTGACACTACGAGGCAGGGACGAGGCAGATCACGCGCCCGCACGAGGCTGAACGCCGCTCTCTTCGCCCCCGCTGGACCCACCGCAGGTCTCTCTTATCGATCGGCGCAGAGCTGGCCGCGCGAGGCCGCGTCCGGGCGCGCGCAGCGTCACCGGAATTGAGCTGCGTCCCTCCGCAAGAACCTAGGTACGCCCGCACGCCAGCCCACCGCCGCAGCTTCGCGCTGTCGGCCCTCGCGACGCTCACGGCATGGGTAGCGGCGAGGTCCCGACCCGCCGAGCCTGCTGCGTGCGCGGATGTCGCTCCCACGCGTCCCCGACTGCACCCGCCCTTTCCGTCCAACCTGTTGCGACGCGAAGCTGCTCGACGGCGACGACACGCATCGCGGGGCTCCGTTGCATCCGCGAGCCACGTGTGCGACGCTCAGCGCCGTCTTGGGGCGTCTCAGACGCCGCGGCCACGGCTGCGTCTTTATCAAACGTTCGAAGACCCCGTGAACGGGGCCGGGGGCGCCCCCGCCCCGGATGTCGACCGTGCCGAACGCGTCGCACTCATTCCGGCCCGTGCAGGAGCGTCCACGCCGTGGAGAGCGTTCGCCACGGACCCACACGGGTGAGGAGCGCGCTGCACCTCGAGGCCGATGCAGGACCTGGCACGGCGGCGGCTGCCCCCACGCCTCGCCGCCGTGGCTGGCCAGCAGGCCAGGAGGCTCCAGATCCGTTGCGATGGCCTGAACACGGACGACGAGGAGCCGCCGCCGGATCCGTCCAGCGATGAGGACATGGACTGCCCGTCGGAATCGGGTTACGAGCCCCCCGTGGAGGCGGAGCGCGACAATCACGACAGCGACGGCGACAGCGACGGCGACAGCGCGGCGTGTCACGTCACCCCGGACGAGATCAAGGAGTTGCTGCTCGACGCGAAGCGCCACAACGACGACGACGACGACCGCGACGACGGCGCAGGCGACGACGGTGACGGCGACGACCGCGACGGCGCAGGCGACGACGGTGACAGCGACGACCGCGCAGGTCCTGCGCCAGGCGACAACGTCGTAGCGCGCGCGCGCGACTCCCGCATCGCCTGGAGGCCGCTCACAGCCCCCGAGCGCGACCTTCTGCGCCAGCGGCGCGATGGTCCTGCGGAGGCGGCGGGCTCGGAGCCGCGCGGCACCGGCCACGCGGCAGCGCAGGTTTCGGGCCCGCCTGGGCGCGCACGCAACGTCACCCCGGGCGATCGCGAGGAGGGCGCGGTGGAGCGTGAGACGGTCGCTTCACTCACAGAGTCTGCGTGGGCGTGCCACGGCTTCAAACAATACAAGGAGCCGTCGTTCGGCCAGCTGAATATAATCAGGCAATCGCCACGGGTCGAGGATGCAGGGGAGGCGGAATGCGAGAACGCCAAGTGCCGGTTCCGGGACGGCGCGGGCCGGCGCGCACCTGCCGTTCGCTTCTGCAGGGGGTTCGACGCGGGCCCCGGGCGCTGGGTGGTGCCGCCGTTGAGTGTGTGCAAGGGGTGCGCCCGGATGTTCGACCGTCGGATCGGGCAGTTCGGGCTTCCGGAGCACGGGTTCCGCGAGGTCAGCACCGGCGTCATGCTGCGCGAGTTCTGCGACGCGTACAACGCATGGGTTCGCGACGAGCGCGAGAGCTACCAGAAGGAGCACCCCGGTGCCGATTTCTCAAGGAGGGTCGGCTACGCCTTCGTGCGCTACAAGCACCGGGTACGGCCCTGGCAGAACGGCAGGAAGGGCTTCGCGTTCGAGCTCGACCACGTGATCGAGCTGGTCAGCGAGCTCGAGGGCGGTTACGTCTTCGGCCGGGGGGTCATCGAGGACGACGAGGCGGAGCACCTGCTGAACTTCAAGATCCCGGACTGGCAGCGGGAGAAAGAGATCCTGCGTCTCATTTGGCTGCTCAGGCGCGAGGCGGAGCAGGAGGGCGGCACCACCACCGCGCAGGACGCCGCGCCCATGGTCTTCTGTCGCAACAGCTGCGACGCCGTCCCGGACGGCGGCGGCCGGTACGGCTTTGCGATGACGCACTGGGATCGCGTCGCTACCAGCTTCGCGCACACCGTCGGCGCCATCATGGTGGCGCACCTCAGCGCCGACTACAGCAAAGTTCTCTGCGTCGTCTCGGGCTTCAGTTGCCCTCCCGGCGTGCGGAGGAACGCTAAGGACGTGCATTTCTACGAGCTGGACCTCCGCAGCTCCCTCGGTCGCCAGTGGGTGGTGGACCCGGCTCACCACGGGAAGGCGCGGGTTGTGGCGCGAGCCGGTGCGTTTATCAAGCGGTGGAGCCTGCAACGCGCCAAGACCGCGCGCGACATGCGCAAGCTGGTGGTGAAGAAGCTTCGGCGCACTCGCGCGCCCTCGGCGGAGCTGGTCGGGCTGGACCTGACCGTTTTGGCGATCAGCCTGGGGGGGGGTCCGGCGGCGAGGTGTACAAGGCGCTGTCGGAGGGCGACGCAGACGTCTTCGACGTGCCAGGCTCGGCCCAGCGGATCCTCGGGGGCATCGCGGTCGGACGTTTCCGCACGGATCCGGGCGAGCCAGTGCGGGACGGGGACATCGTCAAGTGCGGGCCGGACGGACCGCGCGCGACGAGCTCCGTGCACGACGTGATGGCGAAGCTCGTCGACGCGCTGGAGCGGCTCGTGCCCGAGTCGGCGCCTGCGCGTCCTCGGCCGTACACGCTCCTGTACATGGAGGAGGCGGCAATGACGATGGAAGCGCTGCGGCGGGGGTGTTCCGGGCCGCTCCAGGGGCGGCTGGACAAGCTTCTGGAGGAGCGCGGCGTCATCGTGGTCGACGCCCGCGCGCAGGGGCTCGAGGCGTACGCCAAACTCCTCGACCAGCCGCGGCTGCGGTCCCGCCCGGGCTTCAACGACATCCTGAACGGCCTGAGTCAGCCCTCGAGCGACAAGGTGCTCCTGTCGTTCATGGATCTGACCCTGCTGGCGTTCGGCCAGCTCCGGGACCGCACGCCTGCGAGCATGACGAAGTGCGCGACGCTGGGCGGTGCGCTGCTGCGGGCCGTCGCCTGCCGCCCGCCGGCCGACGACGCCGCCAGTCCGACCTCCCAGCATCTCGCGGAACTGGCCGAGCGGATCCCGGAGATGGGGAGGCTGGCCAAGAAGGCCAAGCAGCCCAAGGGGCAGCGCCGCATGAAGGCGGACTACGCGTACGTCTACGCCGACAAATGCGCCAAGAGCGGCACCGTCCGCTGGTTCGTCAACAAGTGCCGCATCCACTGCAAGATCGCGGGGGGTGTGCGGGAGGAGAAGGTCAGCATGTGGGGGCCCTGGGCGTCCGCCGCGGAGGCCGCCGCTGCCGCCGGCCTGTTGGTGTTGATCTACGGCTCCGAGGTCGACCGGCAGAAGTACCGCAAACACATCGCGGCGATGGCTGATTTGGGCTTCAAGGACCCCACGGATGAGGAAAGCGAGGCGGTCCGGGCGGCGATGACCGTCAAGGAAGCGGCGGCGATCATCGGTGCCACCCACCGTGCCACACACCGTCTGCACGGCCACGACATCAAGAGCGCGTCGGATCTCCTGGACGCGGCGCGTGGCTGCAGCAGCAAGGAGGAGGCCTGCAACGCCGCAGTCGCCGCCTTCTTGGTGTCGATCTACGGCTCCGAGGACGACATGGAGACGTTCCGCGACGACATCGCGGCGATGGCCACGTTGGGCTTCGAGGCGCCGAGTGCGGAGGACTGCGAGGCGGTGAAGCGTGCGATGACCGTCGAGGAGGCGGCCGCGACGATGAGGACCGCCCGCTGTCGGGGCGAGGCCATCAAGAGCGCGCAGGCGCTCCTGGAGGCGTGGCGGACGAGGGAGCCTCTCGAGAAGAGGGACTTCTTGAACGTGCGGCCCAGAGAACGCAAGGACGGCACCATCTGGTTGGTCAATGGCTGCGGCATCCACTGCAAGGTCGCGGGGGGGGCGCGGGAGGTCCTGATTAACATGACGGGGAAGTGGACGTCCAAAGTGGGGCCTGCCGCTGCTGTCGGCCTGTTGGTGTGGATCTACGGGTCCCCGGAGGACAGGGACAAGTTTTGCGAGCACATCGAGGCGGCGGTCGAGCTGGGCTTCGAGGAGCCGTCGGAGGAGATGTGCGAGGAGGTGCGCGACGCCATTGACGTCAAGGAGGCTGCGAAGCTGATCGGAGCCCGCAGTGGGCTCGGCAAGCCCATCAAGAGCGCGCAGGCGCTCCTGGACGCGGCGGGCGGCTCCAGCAGCGAGGGGGACGCCGCAGTCGCCGCCTTCTTGGTGTCAATCTACGGCTCCAAGGACGACATGGAGACGTTCCGCGACGACATCGCGGCGATGGCCACGTTGGGCTTCGAGGCGCCGAGTGCGGAGGACTGCGAGGCGGTGAAGCGTGCGATGACCGTCGAGGAGGCGGCCGCGACGATGAGGACCGCCCGCTGCCGGGGCGAGGCCATCAAGAAGGCGCAGGCGCTCCTGGAGGCGTGGCGCATGAGGAAGCCTCTCGAGAAGAGGGACTTCTTGAACGTGCGGCCCAGAGAACGCAAGGACGGCACCTTGGGGACCTGGTTCGTCAACGGCTGCCTCATCCACTGCAAGGTCGCGGGGGGGTCGCGGGAGGAGGGCATCAAGGTTGACATGCACGGGAAGTGGACGTCCAAAGTGGGGCCTGCCGCTGCTGTCGGCCTGTTGGTGTGGATCTACGGGTCCCCGGAGGACAGGGACAAGTTTTGCGAGCACATCGAGGCGGCGGTCGAGCTGGGCTTCGAGGAGCCGTCGGAGGAGCAACGCGAGGCGGTCCGGAACGCCATTGACGTTAAGGAGGCTGCGAAGCTGATCAGAGCCCGCAGTCGGCTCGGCAAGCCCATCAAGAGCGCGCAGGCGCTCCTGGACGCGGCGGGCGGCTCCAGCAGCGAGGGGGACGCCGCCTTCTTGGTGTCGATCTACGGCTCCAAGGACGACATGGAGACGTTCCGCGACGACATCGCGGCGATGGCGGATTTGGGCTTCAAGGCGCCGACGGCGAAGCTCAGCAAGAAGGTGAAGCGTGCGATGACCGTCGAGGAGGCGGCGGCTACGATGCGGACCGCCCGCTGTCGGGGCGAGGCCATCAAGAGCGCGCAGGCGCTCCTGGAGGCGTGGCGGACGAGGGAGCCTCTGGAGAAGAGGAAGTTCGTGTACGTCTACGTCGATCCAGAGGCCGAGAACGGCACCGTCCGCTGGCGCGTCCACGAGTGCCGCATCCACTGCAAGGTCGCGGGGGGGTCGCGGGAGGAGGTCAAGGTTTGCATGCGCGGGAAGTGGACGTCCAAAGTGGGGCCTGCCGCTGCTGTCGGCCTGTTGGTGTGGATCTACGGGTCCCCGGAGGACAGGGACAAGTTTTGCGAGCACATCGGGGCGGCGGTCGAGCTGGGCTTCGAGGAGCCGTCGGAGGAGCTGTGTGAGGAGGTGCGCGACGCCATTGACGTCAAGGAGGCTGCGAAGCTGATCGGAGCCCGCAGTCGGGACGGCAAGCCCATCAAGAGCGCGCAGGCGCTCCTGGACGCGGCGGGCTCGCTACAGGGCTGCTCCAGCAGTGCAAGCAGCAAGGAGGAGGAGGACGAGGAGTGGGAGGAGGAGGAGGAGGACGAGGACGAGGACGAGGAGTGGGAGGAGGAGGAGGAGGAGGACGAGGAGTGGGAGGAGGAGGAGGAGGGGGACGCGGCCAAGCGCGGGCCCGGGGGGCGCAAGCGCCGTGCGGCACAGGACCTGGAGGGCGACGGCGGGGCCAGGCGCAGCAGCAAGAAGGCCGCGCGCTCAAGCGGCGCACGCGACGCGGGGCGGCAGAGCCGGCGGGTGTGAATCACGTTTCAAAGTGGACCTGCCTCACACAACGGAGCGACCGTCCGGCCGCGCTACGCCCACATCGCCCCGCCCGCGGCGCCGGGGCACGCGTCCATCCGCTCCGCCGCGGGCCAGCTCCCCCGGCCGCCGGAGCCCCCCCGGGGGTGTGGCGAGAACGGCGTCGCCACGCACGCCAGCCCCGCCCCCGCGGGCCCCGCCGCCACCGGCGTCGCCCACACGTCCCCCGCGGCCGCCCCCCGCGCGCTGCGGCACCCCGCGGCCCCGAACGACAGCTGCGGCCCCGCCGCGCCTGGCGTGCCCTGCGCCGCTGGGGCGCTGCGGAGGAGACCCCCCGCGGCGGCGTGCGGGGTCGCGAAGGCGTCGCAGGCGGCGCCGGCGGGGCGGTGGAGCGGCGCGAGGCCGGCAGTCTGCGGCGAGGTGCTGGCAGACGAGAAGTGCTCTTCTTCGAGCTTGATGGTTTCGTGGCAGTCGAGGCAGAAGGTGCGGTCCTCGCGCCAGTCGTAGTTCGTGACCGAACACATCGTGCAGTACGTCTCCTGGCACTGCACGCACCGCGACAGCTGCGGCAGCGCGCACGCGCGCCTGCAGCGCACACACAGGCATTCCGGGCGTTGGTGCGCCGCGCAGGGCGCGTGAAGCGCGGCCCGCGGCCCGCGGGCGGTGCGCTGGCGCAGTGGTGCGGGCTCCGGGCGGGTCGAGGGGCCAGGCGGGCCCGGCACGGCCCGCTGTGGCGAGGGGCAGCGATCGAGTTTGACTGTGGATTTGGCGCGCACGGCGGTGACGGCCTCCACGGACCCCGGAAGCATCGACACGCAGCACGACGCGCTTCTCCGCGGCGTGTATGAGGCGGCGCGATGAATTGATGGCGTTGCGGGGGTCTGCGCGGCGCGGGCGAGCGGAATCGGTTGCCTGGGAGGGCCGTCCACGGTCCGCGGGGGACGTCGTGGGTGGCGTGTACGCACCCGCAGTGCGTGCATCCGGCGGTGTCGTCGTTCCTGTCCGTGTCCATGGCGTCGTCGCACGCCTGCGCCGCGCCTGCGCCCGCGCACTGCGCTGCCTCCTGCGCCCGGGCCATCCTCACGAACAAGTCCACTGCGCTACGCACGGAGCGCCGGACACGTCAGTCGGACGCTGAGAATCGCGACCACGAGCACTGAAGTACACGGGAAGCGCGCCTAGCGGCCTCGAAGGGGCGGCTGCGGCCCGGGGCGCGCGACGTGCTGGGCCACGCTGGCTGAACGAGCATCGCTTCGGCTTCGAGGCGCGTGCGCGGGGTCTGGAGGCCGGTTCGCGCCACGTACCTTGCGCTGCGGACTGCTTCCACTCCGGGCGGGCGCTCTTTTGCGCGGAAACTGCCGCGGGGCCGTCGATGGTGCGCTTGGCGCCCATGGAGACGACAGGGCCGGTCGTGGCCGCGACGTAAGGGGCGTGCTACGTTGCGCGCGGGAACGTGGAGCCTGTTGCGGCTCTGGTGCGACGCGAGGGGCTGGGGGGCGCGGAGTGGCGCGGGAGGCGTCCGCGGCGGGCCTGTGGCCAGCTGTCGTGGGTCGCATCAAGGAAAAATCAAAGCCGCGAGAGAGGTCTTCCACCCATCCCAGGCGAGCTTCGACGCGCGGCTACGCAGTGCGAGCCGCGGAGCGTCCGTGCGCAGTTGGAGCTCGCAAGGAGAATGGAGGTGCTCTTGCGACGATAGGACGGGGAAACCAATCTTTTTCGACGGAGCACGCGGCATCTAGACACCAGCAAGAGGCAGGACGCGGTTGGGGCTGCAGGGGACCGGGACGGCGCAAGCATGTTCCGTAAAGGTGGCAAGACGACCGCAATCAACAGCGGGGGGCGGAAGAAAATGCACACGACCTTCGACGGTGAGCGCGCGGCGCGCCCCCCTGTTCAGCGCAACTTGCTCCGAGCCGCGGGCGGGTCCCTTGCCGTGCACCGCGGTTATCCGGCGTGCATACGAGCCCCGGTGGATCGTTGGGGTCGAGAAGCAGCCGTTGCGGCGCGCGCACGTCGGGACGGGGACGACCGGCGCTGTCGCTGCGTGCAGCGCGTTCAGCGTGCATGCACTGCGCCGCCAGGACGCGGAGCATCGATTCCGTCGCGGTTTCGATGCGCGAGGATATAGGTTGACTTGCGTGCTCCGCGGCCGTATTGGAAAACTGGTGATAGACGTTCATCCGAAGACACGATTCCTCGAAAGGGATTCTGGTGTCTATGTGCGCACGGTGCAGACGGGTCGGAGCTCGTGGAGGAGTACGACATGACGACGGACGAGCTGCTGGTGCGCAAGTGGCGCAGGAAGACGCCGCTCGGGAAGCTGCAGAACTGGGAGTTCCTGGTGGGCGACGCGGAGCCCACCGCAGCAGCGGGGGGCGAACTGCGCGAGAGCTCGAGCGCGCCAACGTTCCACCGGCGCGACACGCGCGGAATGTTCCAGTGGCGCATCCGCAACCTGCCGTTCCCCGCTGAGGTGCGAGGCCACCCGTCCTGCGCGCGTGTCTCCACTTTTGCAACATGCAACACAACATCCTAGTCGGCTCCGCCGACGTCGCGCACGGCGGAACAGTCGAGTCAGACTCTGATTCCTGAGCTGTGCGATGACGTTCTGTGCGCGAGGGAGGCTCACGACGCGGGGCTCCGTTGACGGACCGACGTGCGACCTGACAACAACACAGGGGTGGAAGTGACCCTCCGCGCGTCGCACTCCCGCCCGCGCAGGTCTACTCCGTGACGGTCGACGAGTCGGACCGCAAGATCGTCGTCCGGACGTCGAACAAGAAGTACTACAAGCGTTTCGCGATCCCGGACCTCGACTTGCTGCAACTGCCCCTCGAGCAGTCGCGAGTGCAGTGGGAGTGGGCCAACAGCACGCTGGTCATCTCCTACGCCAAGCCCCGGGCGGTCGTGGACGCGGAGGACCAGGACCGGGCCGAGCGGGCCAAGATGCGGGCGCAGGAGGACGGGGACGTGGACTGCAAGACGCAGTGACGCTCCCTGCGCACACAGCAGCGGCCTGGACGGCCGTCATAGCACGAAAGAAGCGGACGTGCAGTACATACCGCGAGGACGAGGATGCTGCGAGCACGCGGGCGAGCGGGGCCTGCGCGCCCCCGCTTGACCCTGCCGCTGTTTCAAGAACACACGTCGGTTCGACGCACGATCGTGATCGATTGATGGGCACAGAGACAGCGGTGGGGCCGGCAGTGTCATGTGCGGGGCTCGGGACGTGTCTGTCACACCAGCGGGCGCCGGTCGACGCGATCGAGAGACCTGACGTGCTCGAAACCAGCACACCTCGACTCGACCTGGCTCTATCCACAACTACTACTACCAGGAAGACATGATCGGACCATGCTGTGACTACCAGAAAGGGCACCAACCGATGTAGGCCAGGCAGAGGTTTTCGTCGCTCGTCGCCTGGTCGATCAGCATCTGCACCTGCACCGGCACCGACTTGCCCGCCGACGACGACGACCCCGGCCCGCGCCCCTCCACCTGCGGCGTCCTCAACAGCGGCGCGCGTGGTGAGACGTCCGCCGTCGCGCCACGGCGGCGAGCGCGGAAGGAATGGGGCGGTCTTAGGGTGTTATAGAAAGAGGGCAGAATGCGCGCACCTTGAAGTCTTTGCCGGTCAGCTTGTCGCTCATGCGCTCCATCACCGCCACGGCGCGCTCGTTCAGGACGTCCGCCGCGCCGCCCATGGGCCGCAGCGTGCTGGCGGAGCCCACGTCCGAGTTCCCGGCGGGGCGCTCGGTGGCCGACTGCTCCACGCCGCTGGGGGCGACCTCCGGCGACGAGATCCGCGACTTGTCGAGCTCTGCAGCAACGGGGGGGGTTGCTCGCACACGTCAGACACAGCGGCGACCAACAACGGCTCGCAACATCCACACGCACGAACAGAGAGCTTCCTCGCCTCCTGTGCGAGGACGAACGGAGCGCAGTTGCGCCCAACGCGCGCCATGCACACCGACACGCGCGCCAGCGCCGCGGGGGGGTCTCTCACCAGGTGCCGACACGTCGGTGGGCGCGGGCGTCGCCGCGGTGGAGTTCGCGACGGCCTCGGTGTGCAGGAGCCTCCAGTTGATCAGCGGGTCGTGCACGAACGCCTCGAGCATGGCCATCACGCTGTCCTTGTTGCTCCGCAGCACGCGCAGCGTGTTCTCGCACGTGATGCGGAAGTTGCCCTCGATGCCCGACACCTCCATCGCGCGGATCATCATCCGCGTGAGCCGGAACGGCACCTTCTCCGGGAACTTCTCGCGGTGCATCGACGCCTCGAAGCAGTCCCCGAAGTCAATGTGCAGCAGCTTGCCGCTGAACCGGTCGAGCATGAGGTTGGACGGGTGGCGGTCGCCGAGGCCGAGGAGGTACCCGACCATCGACATGACGGCCACGGACCGCGCGTAGTTCGTCCGGCGGTCGAGCCAGACCTCGCTGGTGCGCGACTTGAGCCACAGCACCTTGTGCAGGTCGTCGCCGGGCGTCGAGTCGAGCGCGTGCTGGAACACCTCGACCTTCTGGATGACCGTGAGGTGCTCGTAGTCCGGCGCCATCCCGAGCATCAGCCGGTGCTCCACGTTGAGCGGGATCTTGCGCGCCTCGCGGTACTCCCGGATGAGCGCGTGGAGCGTGTCGCAGTTCGGGACCCACCCGATGAGGCCCGAGTTCGGGGACAGCGGGATGACGGCGTACCGCCCGATGGAGAGCCCGCGCTCGGCGGTCATGCGCTCCGACGCCAGGAGGTTGTTGACGAGCCCGAAGAGCTGCATCACGCGCTCGTCCTGCCGCAGGTCCTCGTGGCCCTTGAGGAGGAACATGTAGAGCGCGCCGTCCGCGCCGTGCACGGTCAGCTTCCGCGGGCGCTGCTTCGACGTGATCACGTGCAGCTGCGGCGCCAGGTGCGAGATCTTCACCAGCGCGTGGTCCGCCGCGTACGTCCCGGGCACCGCGAGCTCGAGGTCGCGCGCGGCGAGGAGCGCGGGCGACACGTGCTGCAGCTCGAGGCTCGTCAGCGTCGGGAGCTGCTTGTTGATGCGCTTGAACACGTGGTAGTACAGGTCCCAGGCCTGGTGCAGGTCGGCCTCGCGGCGGGACGCGCGGTACTTCATGCACCAGTCGTGGGCCTCGCGGAGCTCGCGGCCGTAGTGCTGGACGAAGGAGACCTCCATGGGCGTGGTCGGGCCCTCGTGTTCCAGGTCGCGCGCCGAGGCGGGGAGCGCGCCGACGTTGCGGTCGCCCGCGGGGGCGGCGGGGGCGGCGGTGACGGTGGCGGCGGAGACGGCGGAGGGGGCGGCGGAGGGGGCTGGGGAGGGGGTGGGCGCGGGGGTCTGCGCGCTGCCGCCGGGCTCCATCATGTCGTGGAGGGGGAGGAGTGTCGCCAACATCCCCTCGGCGTTGTTCTCGCCGAAGTAGAGCCGGGAGGCCTCCTCGAGCGCCTCGTGCCACATCTCTGCGCGGGGCCGGGTGCGGGGCGGGGCGACGTCGGGGCGCGAACGTGCGCGGCGGCATGACATCAAGCACAGCGGCGCCGCGCGTCCCGGGCGCGCGCGCCACCGGACCGCACACGCGGGAGGTCGTGCGAGCGCACCGTGCCACAGGATCGCCACGCGGATCAGCTCCTTCGACACCAGCTGCGCCTGGTCCACCAGCGCCGCGCTGTGCTGCCTGAGGTTCTCGATCACCGCCGTCGCCGACGCCCGGCGCGCCGCGGACGACGACTTGCAGGCGACGATCAGCGGGTACATGAGCGCCTGCGGGTGGTGCTGCCCGATGCGCACCAGCAGCTGGTGGATGATGGTGCGCACGGGCAGCAGCGTGGCGTGGATGCGCGCGATGATCTGCGGGATCACCGCGAGCCACGTCGTGATCGAGACCTGCGCGAACCCCTCGTGGAGGCAGTCTTGCACCTCCTGCACGTCGCCGTGGTTGAACCACAGCGTCAGGAGGCGCAGGATGTCCTGGAGGGTCCCCGCGGCCTGCGACGGCTGGCCCTGGCCGATGGCGATGGAGCGGAAGAAGCCCGTGATCGCGGGCCGCAGGAAGCCCTGCGCGAGCTGCGGGTCGTTGCGCGCGTAGTGGTTCATCGCCGCGACGCTGTACAGTGCGTGGTGGTGCCACGCCTTGCCCCACTCGGGCGCGTCCTCGGTCGCCTGCCGCATCAGCGTCAGCACGTCCTGCGCGCGACGAAGGGGGAGGGCGCACGAAGGGGGTTGGGCGGACTGGTTGCAGCGCAGGGGCGACGATGTCAGGGATCAGGGCTAGCGCGCAACCACGCGGCGAGCCGGGCAGGAGGCCGCGTCCTGGTCGTGGAGCGCCATCAGCTGCGTTCACGAGGAAGCGTTCCGCGCCGCACCTGCATGACCTGGATGCTGATGTTGTGCGACGCGCGGCTCCAGCGCCACAGCCCGAGGCGGAGGTTGATGCGCGCGAGGAGCGGCGCGGGCTGGCTCGGCGCGATCGTCCGGTTCGACCGCAGCATCGACGAAATGTGCTTCGTCGAGTGCTGCGTCGCGATCGGCCCGATCTGCGCGCCCGTCTGCACCGCGCCCAGCACCTCCAGGCGCAGCTCCGCGAGGCGCGCGAACGCCTCCTCGCGCTTCCCCGTCGCCCACATGTGCTTCAAAAACGTGTACATCACCTTCGGGCGCCCCGACCCCGCGCCGTACCCCTTGGTGCCCGGAGTCAGGATGCACTCTGGGTCGTACCGCAGGAGCTTGACGAGGGTGTGGTGGGCCTGCCGGACGCGGCCGGACTTGCGGCACAGCGTGGAGAACTTGATCCACGTGTCCTCGTCCTCCTCCTCGGACAGCACGAGCGACCGCACGGACAGCAGCGCCTGCCACACCTCGACGTCGCGCTGCACGCCCTCCATGCGCGTGTGCCACATGTTGCGGATCGTCGCGCGGCGGCTCGCGGCCGCGGCCTGCACGTCCTCGTCGCCCTTGCAGCTCTGCGTGGACGGCGAGGCGGGGCAGGGGGGTGTTTGGTGTCCTGGTGGTGTGACGGTGCGCAGACGTGGGGAGCGCGACGTGGCTGTGGGTTGGATGGGGCGGCGCGGCCGGAGACGGGCCCGGGCGCTGGGCAGGTAGAGCCGGGGCGAGCCGACCGGCGCGGACGAGCGCGACGCGCACAGGCACGGAAACAACTGAACACATGAGCAAACACGAACAAACAACAATTAAACAACAAAACACACATCTCGGCCTTGTGCTGCGAGGCGCGCACGGCGGGCCGCGCGGGCGTGCGTGCGCGCGTGCGTGCGTGCGCTCACCTCGAGGCGGAAGTACTCGATGACTTCCTCGAGCTCGGTGAGCTGCTGGATGCGCACCACGTCGCGGTACGCGCGCTCGTACGTCTCGCCCGCGAGCGCCGACACCTCCGCGCCGAGCAGCGCGCGCGCCCGCTCGACGTGGCTGAGCGCCGCGCCGTAGTCCGCGCGCTTCGTGCACAGCACCGCCCGCAGGAAGCACCCCGTGCTCGAGTCCTCGGTCGCCTTCGGGTCCATCGCGCCGAGGTAGTCCGCCATCTCCTCCCACGACCCCATGTGCCACGACGCGTACGCCGCGAGCGGCGCGATCTCCCGCCGCACGTACGGCTCGACCGTGCTCCACACCGCGCGGCACATGTCGGCCAGCCGCTGCCACTCCGCGAGCGCCGCCAGGCACCGCAGGCACCCGACCGTCGCCTCGAGGTGCCCGGGGAACCCCGGCTGCAGGCTCTTCATGTGCCGCTCGTACGCCGCGAGCGCCTGGTCCCACTGCTGCTGCTTCTCGTACCACGAGTCCAGCAGCTGCATCCCCAGCTCGCGCCGGGCGTACTCCATGATGCCGATCGCGGCCTCGGGCTGCCGCAGCTGGTTGTTGATCGAGATGAGCGGCTCCACGACGCCCTGCGGGTTCGTCTCGAACTCGAGCTCGCGGTAATGCAGGGCCTTGGCAAAGGCGTGGCACTTCTCGGCGAGCGCCCCCAGCGTGCGGTTGTCGAGCGGGAGCGCCTTCTCGTCGTGCTCCATGAACTCGGCGAGGTTCAGCAGCGCCGTCACGATCTCCGGCGGGATCGTCGGCGACGCCAGCGCCGCCTCGAGCGAGCGCACGAGCTGCTCCTGCGTCGCCTCCGACAGCTCCGTCCAGCACGACACGAACCCCGCGGGGAACAGGTCGCGCGCCATCGGCGGGTGGATCAGCGCGAGCGTGTGGCACGCCCGCAGCGCCGGCGACGACGACTCCTTCAGGAGTTCTACCGAGAAGTTGCGCAGCCACTCGACCCAGTCCTCCTTCGTGGAGCGGTCCGAGGACACCCACGCGCGGCGCAGCGAGGCCTCGTTGACGACGAGCCGCATCGACGTGCGGTGCGCGGGCGTCGCGGCGGGGGCCTTGGCCTGTGCGTCGCTGTCGCTGGCTGCGCGGTAGGCCACCGACTCGGCGTCGGACTCCGCGTCGGTCATGCAGGGCGGCGGCACGGACGTGAGGGAGCGCACGAGGGCGTCGAAGGGCGCGTGGCGGACGTTGTGGGTCCGTGCCGCGCGCTGCACTGCGGTCAGGAAGACTGCGGACTCCGGGCCCATGGACGACATCAGGGCGGTGATGGTGGAGAGGGCCTCCTGGCGGAGGGCGTGGTGCGGGTCGCGGAGGACGCGCAGGAGCGGGTGGATGATCGCGTTCGCGTGCCCCGACGGCTGCATGCGGGGGAGGAGTCTCCGGAGGGTCCCCAGAGTCCCCCGGGACACCTCCGCGGGCACCGACTTGGCCCAGGGGTTGATGAGGCGGACGAGCGAGGGGAGGACGAGGTGCAGGTGCTGCTCCATCGCCGGCCCCATCGCCTCGAGCGCCTCGAGCAGGGGGGGGACTGTCGCGTAACTCCCCGTGCGCTCCGCCTCGATCAGCACCGAGATGATCCGCGGGAGCAGCCGCGGCACGTGCGGCCGCAGGTCGTCCTGCAGCACGCGCGCCAGCTCCCCCACGAGCCGCAGCAGGTGTTCGATCAGCGGCGACGCGGGGTCCCAGTACTCCTCGACGAGCTGCACGAGGTCCGGGAGGTAGCGGCGGGAGTGCTGCCGGATGACGCTCACGAGCGACGTGAGCTGCTGGAGGATGTACTCGCGGAGGGGGGTGTCGCCCTGGCGCAGGACCGACAGCAGGAGCGGCATGACGCGGCCCAGGAAGGGCACGCATGCGAGGCCGAGGGCCTGGAAGATGTAGATGAGCGAGCGGACGGCCGTGTGGTTGTGCGAGGTCAGGCCCGGGTCGCGCAGGAGCCGCATGAGGGAGTTGATGGCCACCGTGGGGTAGTATTCCTCGGACGACGTGGCGAGGCCGACCACGGGGAGGACGTCCGGGTCGTTCTCGGGCGTGGGGACCTCGCCGTCGACGATCTCGCCCGACGCCATCTGCGGGAGGGCGGGGCATAGGGGGGGGTGTCTGAGAGTGTCGGGGGGCGCGCTAACGCCATGAGGGGGGGGTCGGTTCCCGTCGGCCAGACGCCCGCAGCACGTGTGCAGTTCTGTCGTTCGCACGGGCAAAGAGGGAACGGACAGGTTGCGACGGGGGCGTCGCTCTGACGCCTGCCGCGCACCTGCCGCTGCGCCCGCACGCCCTCGGCCTCCAGCTTCCCTTCGCCGGACTCGAACCCCTGCGTGATCTTGCTCGTGTACGGGTCCAGCGCCCCGATGATGCCCAGGACGCGGATCACCTCGCGCCGCGTGGCCTGCCCGCCCTCCTGCAGCAGCCGCAGCAGCATCGTCAGCAGCCCCGGGTACTCCAGGTACGGCCGCATCGCGTACCCGCACGACTCCACGAGCGCGCCGAGCGTCGACACCGCCACCTCGCGCCGCAGCGCGCCCGACCCGTCGCGAATGCACGCAATCACCAGCGGCAGCAGGTCGCCGATGTGCGGCCGCAGCTGCCCGCGCGCCACCCACGCGAGCTCGCCCACCGTCGACAGCACCTGCTCGAGCACGCCGATCTCGGTCGTCCCGCCCTTGAACGCCGTGCCGGAGACCAGCATGTCGGTGAGCAGGCGCAGCTTGGAGACGAGCGCCGCGGCGATGGACGGGAGGTACGGCAGCGCGAGGCCCGGCGCGGAGGTGAGCAGGCACCCGAGGAGGCCCGCGGCGTGCTCGCGCTGCTTGCAGTCCGGCGCGTGGTCCATGTCGGACAGGAGCTGCTGGAGGTGCTTGCGGAGCGCGGGGAGGACGTACGCCGGGTTGAGCGGCGCGAGGCGGCCCACGACGGAGATCGCGAGCTGCCGCACCGTCGCGGACTCGTCGTTGAGCGACAGGAAGAAGCACCCGAGCGCTTGCGCCTGCGCCATGTACGTGTCGAGGCCGCGGGCGTCCGAGAGCCCGCGGAGCACCGCGCACCGCACCGACGGGTCCAGGTCCGACACGGCGACCGAGAGGAGCTGCATGACCAGGTTCTGCACCTGCGCGTGCCGGTGCCGCAGCAGGCGGTGCGTGCACGGGTCCTGGCTCTGGTCCGCCGGGCCGCCGCCGTCGCCGCCGACCGTCACGCCGCCGCCGCCGCGGGCGCCGCTGCCCTGCGTCAGCATCGCCATCTCGAGCGCGTGCTGCTCCATCACGTGCACGCACGCCATCGCCGCCTCCCGGCGCACCTCCGGCTTGCTCGCCTCGAGGTACCCCACGACGGTGTCCTCGAGGAACGTCAGCAGGTTGTACACCTCGAGGTTGAACGTCCCGAGCGCGCGCAGCGCGAGCACGGCCGCGGCGGGGTCCCCGTCCGCCGGCCGGATGTAGGCCATGAGCGGGTGCGGTGCGCAGGGGATGTCGGGGGGGGGAGTGTGGAAGGGCTGCCGCGACAGCATGATGCTGATCACGTCGAGCAGGTGCGCCTGGCACGTCCCGAGCAGCTCCGGAATCGCACGGGATATCGTCGCGAGGGACTCCACGAGTGTCGGGTGGAGACCCCCCTGCAGCATGGGCTCGATCAGCTGCTTGACGTAGAGCGACCACGCCGGGCCGACGGCGTGCGCGATCTGCCCCGCGCACCGGATGGCCTCGATGGCGGCCGAGCCCTGCTGCACGGCGCCGGGCGCGGCGGGGGCAGGCCCAGTGGACCCGCGCCGGCCTGCGGGCTGCACCGCGACGGCCTCGTGGATGAGGGCGGCGAGCGGGGCGAGGGCGGCCTGGAGGCCCGCGATGCCGCGGTGGGAGCTGCGGACGCCGACAGCGATGTCGCCGAGCGCCTCGAACGCCGCGGCGCGCTCCGAGGGGGACTGCGGGGGCACAAGGAGGAGGAGGGGAGGGGGGGTTTTAGCGCACGGGGAGGGAGGGGGGGAGAAGCTGCGGGGAGCAGTTCTGGTCGCGGAACCGGGCGTGCGAGTCGTCCGAGGAGCGCGCTGGTGCGCGGAGGCTGGGCCGGCAGGGCGGGAGTGGGCGCCCGCATGTGCGGGGTGCGGCGGTGCGGGTGGGCGGGCTTGCCTGGATCTGCGTGAGCAGATAGTCGATGCAGGGGCGGAGGTAGGTACCGCTGAAGCGTTCCGGCGAGAAGGCGGCGAGGCGCGGCAGGAGGCGGATGACTGCCTGTCGGATGATCTTGTCGCGGGCGTCGCGGAAGCGCAGGACCGTGGAGACGACCTCGCGGTACCTGGCGAGCATGAACTCGCCCGTGTGGCGCAGGAGCTCCCCGAGCGCGAGGAGCGACCCGTGCACGATTTCTACCCGCGTGCCATGAGTCAGGCCGCGCTGCGTGTCCTCGAACAGCCGGTAGTACCACTGCACGCGGTACCGCGTCTCGCGCTTCTCCACGAGGCACAGACACGACCGCAGCGCGTTCACCGCGGCCTCCCGCATCACCTGCGCGCAGCAGCATCAGTGTGGGGGAGCGCGTCAGCGGGGCCGCGTCGGACGGGGGCGCAGCTTGCGGTCGCGCGGTCGGGGAAGGCTAGCTGCGCGGGGATCTCGCCTTTTTGGGGTCGCGGAGCGGCGACCAGATGCGTTCGATGAAGTGGCGCACGTGCACGTTGAACACGGCGGGGGCGTTGTCTGCCATCTCGCGCAGGAGCACGACCGCGGCGTAGCGGTGCAGCTCCTGCTGTTCGCCGTGCAGCCACGCGAGCGAGCGCTGGATGGTGTGCTCCACGACGTCGGCGGTGGCCGGCCCGCCGCACGCGACCAGATGCCCAAAGGTGTGCGCTGCGAGGTCGATGACGCGCGCCGGCGAGCCCTGCTCCATCGACGACCGCAGGGCGTTGGCGAACCTGCGCGGCGGGGGCGCGGGGCGCGCGTCGGGGCGCTGGCGCGGCGCGACACTGCCGCGGGGCAGGGAGGCGGCCCGGGCGCGCGCGGGGCGGGCGCGCGGGCGTCGCGGGCGTTGTTTTCGCAAGACACCAGGTGTGTTCAGGAGGGCGCGGGCTCGCCTGGACAGTTTGGCCGCGCGGTCGCCCAGGATGTCGCACTCGAGCAACTGATCAATGGCCAGGATGCCGGCCCGCTTGGTCTCGGGGTCCGAGGAGTCGCACATGGCCTCAATCTGCACGTACAGCGTCTCTGTGAGCCGGACGAAATGCTCCCCTGCGGGAAACAACGCCGGGGGAGGAGGAGAGCGGGCCGTGAGTGCGGTGCGCGTGGAAAGCGCCCGAGGCCCGGCCCCTCGGCCGCGCACGGGCGCTCCGGGCCGCGTGCTGGACACGTTCAGCCGCGGACACGATCGACAGCGCCACAGCGCGCAACGAAACGCCGGCACGCTGCTCGATCACCGCCCGGTTGCGTGCGCCGGCTCCTGCACCGGAAAAGCAGCGCGCTCCCGCGCCGGCGACGCGGTGGTGACGCAGCTGGACCGCGCGCAGCCGCTCCCACGTCCGCAACCATGCCCGCGCGCGCGGACGGCGGCGCGCAAGCCGCGTGCGGGCGCAGGCGCACGCGCAGATCTGCGCCCCACCAAACCACCTGCGTCGCGGCGCGCGCGCGCGACGTGGCCCGCCAGCGGCCCCGCACGCCGCGAGCCCCGCCAGCGCGCCGCGCCGCGCGGTCGCGCGCGCGCCGGGCCGCGTCCCGTCGGGCCACGCACCCGCGAGGTCCCGGGCCTCGGTCTCCACGTAGTCGCGCAGGGACGTCTGGTCGTCCTCGCCGGACTTCTCGCGGCCGATTTCCTTGAGTATCGCGAACATGGCGTCGCTGCCCCCGGCCGCGGAGGGCCGCGGGGCGTCCTTCTCCGCCGCTGCCGGTGCCCCCCCGGCCACGCCGTTGCTCTGCCCCGGCGGGCCCCACGCGCTCCGCCTCCGCGCGGGCGACGAACCGGATGCTCTGTGCGACATGCTTCACCTCATGCCTCTCCTGCGAACGCTCTATCCCCGACTCCCCCCGTCGGGCCGCAGCGGTGCAGGCTGCACGGCCTCACTCTGGCGCGACGGCGTCGCGTGCGACGCGCTGCTGCGCGCGCAAGCGTGCGAGAGCGAGACCCACAGGCCAGGGGACCGCGTACAGCCGCGGCAAACCCCCCCCCGTCGGTCGCTCCGCCGTCGGAAAAGCAGCACGGGCTACGCGGTCAACTACGTGATCGATGTCCCACGTTCCACGGCGTGTCGCGGCGAATTGGGCCACCGAACGCCACGCGCGGCGCGTGCACGTGCCCCTGCGCGCCCCCGCCCGCGCCCCTCGTCGCCCCCCGAGACGCCCTCCGCTGCCTTCTACCTTCAACACCCCCCTCCCTCGCCGCGGCCCCGCCGCCCCCCCGCTGCTCCGCGCGGCGCACGGACGCGCCCGCACCGGCGCGCCGCACGGCCCCAGCACGCTCGCGTGTGGTCTGACACGGACATGCAAAACATTTGAGTCAGGTTAACATAGGGGCGGTTCCGGGCCGCCGCCGCAGGTCGCGGACCGCCGGGCGAGGCTCCTCCACCAGGACGCCCTCCGCTCCGACAGCCTCGCGCCGCGCCGGGACGGCCGTGCAGCGACGACGGCGCCAGCGTTGCCTGCAGTGCTGCTGCTGCGGCCGCGCGGTCAGGACACAGTTCGCGATCACTCCGTGGGCGGCACGAGGGCGTCCTCCTCCTTCCCGACGAACTGCCTGCCGGAGTACTTCTGCGCGCGGCGTGCGGAGCGTGTGGCGCGCGTGGGCCTGATGGGTGGCAGTGGTGGTGGTGCGCGGCGATGTGCGCGGGCGTCGCGCGGCGGGCGAGGCGCGTTTCGGGGGCGTGCCGGGGCGGCGCTGCTGAGTGCGGCGGGGCTGTGGGCGTGCGTGCGCGGCGTTGGGGGGCGGGGGCAGTGCGGCGTGATGGCGGCCTGGGGAGATAGGCGGGGGCGCGCGGCGGTTGATATTCTGGAGGTATGTATTCATTGGCGGGCAGCAGGCGTACCTCCCTCAGCGCCTCCTTGCGCTGCATCGAGAGCTTCTTCCTCTGCTGCGGGGTGCATCCCACGCACGACACGCCTGCAGGGCGGGGCGGCGCACCAGGCGCGTCAGCGCGCGACGGAGAGGGGCGCGTCGGCAGGAGCAGCAGATCCTAGGAGGAGGAGAAAAGCCCGCCGCAAAGGTCGTCCCTGGGGAAACCGCGCCGTCGCTCGACGGGGAACGGTCGCTGAGAACTAGGGCCGTGCGGAAACCGCAAGGCGAGGGACGCGGGGGCCGGCAGCTGTCAGTGCGGGACGCAAAGCGACCATGTCAGTGGTTGGGCAGGACGTTGGAGTGCCGTTCGCGCGTCGCAGCGCTTGCGGGCGCGAATGTGCGACTGGAGCGGGGGATCTCGGTTAGGAGGTACGCGGAGGCGCGCAGAGGAACGATGATGGCGCTCTGTGCGCGCCGGAAACGGGGGCAGGAGGTGACGGGCTTGCGACCACCGCACCTGGCTTCGCGTTGTTGGTGGTGTTCTCGAACACGTCGGCGCGGGCCACCGGGCGCGTGGCCAGCATGAGCGCGGCGGCGCCGCCGAGGGCGAACATCGTGCGGCGCGTGGCGGAGCGCACAGCAGGCTTGGCCGCAACCGGCCGCGTGGCGGAGGCAGTGACGGGGGCCATCGTTCTCGCACCAGGCGCGCCGAGGTCCTTGCTGCAGAGTGGGCCCCGCGCGCGCCCCCGGGGCGCCACGAGCCGCGCTGGGCGTCGCGGCGCGGGCGCCTGGCCACGTAGGCCGTGGGAGTCTCCGGGCCAGGGTCCCCGCCGGGCGCCGCACGAGGGCCTGCGCGGGGCGCGGGCGCGCGCATTCGCGAGAGACGGCTCAAATCAATCTAGAAGTAGCGTTCGACGGAGGCCGCGAGGTCTGGAGGAGGCAAGACCCGTGGCTGGATAGCTCGTTCACTACCGAGCGAGGAGCGAGCCGGCGAGGATGAACTCGACCGGCCAGGAGCAGAGCGAGCAAAACTCGTTCCCCCCACCGTGCAAGGCGGGCTGCGGGTTCTTTAGGTGCGCAGGCGCGCCCGGTCCGCGCAGGGCTCTAACTACGAAGGTCTCGTCCCTCGCGGAATCCCGCCGCGCGACGCACAGTTCGACACCTCGGGCCGGCTCCCCTCTGACTGAGTGCAGCAACGCGAGCCTCGGGGGCTACTGCTCGAAGTGCCACAAGGAGTTCTCCGAGCTCGAGGACAGCACGGTCGCTTCCACCCCGGCTGCCTCCACCGCGCCGGCCCCGGCCTCCCCCGAGGCCTGCGAGCCCGCGCAGCCTGCCCCCGCGCCCGTCGAGCAGCTCGCGGAGCCCTCGCCCGCGCCGTCGGAACCGCACGCGGCCACCCCTGAGGCGCCCTGCCCAGAGGTCGCCTCCGCCCGGCCAGCGCAGAAGAACCGTTCGCGCTGCTACACCTGCAAGAAGAAGGTCGGACTCACGGGCTTCGAGTGCAAGTGCGAGTACGTCTTCTGCGGCTCCTGCAGATACCCGGAGAAGCACTCGTGCAGGTGAGCACAGAGCCTCTCCCCCTGCCTCGCACCGCACGCCGCGCCGCGCCCGCCAGGCCGCCCGCTCCCGCCGTTCCCAGGCAGCTCCGACGCTCTTCGACGCGTGGGTCGCGCCCGGACGCCCGCTCGGATCCGCGCTGAGTGTGCATGCCGCGCCTTTGGGTTGCCTGTGCAGCTTCGACCACAAGGCCGAGGGGCGCGAGCGCCTGGCGACCCAGAACGAGAGGATCGTCGCCGACAAGATCGCTCGGTTCTGAGCTAGGCCGGAATCCGCGGACGCGCGCGCATCCAATGGGCGGCACGCGCCGCGTCGCCGAAGCTGTCGGAAGCGTATGCCGATGCCCGGGCTCGTGCGCGGCGCCCAAACGCGTTGCGCCACCGTGCGCGGCACGAACCCTCTTCCGTCGTATTATACTCCCGACGGATGACCCTCGAATCGCCCGACAGGGTCCACACCGCGCGCACCGCTCGACCCTGCGTGCCTGCTCCTCTCCCTCGGGTCCACGCACCCCCCGCGCGGCCACCGCCCCGCGCGCGGCCCCGCTGCTCTCCACCACACCTCCTCCGTAGCCACCCGCCGCGCGCGGCACCGCCACGGCCCCCGCGCGGCCCCTGCGCCCCTCGGGGCGTGACCGCTGCCTCGCACACGGGGAGCGTCCTGCCGTCGCGTCACCGCGGCGCCCGAGGCGCCCGTGCCTCGGCCCTAGCCTCAGCCTGTAAATACGATGCATACCACGCCGTTCTGCGCCCCGTCGTTGCCTCGCCCCCCACTGCACACATGGCCAGCCCGGCACGTTCGGCCGTGAAGCGGCGCGTCGGGCGGGTCCGCGGCCCCGAGGCGCGCTCCCCGCGCTCGTCACTTCGTCCTCGGCTCATCCGTGCCGCGTGCGGCCGCGTCGACCCGCCCCGGCGCTGCCGTGCTGCGTGTCGTCACTGGCATGTGCAGGGGCGTGGCGATTGGGGTCGGTGGGGACGGGGGCGTGCGCGAGGGCGCGGCGGCCGCCTGCTGGCCCGTCGCGCGCCGCGTGCGGGCCGGCGCCGCGCTGGCGCCCGCGGCTGGCCGAGGGGGGAGGTGTGTGAAATCCAAGGGGGGTGTCGCGGTTTCAGTGCCCGGGGAGGTCGCAGACGGCGCGTGCGGCGCGGCCGCCGAGGGCGCGCGGCGCCGCGTGCCAGGCGCGAAACTGCGCGCCGGCAGCGCGGCACGGGTCGTGCAGGTGACCACCACCACAGGAGGTGCATCGACGGGCCGGAGTGTGGGGGCGTCCGGGGGAGTCCGACGAGCCGTCGCCGGGCGAGTGCGTTCGCTGGCCTGGCGGTGCTGAGTCGATTGGGGAGGCGCGTGGGCGGGCGGGATGGTGCACGGCGGGGCGACGGGCGGCGCGGGCGGGGAGGAGGGCCGAGGCGGGAGTGCGGCGCGGGAGAAGCTCGCGAAGCGGGCGAAGAGGATCAAGGAGCGGCTCGGAAAGGACAGGATCGCGAAGCTGAAGGAGAAGGCCGACAGGCGGGGTGAGGGCCCGCGCAGAGCACCGCCGAGTGCGCCGGCACCAGCACTGCCGGGAACAACCGGCGCTCCCTGCGGGGCCGGTCTTTTTTATCGCCGTTTCTTGCGGTGAACTAGTCGCTCATTGCGTGAACGTTGTGCTCTCGTGCGTGATCGCCGCAGGGATCGTCTATATGAGCCGCATTCCGCCGCACTGCAAGCCCCACAAGATTCGCCGGCTGCTGGAGCCGCACGGAGAGATTGGACGGATATATCTCGCGCCTGAGGAGGAGCACAAGTACGCAGCCCGCCCACCACGGGCCGCCCGGAGCACAACTCCCCCCAACGCCGCGGCCTGCCCGACGTGCACTCGAGGCGCAGGTCTCGACGCGTCGATGCTCCCCGGCCTCGCTTGCAGGCGCCAGCGGCGGCTCAAGTCGAACAAGACAACCGCGGGGAAGCTCTTCAGCGAGGGCTGGGTGGAGTTCGAGGACAAGCGGGAGGCGAAGGCTGCCGCGGCGCTGCTCAACGGGCAACCGATGGGCGGCAAGAGCCTGAGCAAGCACCGCTACGACCTGTGGAACCTCCGGTGAGCCCCTGCGTCTGCCGCCGCAGCCGTTCCGCGACGCCCGCGCGAGCTGCCGTCGCAGCGCACCACATGTGGCACCATGCCGCACCCCACATCTGTGTCGCACACCCGCACTGATACCTGCTTGTGCGACAAACGAGCTGGGCAGGACGGTCTCGATCTGCTTGCGCTCGCAGGCGCGGCGTGCGTCTCGCGCGCCGCCTCCTGTGTGCGCAGCCTGCAACAGCGTGCACACTCATCCGCATGAGCGCCCACACGCGCCCGTGCGCGCAGGTACCTCCCGAAGTTCAAGTGGGACCACCTCACGGAGGAGTTGTCGTACATGGCGCGCGTGCGCGAGCAGCGTCTCGCCCGCGAGGTGTCCCTCGGGAAGAAGGACCGCGACTTTTATCTGCAGCAGGTCGACAAGGCGAAGATGGTGGCCGCGATGGAGGAGCGGCGCGAGCGGCGCGCGGGAGATAATTCGAAAGGGGCCGGGGCGGCGGACGCGGGGGCCGGGGCGGCGGCGCGGCCGGCTGTGGCGGAGAGGCACTTTGGGCAGCGGCGGGCGAAGGAGGACGAGGTGGAGCGGGGCGGGAAGGGGGCGCGGGTGTCGAAGAACCTGCTCCAGATGCTGTCCGGGAAGGATTGAGGCGCGCGCGACGCGCAGACGGGCGCTGCCTGCGCTGTTGGCTGTTGGCCTGTGCGCGGTCGACGCTGGCGCAGCTGGGCGAATGCGCGCGCGGGGGGATCGTGCGGGCCATACAAAGCACGATCCCGACGTAGCTGCGTGTGATGCGGACTCGCGCGGGCTTCCTGCGCCGCAGCTGCACCCGTATGGCTGGCTGCTCGCTGCGCTCGGCGCAGGCGGTCGCGATCCTGGGCCAGCGCACAGCGGCGCCCCGCTGCGCCGCGCGGCGTCGTCTGCCACGCGCCGGGTCCGGTGCGCAACGAATCACAGCGGCGTTGCCGCGCAATCGAAATCGGCCCGCGTGCGCGCGCTCGGCCGCCTCACTTCTTCGCAGCCGCTTTGCTCTTGGAGGCGTCCGCGTCGCCGGACTTCTGCACGCCCAGCGTGCGCGCAATCGTCGCGAACGAGATGCCGCCAAGGATGTTGTTCCCCGACCGAACGGCGGTCGAGTAGATCCGGAACGCACTCTGCGCGGCAGGGACAGAACGAGTGACGAATGACTCGCGACGGTTGCGATCCGCGCGAGCCGGCCCCGCGCGACGGCGGCACGCGGGCAGCGCGCGGTCCGGGCCGCAGCGCACCTGCGGGAGGACGCCCAGGAGCACCATGTCGAGGCCGTTGAGGATCTGGTACCGCAGGTTGGACGACACGGCCATGTGCAGCGCCCAGCAGCCCGAGTTGGGGATCACGGGCGGCATCTCCACCTCCGGGACGTTGCTGGGGTCGATCTTGGAGCGCAGCGTGATGAGCGTGTTCGTGATCACCGTGCCCGTGATGCCCGCGACGAACCCGAGGACGCCGAACTGCAGCGCCTTGTACACGAAGTTGTTGGCCCGCGACGCGAGGCCGTACGCGCCGCGCTCAAACATGTGGCCTGCGGGGGGCGTGGGGCCGCGGTGGGGTGAGGCTGCGGCACCCACGCGGCGCCCCGGTGCGCGGCTGCGAGGCGGGGCGGCGCAGGCCGCGTCCCGCGGCGGCGCGCGGCGCGAGGGGCGAGGAGACGTCAGCGCGCGACGGCAACGCGCGGGCGCGGGGGGCGGGCGCACCCTGCGGCGCGCCGAACTTCTTCAGGAGGTCGCCCGTGACGAACTGGACGAGCGCGGACTTGCTCTTCGCGACGCCGGCCACCGGCGCGAGGAGGTACATGAGGGAGAAGTTGAGGATGGAGCCCACGATGAGGGTTCCGAGGACGAAGTCGAGCTCGTCGAGGCCGAAGTTTGGCCGCGAGGACATGTCTCCGATCACCGCGAAGCCGACGCCGATGATCTGCGGCGCGAGGGCGACGGAAAAGGGGCCGCGGGTCACCAGCCGCCACGCACACAGCCCTTCGCCGGCCCGTGCGGTGCGTTCGCGGGCGGCCGCACTGGCTCCTCGCGCTCGATACCGTCGTGAGTCTATCAGGAACGCGGAATCGCGGAAATGGAGCCCGCGCGGTGCGGTGGCTGTGCGACAGGGGCCGCATTCCCTGCAGCGCCTCCGCGCACGGTTCGCGCCTCCCGACGCACTCCCGGGCGGCGCTGGGAGCGATCGGGCGCCGTACCACGCATGTACGCGGTGGAAGCTACCTCCGCCGGCGGCGTAACATCCGGGAACGGGCCCCGGGCGGCCCCAATCGGGCCGGTGCAACGGAGCACGGCGACAGTGCAAGCGGCGTGCCATCCACGCGGCCCACCTGCTCGACGATGACCTTGAACGCGAACTCAGGGTCCGCCTTGACGCGGGCCGCCCATCCGGGCCACCAGTGGTTGTTCGGGTCGTCGTCGTCCCCGCCCCCGCCGCCCCCACCTCCGCCACCGCCGCGCGGGGGAGCCGCTCCGCCGTCGCCGCCCCCGGCGCTAGCGCGCGGCACGACCGCTCGCAGGCGCCGCTGCTGCACCGGGGAGATCGAGGGCCGCGCGGTGACCGCCGACACGCGCGCCGACGCCACGCGCGTCACCCCGAGGGAGGCCCTGAAGCCTGCAGCCTGCATGGCCGCTGTGTGCACGCAGGCGCCGCGACGCACTCCTGACTGCCCCGTCAATCGGCTGCTCCCACGCGCTGCGCTCTCGGCGGGGCGCGGCGGGGCTGCGGGGCGATCACGTCGCGGTGGCGCGGGCAGTAGAATAGGAGGGAGTGAACGACGTGGTGCCGCGAGGGGCGTCCACGCGGGTCGTGGGCGCGCGGCGCGGCGTGGCCGCGACACAGGGCGTCCAGCGACGCTGTTGCCGTGGCAAGAAATCACCGCAGGGGCGGGAGACGGACGCTGTGCGCTGCGTTGCTTCTGCGGACCTCCGCTGGTCCTGCGGCACGGACCGGCACCGTTCGCGCTCGCGTTGCGTGATATACGAGTCAGTCATAGCGGCCCCGCGCCGAGAGGCAAGCCCGGGCTGTCCAGGACGCGGAGGCCGCGCGGCGTTCAACAGCGGGATCGTTTTCCCTCCGCAGGTGCGTGCACCTGCGCGCCCCGCGCACCATATCCCGCCCTTCCGACACACTATCCATTCTCCTCGACTCCCACGCGCCGCACCGGTCTCTCGTGCCCCTCAGCGTCGCGTCCCCCGCCCCACCTCCCCCGGATTCGTGCACCCGGGCGCGCCATCCGGCCCCGCGCCCCGCGCGAGCGCCCCACGGCCGCGCCCCACACTCACGAGGCCCCCACATACACCACAAGCGCGCCGAGCCGCCCCAAATGCGTCGCCGCGGACCGCGCCCGCCGCGCGACCCGCACGCTGCTGCGCGCGCTGCGCTGTCTCGCTCAGCCCCCGCCTGCCCGCCCACGCAAGCCTCGCTCCCGGCCCGCAACGCAGCGCGCGTCCAATCAACGTCCAAGCTCTCGCGACCGTTGACGCTGTCGCGGCGACAGGCGACCGGACGGCCCCCTGTCGTTGTCGTTTTCACAGAGGCGCTTGCACCGGGCGTTTCGGAGGCGCGTTCGAGGATGGATCGGCGGGCGGCGACCGACCGCAAGGATGCCGGGGCGGCGAGCGGCGTCGGCGCCGCGCACCACGCGCCCACGCCCGCGCACGGCCCGAAATATGGGGCACTTCCGCTGCACACCCCCCCCACCAGCCAGTACGCCACCGCGGCGCGCACGGGCCCGAGGCCGCGCGGCAATGTTGCGCCGTCCCCCACCAAGCGCCAGGTGTCTATCGCGGCGTTCCTAGCCCCGTCGAAGCCGCACCAGGGCGCGGGCGGGCACGCGGCAGCGCCGCCGCCCCAGCGGAGCGCGCCGGCGGCACGGAGGGACTCGACGGACTCGGACGTCATCGTCGAGGCGGCGGCGCGGGGCGTGGCTGCGTCAGGGGGGGGAGTGAACGAGGCAGCCTGCGTCGACCTCTTCGACAACGTGCTCGACGAAGCGGCGCTGATGGGCTGCGGCGCGCCGGCCGCTGCGGCGCGGCAGACGCCCCAAGCACCCGGCTGGCAGGCCGCGGGCTACCGCTGGGAGCCTCCGGGGGGCACGGCGGGGAACCCCCCCCCCGCCGCACGGCCACAGCCGCGCGAGCCGTCGCCGCCGCCTGTCGCCGCGGCGCCCGCGTCCTCAACGCCGTGGAACCAGCCCGGCTACCGCTGGCAGCCGCCCGGCGGGGCTGCGGCGCCGCCAGCGCCCGCCCACGCCCCGGCAACAGCAGCGGCGCATGGAGGCGGTGGCCGCGACTGGCACGACCCGGGTCTCCCCTCGCAGGCCCCCGGCGGGCGCGGAGGCGCCGTAGCGCCTGCAGCGGCGGACTGGCGCGACCCCGAGTTCCACTGGCAGCCGCCGGGGGCCGCAGCGGCTCCGCCGGCAGCACCTGCGCCCGCTGCCGCCGCTGCGGCGGCCGCGCCTGCGGCGCCCGCGGCGCCGCGAGCGTCGGGGTGGCAGGAGGCGGGCTATCGGTGGGAGCCGCCGGCTGGCATGGCCGCTGGCGAACAAGGGGGTGTTGAAGAGATGTTGGGGTATGACGAGGGGGAGTTCGAGGACGACGCCCCCGAGGACGGCGGCGGCGCGGCGTGGGGCGCGGCCCCGGCAGGCGGACCCGCGGGGTCAGTTCCGCCGGGGGGAGGTGATCTGTTCGAGGGGGGGGGTCTTGATGACGAGATGGCGGGGATATGGCAGGAGCTGGAGGAGGACGAGGCGCTGGCGTCGGAGGCGCAGACGGGCGGGCGCGGGCGCGGGGGCGGGGCCGGGGGCGGCCGGGGGCGCGGCCGGGGCCGTGCGAGGGGGGGGTTTGCGCGGGCGACGTCGGGCCACTGGGAGCAGTGCGAGAACGGGAAGAAGGCGTTCGTGCTGGACAACGGCGAGGTGCTGACGGGGCAGCTGGCGTACAAGGCGTTCCTGCGGGTGTCCGGGGGCCGCGGGGCGCGCGGGCGGGGCGGGCGTGGCCGACGGTTTGCGGCCAAGCGCGGGGGGGGGTCCGCGCGAGCGAAGGGGGGTGTCAAGGCGAGGGGCGGCGTCGTGAAGCGCGAGACGAAGCCGCGCGTGAAGAAGGAGAAGTGAGGAGCGGAGCGGCGTTTGGGGGGGTCTGCGGGCGGATGTGTGACTGTACGTACGATGTGTTGACGTGCGTGGGGGGCGCGGGGCGGGCGATGGCCGCTTCGCGCCTGTCAGGGTCGTTGCGGTGGTGAAGATGCGCGTAGAGGAGTGGTCGCGGCGTGGTTTGCCGGGCGGATGGCAGAGTGACGGTGTGTGGTAGGGACGCGCAGGGCTGTGGTCAGGGGAGTGGTTCGGCACGGTGTCGAGGAGGAGTGCGGCCTGATTGCGGGACGCTCGAGCGTAGACATGCAAGGCCTGGCCCGTTGCTGCGCAGTCGTTGGCGAAACGTCGTTGTTGCGGTCCGCGATGGCGCTTGAAGGCCCACCGCGCTTCAAGGTGGTCAGCGACCGCCAGGTCCGCCTGACACTCTGCACGACACGCAGTGGGGAGCGCACGGGAGGCATATTCGAGTCGTTCCTGGTGCGTCCCCGGGCATCACGTGCCCGTGCCGTTCTCGGGCGTTGTGTCGGGACCTGCTAGATGGCGATGGGCGTCGTGGCGAGGCGTCGTGTCGCAGAACGCCGTGCACCACACAGGCGCATGCCGTGCAGCTGAGTGATCTTCCGTGCGCACACGGTGCACGACGGACGGTCAGGACCATGCGGGGGCTCGAGCTGACGGCAGTCTTGCTGCGAGCCAGAGCTCACATAGGGCAACCGTCTGCTGGCTGAGAACAGGGCCGGGGCGTGTCTGACTCCGCAGAATCCACATGGACTGCCATGCAGAGGGTGGACCCGGATGATTTGGCCGATGCGCTCGAGGTGACGTTCAGCGAGACCGAGCGCATCCTACGGAAGTGCGATGACAAAGAGGGCGTCGCCGTGCACTCCCAGTTCAACGCAGAGGCCTGGCTGCACGACCCCAGCCTGCACATGAATTCAACGCTGACGTCGGCAATGAGCGGCACGGGCTTCCAGGCCTTCCTGGACCGGCTGAACCAAGGGTTCGAGAAAGAAAATCCAAAAGAGGTCCACGCAGGCGTCAGGGTCAAGGCCGCTCCAGACGGAGGCGGGATCTTGGCGACACTGACGACCCACGGCCGGCCCAAGAAGGTCTTAGAATGCAGCGACACTTTCATGGAGATGCGCAAGGGCGACGTCCACAACGCCCGCCGAGCATTGTACGCAGTGACCGTGCTGTCGGAAACAGCCGCGCTGCACCTCGAGTTCGCGGCCGGGGACTGCACGTGCGTCGCGTCGTGGACGCCCGCGGTGCAGGACATGTTCGTCCTGACTCTGTCGCCCCAAGACGCAGCCTCGGCCCGTGTGGCCCTGAACAAGTTGTCGTTTACTCCTAAGCCTTCCTCCCCAGCCCCCGCCCGGAAGTGGGCGGGAAAATGGAGCGAAGTCAGAGTGGCGGAGCGTCCGGGCGAGGGCTGGCCGACGAACTCAGCGGAGCTGGCGCAGGCCCTTGTGTGCACGGCAAGTTGCAGCGGGGCTTTGGATCTCCTTGCGGGTATGACGTATTCAAAGCCGCTGCGAAAGAGTTCCGCACACAAACTGTTCCCAGGACAGGAGTTTCCGGCCATGGCGTTCAGCGTGCTCCGGTGCGGCGGACGCGCCGGCCCCGTTGCACCCGTGGTGTTTCTTCCCGTACAGGGAGGGCCGAAGTTCCTGTCGAAGCTGCGAGATGAGTTCCGCGGCGTCACTGGGGCACAGGAGGTCATCGACTGCGCCGAGGAGTACCCCACGACAGGGACTAAGACCTGGGACGTCTTCTTCAACAACAACAACAACAACAACAACAACAACAACAACAACGGCACGGGGCAGGTCTGTCGCCACTACGCACAGCACGCTTGGTGCAGGTACGGCGATGCGTGCCGCTTCATGCACGAGCCGCGCGAGTACGGGCAGCGGTGATACTGCGGGGGCGCGTGCAAGGAAGCGAAAGCCACTTCACAGCTCGCGCAGCTGCATGCCGATGGCGTGGTCGAACGCGCCAGAGGCGGTGGGCGGCCTGCGACAAGACGAGTGCCAGGTCCTCCCAGACTGCGATTGCTGTAATGCGAACCTCACCCGTAATGCGTCTCCTTCATCCCCGCCGGCAGCACCAGCCCGCTCTCCTCGACGTCCCACCGACGCAGACGGTCCGCGACGCCCCGCTCCAGCGTCCCCGTCAGATTCTCGCACCCATAAACGTCCAGCTCCTCCAGCGCGTCCATGCCCCCCGGCAGCCTCCGCATAGCGCTGTAGCTTGCATTGAGCACCCGCAGCCTCGCAGCGCCGCCCAGCACCTCCGCCGCGTCCTCCCAGTCCAGATCGTCGCACTCATCCACGTCCAGCTCCTCCAGCGCGTCCATGCCCCTCGGCAGCTTCCGCACGTTGCTTTCTGAGGCACTCAGCACTCGCAGCCTCGCAGCACACGACGCGGGCAGGAACGCCTCGCCGTCCAGCTGCTTGCAGTGGCTCACGTCGAGCCTCTCCAGCGCCGTCAGCCCCTCCGGCACCCTCCTGATTTCAGGGCACCCACAGACACTCAGCCCACGCAGCCTCGCACAGACCGACGCCGGGAAGAGGCCCTCCGTGATTTGTCCGTTGAAGTAGCTCAGGTCCAGCTCCTCCAGCGCCGTCAGCTCCTCCGGCACCCTCCGCAGCCCAGCGCTGTTCACCCTCAGCACGCGCACCGTCGGAGCGTTGCGCAGCGAGCTCACGTCCAGCGACTTGCAGTCCTGTACGTTGAGCTCCTCAAGCGCCGCCAGCTCCTCCGGCACCACCCGCATCGCCGTTTCCCGAGCATCCAGCACCCGCAGCTCCACAGCGTCCGTCAGCGCCAGCTCGGTCTGCAGCCTCACGCACCCAGCCACGTGCAGCTCCCGCAGCGCCCGCATCCCCGCCGGCAGCCTGCGCAGGGTGCTGTATTCGGCGCGCAGCACCCGCAGCCCCGCCGCAGACGACGCCGGCAGGCACGCCTCGTCCAGGCTCCTGCAGTCGCACACACTGAGCTCCTCCAGCGCGCACATCCCTTCAGGCACCCTCCGCACGCTGCTGCGCTCGGCCGTCAGCACCCGCACACGCCCAGCGCTCGACGCCGGCAGGAACGTCTCGCCCTCCAGCTGGTTGCAATGACTGACGTCCAGGACCTCGAGCGAGACCATGCCCTCCGGCACGCGCTCCAGCCTCGTCGAGACTACTCTCAGCTCCGTGATGCCCGCCGCCACGCCCGCAGGCAGCCACTCCCGCCCCCACACACCCTCCATGTCCAGTGCGTACGCTGACACGTCCAGGTACCGCAGGCCCGTCATCTCCGCCGTCACCGCCGGCGCCGACGCCAGCTCACGCCGGCCGGCATCCGTCCGGGCTAGGGCCCGCAGCAGATCCCGATCTCCGGCTTCCAAGCGCACCACCGCGGACGGCACACCCACGTCGCACGTGCCTGCGCGGTGATACACCACCCACTCCCCGCGCCCCGTCGCCCACCCGACCAGCGACCTCGTCTCCTCCGACACCCGCCCCTCCAGCCGCCGCGCCACCGTCCGCCCCACCCGCCGCTCCGCACGAGGGCTGCCTGCGTCCCCCGACCACCACGTTGCGCCGTCGCAGCTCTCCAGCACCGCCGCCATCATCGCCGACGACGTCGCCGCCAGCGCGATGCGCGACCTGCGCGGCAGCGTACGGATGACGCTGGCCAGGGGACCGTCCCGCCCGCACTGAATGTCCTCCAGCTGATGCTGCTTGGGCCGCGCGCGCTTTGAGCGCTCGCGGGGCGCGCCCGCATCGCTGCACCGTCCTCGTGGCATGATGCTGTGATCGCCTGAAGCTGCCGTGTCACGTTCCCGTGCCCGTGCGCCGCCTCCTGCGCGCCCACGGAGACAAAGAGGGAGGCGGTCGGAAGGTGGGCCCGCAACGGCGTTGAGCGACGACGGCGACGCGCGGCCGACATCGAGCCGCGCTCATCCGGTACTGAGCATCGTAGCGCACAGCGTGACATCCGCCTCCAACGCGGCACCCGCACGCGGCAGCGCGCCAAGCACCCAGGCTGCGCTGCATCGCCAGCGGTGCGGCATACAGGCGCGTTCCGGACGCACGTACGCAGCGCCGCACTGCCAGCAACACGTCACGCACCTGCGCACCGATACACCCGTTGCCCGCAAACGCACGGAGAGGCGTCCCTGCTGTTCCTCGCTGCTTGACGCGTGCTGCCAGCGACGTCGAGTGCGGTGACGTCGGTGAGTTGCGAGTCTGCGTCGTGGCCGTGACGCTGGACGCTCCCCACTTCACGCGGCCGGCGCGGCGAAGCACCCATATCAGCTCGCACGCTCAGTCGAGGCACCTCCCCCTGACAGCAGCCACTCTTCCCCCAGACGTCGTGGGCCGCACCGAGCAAGCGCACGGACGAGGGGGCGCGGTGCTGATGAGCGGTGGCGGCCGCGTGCGCGCATGGTGCCACGCAACAGGGGCCCAGTCGCATGCGTGTGCGGCCGTGGTCCTGCGTTGTGTGTGCGCCGCTCTGTTCGCGCATCAGCATGTGCAGTCACGTGCGCACAGACCCCATCGCTCACCGACGTCTCAGCGGACGCAGCGTCGGAGGCACCGGCACGGAAGCTTGGCTGCAACAACGGCGGGAGACAACTACGTGCTGCAAGGGCGCCCGAGCGGGGACGGGAGAGCGGGGCGAGACACGCCGCGGGCGACCATGACGCCGGGCCTCACACGGGCCGTCGGCATCCTCGAGCAGATCCGCATCCACCTCACTCGTAAGGCCTTATCTCCTCCATCCCCGCCGGCAGAACCAGCCCGCTCCCCACGACGTCCCACCCACGCAGACGGTCCGCGACGCTCTGCTCCAGCGTCCCCGTCAGATGCTCGCACCCTTCAACGTCCAGCTCCTCCAGCGCGCACAGTCCCCCCGGCAGGCTCCGCATGTCGCTGTAGTGTGCATTGAGCACCCGCAGCCTCGCAGCGCCGCCCAGCACCTCCGCCGCGTCCTCCCAGTTCAGCTCTTTGCAACCGCCCACGTCCAGCTCCTCCAGCGCGTCCATGCCCCTCGGCAGCTTCCGCATGTTGCTGCACGAGGCAATCAGCACTCGCAGCCTCGCAGCGTACGACGCGGGCAGGAACGCCTCGCCCTCCAGCTGTTCGCACTCACTCACGTCGAGCTCCTCCAGCGCCGTCAGCCCCTCCGGCACCCTCCTCACTGCAGGGCACCCACGGACACTCAGCCCACGCAGCCTCGCACAGATCCGCGCCGGGAAGAGGCCCTCCGTGATCTCTCCCGGGAAGCCCCTCAGGTCCAGCTCCTCCAGCGCCGTCAGCTCCTCCGGCACCCTCCGCAGCCCAGCGCTGTTCACCCTCAGCACGCGCACCGTGGCAGCGTTGCGCAGCGAGCCCACGTCCAGCGACTTGCAGTCCTGGACGTTGAGCTCCTCCAGCGCCGCCAGCCCCTCCGGCACCACCCGCATCGCCGTGTTCCAAGCGTTCAGCGCCCGCAGCTCCGCAGCGCCCGTCAGCGCAAGCTCAGGCTGCAGATCCTTGCACCCGTCCACGTCCAGCTCCCGCAGCGCCCGCATCCCCGCCGGCAGCCTGCGCAGAGCGCTGTAGCCGGCGCGCAGCACCCGCAGCCCCGCCGCAGACGACGCCGGCAGGCACGCCTCGTCCAGGCGCCTGCAACAGCATGCAATGAGCTCCTCCAGCGCGCACATCCCCTCAGGCACCCTCCGCAGGCCGGTGCTGTCGGCCGTCAGCACCCGCATCCGCCCCGCGCTCGACGCCGGCAGGAACGCCTCGCCATCCAGCCGTTCGCACAGGCTGACGTCCAGGACCTCGAGCGAGACCATGCCCTCCGGCACGCGCTCCAGCATCGTCCCACGCACTCGCAGCTCCGTGATGCCCGCCGCCACGCCCGCAGGCAGCCACTCCCGCCCCCACAAACGCACCATGTCCAGCCCAGACACTGCCACGCCCACGCACCGCAGGCCCGTCATCTCCGCCGTCACCGCCGGCGCCAACGCCAGCTCACGCCGGCCAGCATCCGTCTCGGCCAGGGACCGCAGCAGATTCCGATCTCCCGCCTCCACGCGCACCACCGCGGACGGCACGCCCACATCGACGCACGTGCCTGCGCGGTGATACACCACCCACTCCCCGCGCCCCGTCGCCCACCCGACCTCCGACCTCGTCCCCTCCGACACCCGCCCCTCCAGCCGCCGCGCCACCGTCCGCCCCACCCGCCGCTCCGCACAACGGCTGCGTGCGTCCCCCGACCACCACGTTGCGCCGTCGCAGCTGCCGAGCACCGCCGCCATCATCGCCGACGACGTCGCCGCCAGCGCGATGCGCGACCTGCGCGGCAGCGCACGGATGACGCTGGCCAGGGGACCGTCCCGCCCGCACTGAATGTCCTCCAGCTGATGCTGCCTGGGCCGTGAGCGCTTTGAGCGCTCGCGGGGCGCGCTCCCGTCGCTGCGCCGTCCCCGTGGCATGATGATGTGATCGCCTGAAGCTGCCTTGCCGCGTTCCCGCGCCCGTGCGCCGCCTCCTGCGCCCCCACGAACGAGGGAGGCGGTCGGAAGATGGGGCCCGCAACCACGTTGCGCGACGACAGCGACGCGCGGCCGACATCGCGCCGTGCTCGAATAACGCTCAACGTCGTAGCGCACAGCGTGACGTCCGCCTCCAACGCGGCACCCGCACGCGGCAGCACGCCAAGCACCCAGGCTGCGCTGCATCGCCCGCGGTGCCGCATGGCGCGTTCCGGACGCACATACGCAGCGCCGCACTGCCAGCGACACACACGTCACGCACCTGCGCACGCACACACCCGTTGCCCGCCCGCAAACGCGCGGAGAGACGACCCCGCTGCTTGAACGTGTGCTGGACGACGCGCGAGTGCGGTGGGCTGCGGACCCGCGCGGTCGCCGTGA